TAATACCAGATAAGTTATTTTTATAATTATCTCTTTTTCTTTCAACTAACTTGCGTAATTTATTAATGCAATTAATCTAATTGTGTCAACAAGCTAATGGTCATGTTTCCGACCTTATCATTTACGACCCATATCTAAGATGAAATTATCTTAAATAACTTATGAAATTATCTCAGCATCCAAAACGTGAATTTAAAAACTCAAACAAAAAACTAAATATCCTTATTTTTTGATGATGTCTTTGTGGGAGTATTGAAATAAGGGCATATCTAACACTGAACGATTGAAACTAGGTGAGTCTGTTTTGGTGATTGATTGAAGCATTAGGGTTGAAAATGTGCCCCATCATTTAAGAAACACAGCGAAGCCACCTCAACAACCTAACTTGAATACGAAACAAAGAGAGGGAGAAGCACCCAGTGTTCCACTTTGACACAAAACCACAATATTTCAACCCATCTGTGGCTTCCCCCTAGAAGAAGGGTCCCTTCCTTAAAGAGAGGCCTCTCACTTCCAAAAACTTTATTAGACCCAAAAGTTATGTCCTTTTGTGACTTGCCATGGAGGATGGGTTACCATTTCTAAACAATCCACCAAGATTCCTTCTGGGGTTAAAATGTCATTCCCTAACCCATATTTCCAACACTTCAATTCAACATTTGTCGTTTTCCACCTGAACGTGTGTTTTCTTATTGGTTAGTTTTTAATTATGATTTGGGAGAATGAATGGTTAAATCTAAAAACACCAGTGGCGTATCTCTATGCTTGATTCATATGTATACATATGGTTACTATTTTCAACACCAGTCACTTTTGATAAGGAATTTCAGCACCATACTTCAACTTCTTACTGATAATAATTACTCTACACAAACACACACTTCTGGCATTGTGATGATTCATAAAGGAATCTACTACACAAATCATTCCGCATGATATAAACAAGTAATTTTTATGAGATATAACTACGCTTAAAAATCTATCCGCAAAAGATTCAAAAGGAAGAATGTATTAATATGTCGTAGGTATTTAAGTTATTTTTTCATGGTTGTTACAGAGATATTTTTCTGATATGTTCATCAGTCTCAGCACTATTTAGAATTTCAAAACAAAGAATGTGTATAAAAAGTAGATGTAATTATAAAATTGAAGTGGGAAAAGAGATGCATATATAGAGATAGAGATAGATATGGATGAAGTGTTGAGGAGTGATTTGTGATGAGTGAGTGTTGAATGATATTGCAGAGGAATGTGATATGGTCCAGAGGACCATGAGTGGCAATTATGCTAAAAAGCCACTCATCTGTGTTCCCCAACACAACTTTATTCATTTTGACCAAACACGGCATATTCTTTCACAAGCCTTCTTTCCAGTGGAGTCTAGATGGGATACGCATAAAACTCTCCATGTCTTTCCCTCACCGACAACTTAGTTGACTAAATACTCCAACAACAAATATCACCATACATCTCAATCATTCAATCTTTTTCTACATCAAATTCAAATTATGATAATGCTTCTTGCTATGTGCTCATCTTACTATACACAAAACTAAAAAGCACTTCCTTTGAAATCTTGGTGCCTCATCTTGTTATTTTTCTGGATTTTGAATACTAGTTTATATTTTTACATTTTATATTTGAGTTTTAGCGGTTTAGAAACTTAGGAAACTAGAAAATGACTCCCTCTTGATTTATCCAGAAAACAAATATGAGTCATTGTCAGTTTTCAAATAAATAAACTAGTCTTTCTCGTTCATTAGAATGGTCAAACATTCTTCTCTATACTACGGTATAATAACCACAAAATACAAATTACAATATATGACACAAAAGTTTTACGTAAATTTATATTGAAGTAAACGTGAAAATTTATATTAAAGTAAACGTGAAAATTTATATTAATTACTATTGGATAGTAACTATTTTAACAGAAGTAAAAGACATATTTTATATTAGTGTTAAACTATCTTAAAATAAATTAAATTATTCCGTAAATGACATAAAAGGTTTAAAGAAAAAAATATCCTTGCAAACCACAACGTAACCCTAACAAATGAACATTTTTAGAATACATTTAAATATTGTGTCTCTAATAACCTCTAGCCTAGCGTGGAGGGATCTAAATATATGAGAACACATTTAATTTGTAACTGTTTTCATAACTTCTAAAGCTCAGTAGCTGGATCCCACACGAAATAGCCAACTATTATGTAAAACTTCAATTATATATTACCTTAGCAAGAACAAAACTTATTAAGATAATATATTATTTCACTGAACCAAAGTCAAAGTGTATATATCGATACTTCAGGTACTAGTTTTAAAATCATACTCTGAGCGAAATCTGAGGCTGGTTAACATTAATAAGCAATTAATTTTGTGGTCACGGGTTTGGATATATAGAAGGCTAAGTAATAAAATCTTCAACTCATAATATAGCACAAATTCATGTATAATAAACACAACATGTAACTTTTTTTTAGTTATTTAATGATGTTGCATTGCATCATGTCGTGGTTAACCTAATGCATTAGGACGCGTAATTTCCTTTTGTTACATGAAAAGTGCTTTCCCTTCTCATCTTACCAAAAGCCATCTACTCAAGAAAACACTTCCACGGTTGGCTTTACTACGTAATCAATGTCAACATGTTATGTTGGCAATATTTGAAGGTTATTTAGAAATCCATCAACTAAAAATGGCCACAAGTTGCGTGATTTGTTGAACTTCTTTGCTTTGTTTGGCATTCCTTTATTTGAGTGGTTGAGTCCAAGACGTTTCCTTGTAATTGGAGAAGACTCAACAACTTACATTTAATTAATTCTCTTTTGAATTGTAGCCTAAACTAATCCAAATTGAAGTTACTATGTTTGAATATGTTTCTCAAAATAAAGGAATTAATATATGGATATTACTTAAACCACAACTTATATGTATACTCTAACAAAAACAATAATTAATTGAGTCTTGCATAGAGTGTTGATATTTTTTGAAACCAAAGGTTTTGGTATTTTTGTTTGGGAGCATATAGGTGGAGATGAAAGATTGTTGTTAGAGGAGGATAGTGACAATGCAGTGTTCTTTCTGTGCAGAGTTGCATAGTAACGTTGAAATTGGATAATGATATATGAAGCAATAGTCAACTGAGGCACGTTGAATTTTGAAAGCCTGGACAAAGAAAACGATTGGCCGGCCATCGAGTGTCATATGCTTTTGAAAAATCATTCATTTCATTTTCAAATTACCAAAATATCTCATTTATATTATTTATTAATTGTGTTACATTTTTTAAAAATTCCTTTCTCATTACTTTTCTTTTCTTTTCCACTCGGTTAAACTAGTTATCTTATTTTCTTCTCACTCACTACTAAAAAATAAACTTTTAACATCAATTCTAAAATCGATATAAATACAATCCATATAAAAAGTGTGACTTTTCGCATAAGTGGTAAGGAATTTAGACAGAAAGTCTAATATTTTTATTTATTTATTTATAACCCCTTTTTAATTACCCTATTTATCTAGAGATTTTTTCTCCCTTTTATATTATATTTTTATTATTTATTATATTTTTTAAAAATTTAAATTATTATCGATTAAAAGAATTATCATAAGCAAAATCGAGTATAAGTTAAAAATCGATACTTCAACCACTAATCTATTATGATTTTTCGATAATAACTTATAAATAAATTATATTTATATACAAATAAAAATATATATCCATGTAAATATATAAATATATTTATATATTTATATGTTGATGTGAGGGTGTTCGAGGGTAAAAATGTGTGTCGAGTAAATTTTCAAAATGTGATGCCAAATTTGTGAGCGGATCTCTTTATATGGGTTTATAATTTAATGACAAAATATAATCTTTATAAATTATTTATATAATGATATAAAATAATTTTTTTCTTTATTTTATATCATTATATAAATCAATTATAAAGATTATATTCTATATCATTATAAATAAATTATAAAGATTATATTCTATCATTAAATTAAAAATTCATATAAAAAGACCCGCTCACAAATTTAACATCAAATTTTGAAAACCCACTTGACACACACTTTCACCTCGAACGCGTCTCACATCTAACATATAAATATATTTGTATTTGTATTTATATATTTATATGGATATATATCTTTATTTGTATATAGATATAATTTATTTATAAGTTATTATTATAAAATCCTAATAGTTTAGTTGTTAGAGTATTAATCTTCAATTTTAAGATATTATAGGTTCAAATTCTGTCAATGATAATTCTCTTAATTTAATAAAAAGATTTTCTACCTCACTTTTTTAAGAATTGGTGTTCTTTAAGAAATGATGTGGAAAGTCCGATATTAAAAATGATTTTTATACTATGACACACTTTTTTTTTTCCAACATAATCACGACACTTTTTTTATGAAACTCAATTGTTCCCAAAACATACATAATTTGGCATGTGACACTATGGAATCACTGCAAATTATTTTGTTCATTAAAATGTGTAAATACATAAAACCATAATAGATTACTCTATAAGTAAAGAGTAATTAATAAGCATAATGTTATGTAATTACAATAAAAAAGTGAAAACCATTTTTTTTCAATTAACTTTTTCTTAAATGGATTTTTATTTATTTTTCTACTTATAACTTATGTACTTATTGCATAAAATGAAATAAAAATATTGAAAAGGAAAAAAACTGGAAACTCTCATAATTGTTGATATTATATATATCTAAATAAGAATTAAACAATGTAAGAAAGGTTATATTAAGTAACACCCTAGTGAACTGCATTTCTTTAATAAATTATTGATAGCTTGTTATGAATTTGATATAAAATAAAATATGAAGATTTTTGTTTTGTAATTTAAGTTTTTCTAGTTAAAACTTATCTTTATCTTTATTTTGTACAAGACACCCAATTCAACGGAACACTCTGGTGCTTTTGTTGGTGCTTACGTTGTTTAAAAAGGACACTTCATGTAACAATGAGGCCTGAAATTATGGATGGGGTGGGTGGGTCATTCATTCATGTTTCGCAATTCTTAAAGAAAATCAAAACTAATTTTCAATTAAATAAAACCACTACGAATTATTTTCAATTAAATTCCATTTTTTTCAAATTAAATAAAACCACTACCAATTATTTTTCTAAACCACTATTTGCGAATAAAAAAATAGTGATACATAGAAATTATCAATGATTCAATGACGTAGTGACGTTGATAACTAGAGAAAAGCATCGCAACAAAGGACACCTCTGACTTTCGCTACAGTGGAATACTTTTCTAATTAAGACCAGTGAACTTTTATACACCAGAAAGTGAAAAATAACTCCACAAATCTTAAATATTCAAAATATTTGAAAGTAATTACATTTATAAATATATTAAATTAAAAAAAATAATACTATGAAAAAGTAAGTTCTCATCGAGTCATTAATATCGTGTCAACTGTAATAATTGACACACAAAATATGTACACCTTGTGCTTTGTCTTTTCAATTTTTTTAATGACAGAGACGTAACTGTGAAGAATTCAAATGAAAAATGTTTTATTGAAAGAGTAGAACGTTAAAGAAAATTAATATTAATAATTATTTAAAAGTTATATTTAAGAAAGTTTAATATATATATATATATATATAACAAAATAAACATGTAGAGATAAATAAAAATTATGACAAATCTGATTTTTTAAAATTAGAACTTTAATCTTAATATATTTTAGTCTTAGGATTTTCAGTTTCAATTTTAATAAAATATTATTAATTTTTATGATCTATATTTTCACTTTTGTTTATGATTTCTTTTTTCTTTCAGAATAATTAGTAAATTACAAAAAAGTCATAATTTTTATAATAAATGATTTTTATTCTTCCATCTTATATTTTATATCAAGCCAAAATCGGAATTACATTTATCACAGAATAAAAATATATATTATTAAAATGTCCTTTATTTCATTAATTTGATTTAATTTATCTATTATAACAAATTTAATTTAATCTTTAATTTATAGGATAAAAATATTTGTCCCTAATTAAATATAAAGTAAACATATAATGTATAAATATCAATTATAAATTTCATATGATTACAGATATTAGAATAGATGGATTTATTTTAGCTGTGAAATGGACAAGCTTCAAGAAAACAATCATTTATTTTCTTTCCCATTTTACTTTTATTGATGAGAATAGCATCATATATTGAACAATTCTAGAGTTGTTACGCAGTACAAACAATAATACTGAATTACATCTCGGCTAAGAAAGCTGCTGCTACTTGTTGCCTCTCTAACCTATCACCTCTCATCATCTCTTACCTTCACTCCACTCCATTAGATGAAAAAGGCCAAACTCTCTCTCTCTCTCTCATTGATTACAGCTACCGTTTTCTCTTTCCTTTTACTTGCTTTCATTCCTCTCTTCCATATCCATGTTCATTTGTAGCATGTTTCCTCTTGGGCACCCCAAAGTTCAATTTTTTCTTACACACTCCTTCTTCTCCAAGCTCTACAGCCTCTGGGGTCACTTCTAGAAGATCTATCTCCAAACCCTTTTGGGTGAGCAAAAAGAAGAAAAAAATGGGAAGCAAGTGGAGAAAATTGAAGCTGGCTCTTGGTTTGGATTCCTGTGTTCACATTCCTAGAGCCTTTGACGATTCCTCTGCCGCCGCCAGGTTTTCCGGCGGGGCCTCACCCACCGTCGTGTCTCCGGCCGGAGACACCTCCGGCTATCGCCCATCAACTCCCACACCGTCGTCCTCCGGGCTCCGGTTATCCAAATCCGGACCCAAATCTCCCAAGGTTAGAACTTTGCATTACCCTTTGAATCTTTGCATATGAAGTTCCGTTTTTTATCTTTTATTTTTTGTTGGGTTAATTTCTAAAGTTTCCCTTTTGCTTCACCCTCACCCCTGAATCTCCATGGCAATTCTTGTTTTTACTGTTTCTGTTGAACTACATTCATTGCATTTTGTTTTATCTTTTTCTTGGTTAAATTATTATATTAGGATTATTATTCTTGCTACCCATTAAGATATGACTTGATGGACATCAACTTCAGCTTTAACCACACTTTAGCATTCTTAATTGGGGTATGGTGGAGTGTGACGCATTCTGACTATTGCCGAAACGTTTTATTCTTCGTTGTGTTATTTTCAACTCCATTATGGGTGGGGAATGGCATAAAGTGGAATACTGTGCCTACCCTTTTTTGGACCAGTTGCTTGGCTCATTGCAACATGCTTTACATTTTACACCCTTCTTCTTGCATCGTCCATTTCTCAATTTTACCGTGCACTGTTCAATTCTGTGGACACATTTTATTTTTCTCTCTCCTTTCCTTTCCTTTGTTATCCCCACTAGAGACCCCATAACCGTTGATTGGAAATCTCTGAGATACAAACAAAACAAAAAGTTGCAGGATAATCAATGTACTAAATGAAAATGAAGATAAACTAGAAATAATAAAAAAGGTTAATTTTTTCCTGTCAGGGTAAGACTTTTATACTATTGATCAATAAGAGATCACGATTAATATGATTTCTAAGATAATCATGGAAAAACGTACTAATTTATAATTGGTGGCAGTGCATAGATTATTTAATAACAGTATATAAATAATGATACTGATTAATAAAGATAAAGATGGTAGACAAATGAATAAATCATCTTTGGTTTCGCTTTCTTTCGATGACATTTGCAATTTTTTAGTTGTGAGATTTGTCTTAGTTGCTTTTCCAAAAGTGGGTTGCTGATTGCTGTTATTTGTTTTTCCCTGGTGACCTCAAAGTCTTTGACCAGGAAACGTTGACCTAGTGTTATCTTTGTACTGTATTAGGATTAAGATGTGGATTCGGGTGAGAATCTAGGCCTCTGTGGTAAAAAGATGGGTTGCATTCTATTTCATCTTTTTATGCAATGGTCTTACTAGTGGACCTGCATCGGGACAGAAGACCGCAGTGTGATACACTATAGTGTAACAGTGACCTTTGCAAATGTTACAGTTATCAACGATTACTTTATTTAGGCACTGTTCAGATTCTCCTATTCAATCCATTTAGTGCTTTTTCTTTTAATTATTAATAACTTTCTAATTGAGATATTTGGATGGATTGTTGGATCCATGTCCCCATTGGCCATACCTTAAGGTAGGATATGTGTATGGCCATGTTGTCATTATTAGAGATTGTTCATAATAATAGCAGTGTTAATCTATGCATACAGAAACTACAATCTAATCTTTAGTGTAATTTAGTTTCAATTTGAAAAATATTTTAAATCACAGTTAACCATGATCAATATATTCGTGTGGAAGATGTTGATTCCTTTTAATCTTGACGAATGCTAAATGATTAATTTGATAGTTGGAAAAGGATGAGGATGTTTGTGTTTACATCCTTTGAGTTCTTAATAGTCTGAGACTCATTTTCCTAGTGTTGATATCAGAAACTATTATCGTCTTAGAAGATTTCCAAACATGTTTCTTATTGGTGTATTTAATGACATCCTTGGAAATTCGATATTTAATCGTTGATTTGCCTTAAACTTGGATGTGATTTGAAAGGAAAAGTCAAATCCATGATTTCCTCCTTTTAGTCACAGCATAGGGCATTCTATACTTCTTGAAGTTACCAACACTTGAAAATGACAAGTTTTAGTGGGAACAAGTTTGTTACTTTTATTTTCATAAAAATTCAGCGGATTTTTGTTTGGCCTTCAATATAAGTAATATGGGAACATCCTTTTTTTCTTCAATATGAGTAAATTTTTTGTTTTGTTTCTCTGATTTCGATATTCAACTCAAATTAATTCTGAGCAGGTCTTAGTAGCAGGCATTATGAAACATTTATATGCCATGAAGACATTTGTTTTTCATAGTCATTATTTGCTTATCTAAGTAGTTTTGTTTCAATTGCCCTGAAAGCCTTGTTATTCACAAGTGCACTGATAATATGACCATCTTTTCCTAACATTTTTTATCCACAATGTGTGCAGGGTACGTGTGCAATATGCCTATACACAATGAAACCAGGGCAGGGACATGCCATTTTCACTGCAGAATGTTCTCATTCTTTCCATTTTCACTGCATCACTTCTAATGTGAAACATGGAAATCAGATTTGCCCTGTCTGCCGAGCAAAATGGAAAGAAGTTCCTTTTCAGAGTCCGACTTCTTATATGCCCCATGACTTGCCTCGAACGAACCATGTATCTCCTCGAGATGAAGCCTGGTCGACAGTCATACGGAGGCTTCCTTCTCCTCAAGGTGACTCTGCTCGGTCAATTTCATCACTTTATCAGGTGACCGAACCAGCAATTTTTGATGATGATGAAGCCCTGGATCAACAAACTTCAATTACCCATCATAAAAATGAAACTGATCATGATATGATAAATACAGTGGAGATCAAAACATATCCTGAGGTTTCAGCTGTTCCAAAATCAGCCTCTCATGATGCCTTTGCTGTATTAATCCATCTCAAAGCTCCTCATTCAGGGAGAAAACAAACTAGTGAATCATCACCTCCAGTTGAGAATTCTCGGGCCTCGGTTGATCTTGTTACAGTTCTTGATGTGAGTGGTAGCATGGCAGGTACTAAGCTAGCATTGCTAAAACGTGCAATGGGTTTTGTCATTCAGAATCTTGGTCCTTCAGACCGGCTGTCTGTCATTGCCTTCTCCTCCACAGCACGCCGCATCTTTCCTCTTCAGCTGATGACTGACACTGGACGACAGCAGGCATTACAGGCTGTCAATTCTTTGGTTTCAAATGGCGGGACAAACATTGCTGAAGGCCTGAGGAAAGGCGCCAAGGTGTTTGCTGACCGCCGGTCGAAGAACTCAGTTAGCAGCATCATATTACTCTCTGATGGGCAGGACACATATACAGTCAATACCAGACCTAATACTGGAACAGATTACCAGTCACTTGTTCCAAACTCCATTCATCGGAATAATGGTGTGGGCATGCAGATACCAGTGCATGCATTTGGCTTTGGCTCTGATCATGATGCCACTTCGATGCATTCAATCTCTGAGATATCCGGGGGTACATTTTCTTTTATTGAAGCTGAGGATGTCATTCAGGATGCATTTGCACAGTGTATTGGGGGTCTCTTGAGTGTGGTGGTGCAAGAATTACAAGTGGAAGTGGGGTGTGTTCACCCTCATTTACAGCTTACTTCGGTCAAAGCAGGAAGTTACCAAACAAGTTTGACGGCTAATGCAAGACTGGCTACCATCAGTGTAGGAGATTTATATGCTGAAGAGGAGAGAGACTTTTTGGTGACAGTTAATGTTCCAGTCGATGAGTCAACTGATGAGACACCATTGTTGGTTGTGAGAGGTCTTTACCGAGAGCCCATAACTAAAGAGATGGTGGCTTTGGAAGAAAAAAGTGAAGTTAAAATTCAGAGACCTGACGTAGCTGGAGAAGAACTAGTTGTGTCAATAGAGGTAGACAGACAGCGAAACAGGCTCCGAGCTGCTGAGGCAATGGCTGAGGCTAGAGTTGCAGCTGAACGTGGTGATTTGTCTTCTGCAGTTTCAGTCCTCGATAACTGTCACAAGGCATTGTCAGAAACTGTTTCTGCTCAAGCTGGGGATAGGTTATGTGTTGCTCTTTTTGCTGAGTTGAAGGAGATGCAGGAAAGGATGGCGAATCAACAAGTTTATGAGCAGTCTGGAAGGGCTTATGTTCTGTCAGGATTGAGTTCACATTCATGGCAAAGGGCCACTGCACGTGGTGATTCCACAGACAGCACTAGCCTTGTGCAAGCATACCAAACTCCTTCAATGGTTGACATGGTGACGCGTTCCCAGACCATGGTCTTCGGGACCCCGCAGAATAAACGAGTCCTGAGGCCTGCCAAATCATTTCCTGATAGACAGAGAAGACAATAGGAAAGAAAACTATGTTTGGAAAAATTCTATTTGGCCTATACATATACTTTCTGGGGAAACCTTCAAGTTTCTTCATATCTTAAGCTACCCTTTTGTTTTTGGTTTTGTGAAGGTGGGGGTATAATGGAAAGGAAGGAGTTTTAGGTGGATAAAATTCCTGATTTTGCCAATATGAAAAGTGTAAATGCATAGGCTGGAAACGGGGCTCTGCAGAGAATGAATGAATGGCGAAAAAGGATGCACAGTTTGAATATTTCAGTGTGATTCCGAGTGATGTACATAACCTATTGTTTTCAGTTGAATTGTGCGGTGAATTTCATCACTTGATTATATACATATGGTATAATATCTGTGCTTCCGATTCTTTTCATTACTGGTGATCTTCTTCATGCATTTCCTTAATTTCTGCACTTTAGTTTCCATGGTTTCATGCTTTCATTTTATATTATTATAGCAAATTCAAGAAGCACGCCATGTCTAACTCAACAATATTTTGGCAACAATCACACTCCATTGAATTTGAAAAGCACGTTGCAAACACAACGTACAAGATACATCTCTACATCATTCCCATCATCTTCCACCACCTCATTTCTTTGACATTTCAAAATCTGTTGGTTCCACTTTTAGAATCTAATCTTTCAAAGAATATATTGTTCTTTGAAAAAGCAAAATTCTAGCTTTTAACTAAAATATTTAAACATTGTGGACAAACGAAATAGAGTTCGTCATGTTTTATGTCCACTTGTTTCCTTACTAGACAAGTGGGATTTCATTCTCTAATGTCTCCATTCAAGCCTAACTCGGGAATTTTCACTCTAAACTTGCATTTTAAGTTTGAGTTGAGTTTCATATATTTTACCTTCTCTTTATTATTCCTTGAAAACATGTTCCTAATCTTCAAAATAACACTACTCTAATTTTATTATTTCTTTCTAAAATTCAAATCCTGTATTATATTCCCACTATCTCCCACGTTGGATAGGTAGGGTTTTGCGTTTTGACCTGCTTTTTATATGACATGGGCCAAAAAAGTAGAACTCCACCTACTGATTTTCGGATCTTTCATTGCAGACTAGACTCGAGAGTTGTCCTAGATATGCCTCGTAATGTGAGCCTCGAGTCACGTGATTTGATTTCCATACTAGTTTAATACAAAACACTTTGAAATACATTTTTTAATACACTTTTTTAAACCATGTATACGATGTTTCTATTTTATGATGCACCGACATAAACTCATTTAATTAATTTCCTTTGATTTAATAATAAAATGTTGGACACAAATAATCAATATAGTAAATCTAAGGTAGGTAGCTTATTTAGTAGAAGTAAATTTTAACCAAATTTTATTTATATCAGTTAGATTAATATGAGACAGAAATCAGATTAGTATGCAACAGAACCTTAAAATACTGAATAAAAAAATATTTCATTTAACGATTAAAGTGAATTTATTGTATGCATGACCAAAACTTAGTAGGACCACGTGTTTAACAAAGTAAGCAATGCTTGCCACCTTTGCACTTGCTTCTCTCTAGCTCTTGAACTACGTACCTTCCAGTGCCTCATCAATCTCTTCTCTGTGACTTCATTAAGCCCTTCAACACTCTCTCTTCGTTCTTAAGCTCTTGTTTCCTCTCACCAACCCTTGCACTAAAGTTCTCATTTCCCCGACATTGCATGTCTCGCAGTCACCAGATCTAATTAAGGCTTTCATATTGATTCCTTTGCTTTGAGGTACGTACGTAGTGTGTCCTAGTTTTTCTCAAAATATAGAAGGTCATGTTATTATTCTCTTACATGGTTGTACCTAAACAAGGTGGCATTTGTTTGGTTTGGCACATCAACCCCACCAAATTAAGGGGACCCTTTGAAAAGCTAAGATTGTATGCTTATGTTAGTGTTGGGCATGATTGATTAAAGCTGCATGATGGCATGATTTGATTGCATTTTTGGATTAGCATGCTTTCTAATAGCGATCTCAGAATCACCGCTGATTAAGATTGACCTTGAGGAATCGAATACTTATTTTTTGCTGATTGATTTCTGTGCTGAAGCTCTCCTTCACGAGTGGGTCCACACTCTGGCACTGACCCCATACACGACAAAGCAACATGTCACTGGGACCCACACTTTAGATTAAAACAACTCAGCGTTGAATTTGTTCTTTACGGTTTACGTACTTCTTAACCTTATGTAGCTAGCCCTATGTCTTTCAAGCTAAGTTATGTTATATGATGTGTATATACAGTGGTGGATCCAGAAACATGAAGGGGGCCATCAGCATAATTATAAACTATTATATCAATATATGACTGGAATCAATATATAAATTTATAAGGTGAAAAGATTAAGAACTTGTCTGTTCAATTATAATATATAACTTCACAAATATGAGTGTAACTGCTCATACTACAATGTATCTGGGTCTGCCTCTGTGTAGACCCGTTATTCCATTCTCATCTGCATTCTCTCACACTTTTACTGGTAACAGCTAAGTTACTGATTAACATTTATGAATTAAAATTTATTGTAATAGACTTAAAAATACAAAATGTTGTTGCGGTTTTGGACTACCAGTGGTAGAAACTGAGTTAAAAAAAGTCTTCTAGCCGTTGTTAATGTGTGATCTGTATTCTGTCACATTTTCAATGGCGACTTAATAACACATTTATTTAAGAGAGAGACTTGCAAAGTTTTGCGGTTTCATAAATTTAACTGAGTTAAAGAAAGCCTTCTACCACATAATATGAAGTTATGGTATGCTTTATTTATCTAAATCCATTTGTGTCTAATTTCAGTGTTTTCTCATTGTCTCACGTCTTTCCATTCAAGAAATGACAAAGCAGTACTTTATCTTTTTAGCCGTTAGCTATACCCTATTATTCTATTCTTTTGAAGTAAGTAAAATTTGGTGCTCCAAAGTTGAAACAAACTTATTCCACTTCGTTTTTCATGTTTGTGATAAAAGGATATACTTGTCTGAATTTTTTTTTTTATGTATTATTAAAACGGTACAGATTCTGTTACGACTTCAAGACAATTCTGTAAATTCAGTGGGTCAGTTTGTTCAGATGAAGGAAGAATGGATCAAGAAAAGAGTGAAAAACCAGCTGAGCTGTGAGATGGTTTTATTTTGGATAGATGCAAGTAAATTTGGAAGGGAGGTTGAAGTGTTATTTTCAGTTAGCAAGGGGTTACTTTCAAAGAGGTGGAGGATTAGATGGTTCCTTTTTTAAGCTACAACCATATAAATTCATATCTAGATGTTTATGTTGTTTTTATAGAATGGACTCATTTCGTTAGGTCTCTATCCTTCACATCTGTTTACCATATGTGTGATTGATTTTCTTCCAGTTGCTCTATATTGTTCTCCAATAATGAAACTTGGAGGTTGGTGAGCTGGGGTTCCCATTACTCTAATTTACTTCTGGTTTTGTGTTGTTTCAGTTTAGTGAACTAGTTTAGTTTCTTTCCAAAACAAGGGAAAATGTGCATAATTTGAGGGGAAATTACAAAACCTTGCAAACCCTCCTAGCCATATTATTAGTCTCAGCCTTTGCTTTCTCAGATGCTCATCATAGCTTTTTTTCTTCGCTGCTTTGACTTTCTTTGCACCAAACCCTCTTCTCCTGACTCCAAAACTCAAAAGCTTTACAGAACTGTAGGTGGAAACATCGATGGTTTCTTTTGGTACATTCCATTCAGGGACATTGGAGGCTGTTCTCAAGCCTTACTTCTACCAGTTCACTGCCTGTATTAATTTTTCTGTGTCGGTCCATCTGTTCGTCTCCAATTGAACATTATTGCAACTTGGTCGTTGACTTATAATATGAGTCCTAGCTACTATCAATCGGTGTTACCATTCCAAACTCGTTATCTGCTATTTACTCTACTAAATGTTCAAGCTTACAATGCTTCATAGTCAATAACCTCCCCACTGCCATAGCTTTGTGTACTGTTTCAGTACATGGTACTTAAAGGGTGAATAACCTTGACACTGATGTTTTGTTGGCCAACCCAGTATATCTTCCTTCCTTCTCTTGTTACCTTAATTGCATACATGGTTGTTAAACTAGGTCAGAAAAAGAGACTTTCTTGACATCCATTTCCATGCTGTAGCACAGGGTAGAAACTGAAAAATGGGGGTACTGTTGGCTTTCTTGATTTATTTGTGTGAAGCTAGCAATTTCTGGATTAGTTTAACCTGTGGATCACTTTTCCATTTTGCTTCCACAGATGAGGATTGGACTTGGGATATTTGAAGACTAAGCCTGTTCTTAATACAGGTTTACCAATTGATGCTGTTTTTCTTTCTTTTTCAACTGTGAACTCTAAAATGGCTAAAGTTATTTCGATGCAGAGAATCAGTGATAATTAAGTTTTGTTAGTTGCTTCAGTTTCATGTTTGCGTGTTTAATATATGCTTTTGAAAATTGTTCATATATATTTATTTTTAGCATAGCTTTATGGTTTGACCATCTATATAGAGCTTAAAATTTTTTAGAATGACTTTGATGTTGCTCTTGTATGTACATACGTTAAATACGTTAAAATTGAAGCCATTATTTAGTTAAATCTCTTGAACTCTCTCCGTCTTTTGCTGACTGGTATCTGAAGTGATGTAACTACATGTCGTTCATCATCTACTCATGATTTCATTTGGGATCTGAATATGAATTTATTGTCTTGGGAAATCATGGAACACATGTGGCTTGTTAATTGTTTCATAACATTAGGAGCATTATCGCTCAAGTATTTGTATGCATCCAATCTAATAGTTTCCTTTCTTTTACTTGCAGTGTATGGGTCGGAATAAATGAAGCCACAGCTCAAGATTGCTCTTGCTTTAGTTATTAGCTTGCTTTGGATTCAGCACTCAATTTGTGGTTAGTATAGCAATTTAGAGAATACTATGTAATTGGCTCTTCATTTGTTTTAAGTAGCATTGATCGGATATATAAAATATGAACAATATAGCAGCTTTTGATATGTTGGAAATCTCGTGGACACTTTTAGGAGTATGGAATTTCAGTTTGCTCGGAATTCAGCACTATTTATTTCACAATTACTAATTTGTCTTTCTAATTTTTGTCAGTGGTGTAGCATACCTTGAATACTGATATTTAGGTGCTTCTTGCATAAATAATGAAAGAAAGGAAATAGCTGCATATGGTACACGGGACTTTGCATGACACTTTATTCCTGCAACTTGAGATAATGGATAATTCTTAATTAGTTTCACTTTCATGTTATTTTCATATGGTGTTTTTTGAGTTTCCCTGTTCCATGTTTTACATGTTTCATCTTAGTTATAAATAAAATCTAAATGAGCCAAAAATCTTTTTTTTTTTCCTACTATTGTTCTTTACAGATGAAGCTTCTGATAAATCTAACCTGAACAAGTGGAGATGTAGATGTTCTTTTGGAGGGAATCATAGCTACGCTCTGGCTAATTGTTCTAAGTCATGTGATTGCCACTCAGGTATGCTGCTAATATTTTACTGGAATGAAAACCAAGAACCACCTGTTGTGTTTTGTTTGGAACCTAAAAGCAAGAAAGCTGGGAAAAGAGAAATAAAAAAAATCTGTAAACTTTGATTAAATTTTAATAAAGAAATTAATTCTCTTTCTCAACAGAGCTGGTGCTCCCTTCTCTTTCACAGAATGAATCTCTTCTACTCCCTTCTCAACAAACCACCTAACCATTCTTTAATCAACTACTTTTAACCTACTCAAACTAATTCTAGAACTACCTCGATTACTTTGCTTTGTTTTCCTTTATTACTGTGTCCTATCAGCTTTTTTCCCTTCTTTTCACTTGTTATATACTAATACTTGATTATTTAGCTTGACCTTTGTCTTTGGGTATGACTAGTGGATGCACTTTTGAAAAGTTTCCTGATAAATTGAATTAATATAGATTCATGCAAGTTGCTTTTATTATAAATTTCAAATTATATTTTTTGATCGTAGAATACCCTATAGAGTGGGAAAAACTCATTGGATATTAGTAGATGTAGGTCAAGTTTTATTCTCCAAATGTTTCGTTCTAGAATTCATGTTAAAGTTTGACACTAGCACAGAGAACCTTTTGGGACTGAGATGCTAAAGTAGCTAATTGTGGTTGATAACCATTATGCATGGGAGGAATGCAATGTATTTCTCCATTTTGGGTGACATGGGGATACAGTGATCATAGCTTGAGTATTATATAGTGACTTCTTTGCCTTCCATGTAGATGCTGAAGAGAGTGCATCCATATGGACATGCATATGTGATTCCAATGGGTTTCCCCAAGTGGCAGCAGATGATCATAGCCCTAATTGCTTTAACGCTTGCAACTGCACTTGGGGTACTACTTTCCCTCCATCTCTTCCTCTTGTCCTGAATTTCCATCTCTTAAGTTTCACTAGCTCTTATATGTGGATACTTAAAACACATTTTCTACGACAGATCACTTCTAACATGAAGATTGTTATGTTTCTCAAATTTGTTACTGGAAAAATTTTGAACCATTTCATACAAAATTGCTGTGTTGTTCCTACGTCAAGCAACTCAGAAACTGAATATATGATTTCTTATAACAGATCACTTACTTGGAAGATTGTTTTTGTTTTCTAATTTTTTATTCTTTTTTATCGTATTTATGTCTTTTCGATATTGGCAAAGTTTATACTGTTTCATGCAAATTGCTGTCTCTCTTGGATCAAGCAACTCAGAAACTGAATATATGATTTTTTGTATTCTTTAGGAACTGTCAGCAATCCTGGAGGTTCAAAGAAACATGTTTCCATCAAGATTGTTGTAGTTATCCTATCAATATGTGTTATATGCACAACTACGGCATTTCTTGTCTCACTTATATGCCATATATACCGAAAGGACCGATGTACTATTCAATCACCAATTTTCTCAACTGATAAGGAGACAAGTAGTGGTAGTACCACCAACTTAATTAGTTATAGGTCTGGAGCTTCTTCGGTGCCAGAAACAAAATATGCAATAAATTCTCCAATTTGGTATATTACAGGTAAGTTGGTTTATACTAGCAGTTCCTTGATTTTAATTTCATGCTTCAAATGTGTATGCCTTTTCAAATTTTATGAATGTATATGCAATTCCAGGGCTTTTCTGTTAATTTGCTTTTGTTCATTGCTTCTCAATTAGCATTTTGTTTTTGTGTAGGATGCTTTCAGAAAGCCTCTTTCTTATTTGGGAGCCCAAAAGAAACTTACTACGGAAATATTTTTCCATTTTCGTTAGCTGAACTGGAAAATGCCACTGAAAACTTTTCATCTTCCAAACTAATTGGACTAGGCGGAAGCAGTTATGTATACCATGGTAGGCTGAAAGATGGTAGCCATGTGGCAGTTAAACGACTAAAAGATCAAGGAGGGCCAGAAGCAGACTCTGCATTTTTCAAGGAGGTTGTTCCTAATGTTGCAATATCATATTCTTTGGCTTCTCGTTTGAACTTATAATGCTCCATAGTGTCTACATAAATGATGAGCCTAAAACATTTTTATTGTTGTACTGCATTCATAGTAATTATTAATTAATCGTTTTGGTTTTTGCAGATTGAACTATTATCTAGACTTCATCATTGTCATTTGGTGCCTTTGCTTGGATACTGTTCAGAGTTAAAAGGAAAACATGTTCAGAGGTTACTAGTATTTGACTACATGGCTAATGGAAATTTGAGGGACTGTTTAGATGGAGTTTCTGGAAAACATATAGATTGGGCTACTCGTGTAATGATTGCAATAGGAGCTGCAAGGGGCTTGGAGTATCTCCATGAAGCAGCTGCTCCAAGAATTCTTCATAGAGATGTCAAATCAACTAACATTCTTCTGGATGAAAATTGGCAAGCAAAAGTATGAATCTTGTTTGATATGGATTGGATGCATGGTGGTGGCAAATTGGAATTACTTTAGATGAAATATTTTACCTTGATTTGCACAGGAATATGTGTTTGCCTTTTAATACAAAGCCAATAAGATACTAAAAACAAATACATAGTGGTGGTTTTGGACTAAAATCCTCTGACACCTTTCTGGCCACTGAATTTCTTTTATGATTATGCTTTCTTTAGAAAGTAGAGTTAATGATTCATAGCTGGTAGTTGTCAGTTAAGTTATAAGGTATACTTCCGTGATCTTTTCAAATATTCAACTTGCAGATAACTGATCTTGGCATGGCTAAAAACCTGAGATCTGATGACCTCCCCAGCTGTTCAAATTCTCCAGCAAGAATGCAGGGTACATTTGGCTATTTTGCACCTGAGTATGCCATTGTTGGTAGAGCTTCTCTTGAGTCAGATGTCTTTAGTTTTGGTGTGGTTCTTCTTGAGCTTATCAGTGGTCGGCAGCCCATCCATAAATCTACAGGCAAAGAAGAAAGCCTTGTTATATGGGTATTTTAGATTATCTTCATAACTAATAACCTTAGCATTAACTTGAATTTACATTTGTTCGAATTAGGAAGATCTTCAATGTGCTAACTCCATGTTCATACTAGGACATAATTTTTCCATATGGATCTTTGACTTTATAATAGCTTGAACTCTCTCGTTTTTCTGTTGTCTTTTTTTTTTTTTTTTTTTTCTCATTTCAATCATTGATTCATCATGTCTTTTGCATCCTTATAATACATTTCGTTTTCCATTTGCAATCTGAACTAGGATGATTGTATTATTGACATTAACCTGCTTCAATATGAACTTGTTGCATAGCTTAGTGAATTCAACTATGATTGTGTTATGGACAGTCAGGCATTGATATAGCTTGCTTAAACTTTTATTTTAGGCTACTCCTCGCTTACAGGATAGTAGACGAGTAATAACGGAGCTGGTTGATCCACAATTAAAAGGAAATTTCCCAGAAGAAGAGGTGCAGGTGATGGCATACTTAGCAAAGGAGTGTTTGCTGCTGGATCCTGACACTCGACCAACCATGAGTGAGGTTGTTCAGATTCTTTTAAGTATTTCCCCGGGAAAATCTAGGAGGAGAAGAAACATTCCAGCCAGCCTCTTTCAGGTAAACACATTCACCATCATATTTTCATTAATAATTGCGATCTTTCTAGTTTCATGTTTCTTATTTTACAAAGTTTTGTGTACTCTGCTAATCTGGTTGTTACACTAGGTGGTACATAGATCATTCTGCTGTAGCATGTAAACAGAAAAATAAACCATATATCCTGATCTCTTTTTCTTGATGGACTTGTAAAGGAACCACGGGAAGTAGAAAAGCAAAGCCAAGCTACACCCATTAAATTTCCAATGCATAGTTCATTGCCAACATATATTGATCATAATCTTTCTGTTGACAACAAAAGTAAAGAAGCAGATGCAGTTTCAGCTGAATATATGGAGAGTTTGATCCTCTTGACTTCACAATCTGATGGCTCTGGCGTATCAGAAGAGGAAATAGTAGACCTAACTGAGCCTAGGTTTGAATCGTTTTGCATCACGACTGGCAAAGCTCCCTGAAAACACAGCACATGTCATGTTCAGAGATGCAGATGGCAGAAGTCTGAGGAATTTATGCTCTGCTGCTTGTGCATGGCTCAATGACACACCAATAGAAATTCTGCAATAAATTATTGTTGAGACTATCATGGTCTATGCATTTTTTTTTTTTCACTTTGTTTTGAAAGGAAGGGCAAATAGGTGGTGTTAGATAAGCACTGAAAAATATTGGTTTGTTTCTTGTACAGAAAAGTATAGGATGATAGAAAAATCTGGTTTTCTTTATGTGGAAAAGAACTAAAGAAGAACCGGATGACATACACATTAATTAAAGGTCTAACGTTTTGATCATAGAAATATTTATGTTACAATTATATTTGCTACCAAGTTTTCTGACCTATGAAGTAGTAAAAATAAACCCTTCTTTCATATCTTTTTGTGGGACTTATCCAAAGAGGGCAAGTGTAAGGTTTGAACATATTTTAACAATGTTCATCCATTCATGATTGAAATCAATGGTACAGTCCTCTTTTTCTTAATCTTTGTTGGTATGTTTTACGTGGATACGTGGTTCTAAATCGATTCAGTTTTGGATCCGTTAAATTTAAACTCATTTAAACCATATATCATATAAAAAATGATCTAATTTAGTTAGGGGTGTCGTCTGTGATAATGAATCTGCATCTGAATGGTTTATGAGGATAATAATGAATCTGCATCTGAATGGTTTATGAGGATAATGATGGTATGAATGCATTGAAAACCTCTAACAAGTGTTTGTTGATGGTTGAGTATTAATTAGAACTTAAAAACGTGGAAGTAACCCTTTCGGGTCCTTTATTTTGGATTGATTTTAAGAAAGTTTGACCAGACAAAGAAAGCAATTCAACAATCTTACTAATATTAGTATCTTAGACGGAATCTATGTTTTCAAACCATCATAGAAAAATACATGAATTCGAAAGAGAGAAAATTGGTTCTCTTTTGTTCAACAAAAATGCAATTATCCAATCATTTTCTGATATGTATTATGCCACTTTTATGAGAACTATACGTAATTGAGCATACATATTGTGAAGTTAGTCTCTTAAGATCATGTTCTCACAAAACGTGTATGTGTTGTCTTAATTCATATTCCCTAAATTTAGAAAAATTGTTTTAATAACTTTTATTGTGAAAAAAGTAATAAAAAATTAATAAATAAAATAGTTTGGACAAATTAATCTTAATCACCAACAATTATATATCTTTGTCTGAGTTATTTTTTATGAGAAAAAAGAAAAGAAAAAGAGACGTACACCTCTTAAGACACTTCTATGATTATAATAAAATAATCTAACATAAAGACTTGTGTTTATTTAATGTTAACTATTATATATTAAATAATATCGAATAATTAGAAATATTTTTCATAAATTATTATTATTATAATATATATTTAATATAATTTGAGCAAATATTTCTAGTAGTAACAAATATAATAAATATAAGAATTCGGACACGGATAATAACTAATTTTGAATTTTTTTTATTTTAATATTTTTTTTAGTTTTTAAATACAGTTTTAAAAATAATTTTTAAAAGAATTGTTTTTAGTACAAGTTTATATAAAAAAAACTTCTTTAATAATTTTACTTTAAAAATAATTTTAAAAAATATTAGACGATGACAAATAGTCATAACAAAATTTAAATAACTATTTTAAAAATTTATGATAACAATAACAAAGTTATCATTAAAAAAAGTGCAAATTATTAATGATAACACAAAACTAAAAATAGAAATTATATTTTATGAGTTTTAACGAACTAAAATAAAATGAAAACAATTTTAACAAAATACTTTAATACTAGTTTTTATATTTTTTTAAAATTAAAAAAATCATTTAAAAAAATAATAAATAAAAAAAATCCTTAGTTTTCAATTTTTTATTTTTTTAAATTATGAAAAAAAATTTAAAATTATTTGGTCAAAATATTTATTAGATAAATTTTAAAATTTTTGAAATTTAAAAACTCAAAATTATTATATCATTTGCCATATTTTATAATTTTTATATTAGAAGAATGTTTTCTTTTTAAAGTTAGGTCTTGGAGGCGCATAATATTTATAAGAAACTTCAAACAATTTATACTAAAGTTTTATAAGTATCCATATGTTTATAATATTTTTACTTACATTTCCTCTTTTAACAATTTAAAATAATTTAATTATTATAATTAAATATTAATTTAATATAATATTTTGACATAATTCTTTTTTAAATTACACATTTATTTCGATACTATAAAAATATTGTATATTAAAAATAAAGAAATTACATAATTGAAAAAAATAACAAAAATTGGAAATAAAAACCTAAAAATTATTTATAACAATAAATATGAACAGTTTTTGTTATTTTCATATTCAAAGCTATTTGCAAGATATATTTCATCAAGTAATGAAATACCTAAATCACAATAAAAAACAATAATTTCACATTTATAAATAAATATTATTTGTTACATATACTAATTTTTTAATATTTTAAAAAATAATTTTTATAAAAAAATAAAAGTTTAATAATTTTTTAAATTTTGGATGTGATAAATATTTTAAAAAAGGTTTTTATTTTCAAAAGTTTAATCATAAAGGATAAATATAAGAAAATAAATAATTAGTTGATTTTTTTGGATCATTAAAAAAAATTATAGAAAAAAAAATTGAAAGATAATTTATGTTGAAAATATTTAGAAAAAAAATTGTGTAAGATAATTTTTTTTAAGTAATATTACTAAAACATAATAAATTCTCATTATTACACGTAAACGAACTTCAATATAATTGTTTATAAGATATAAATATTTTATTAAATTTTTAATATCACTTGACAAGAATTCTAATTCCATCCAAACACGTCTCAGCATTTTGTGATACATGATAATATGCCACTTCCAAGATTCTTTCCTTTGTTGAACAATTATTGATTTCAATATATTACGTATGAAGATGAAACTTTAAGCTAATGGTCCTAGTCAGAAATTTTTCTCAGGCACGTCGAAGTGCATGTTTTGTTAAGAACACAAATAAGTTTCCAAAACTATGTGTATATATATATACACACATATCTCAAGGGATCTGAGGAATCAATAACATAACTTCCTCTCATTTCACCAAAGTAGTGAAGTTTTCCATTGTCACTCACCGCCATGGCCTTCAAAACACTGTTCCATTCCACTTTCGCTTTGCTTCTTGTTTTTGCATTTTGTGCTTTGGAGGCCAATGCTCGCACTCTCCAAGATGCTTCAATTCGTGAAAGGCATGAGCAGTGGATGGCTACATATGGAAAAGTCTACTTGGATTCTTATGAGAAAGAGCAGAGATACCAAATATTCAAGGAAAATGTGCAACGCATAGAGGCATTTAACAATGCTGGAAACAAGCCTTACAAGCTTGGTATTAACCACTTTGCTGATCTCACAAATGAGGAATTCAAAGCCAGAAATAGATTAAAGTGTCATATGGGCTCCACAATAACAAGGACACCCATATTTAAGTATGAACATGTCACAGCATTGCCAACTTCATTGGATTGGAGACAGAAAGGAGCTGTCACACCCATTAAGGACCAAGGCCAATGTGGTATGTGTTTGGATTCAAAGATTATCTTAATTTTGATTTCAACTAGTTAAATGAAAAATATAATTTCTAGTACAGAAGTTAGTTTTAGTTTATATAAGAAACTTTGTTTCTTCTATAGGTATTCATGTACACATAAGTTTATCTAATCAAAACTCTTTTGTATTTTTATTAGGATCTTGTTGGGCATTTTCTGCTGTGGCAGCGACAGAAGGAATCACCAAGCTGAGTACTGGCAAATTGATCTCTCTATCGGAACAAGAGCTTATTGATTGTGACACAAAGGGTGAGGACCAAGGTTGTGAAGGGGGTTTGATGGACGATGCCTTCAAATTTATCTTGCAGAACAAAGGACTTACCACAGAAGCCACTTACCCTTATGAGGGAATTGATGGAAGAACTTGTAATGCAAAAGCAGAAAGCAACCATGCAGCAAGCATTAAGGGGTACGAGGATGTGCCCGCCAACAGTGAGAGTGCACTGCTCAAAGCTGTTGCTAATCAACCAGTTTCAGTAGCTATTGATGCCAGTGGATATGAGTTTCAGTTTTATTCAGGTGGTGTCTTCAATGGATCATGTGACACTAACTTGGATCATGGTGTCACTGCTGTGGGGTATGGAGTGAGTGACGATGGAACAAAGTATTGGTTGGTGAAGAATTCATGGGGTGTAAAGTGGGGTGAAAAAGGATACATTAGGATGCAAAGAGATGTTGCTGCTAAAGAAGGCTTGTGTGGCATAGCAATGTTGGCTTCTTACCCAACTGCATAATTGCCAAACTTTCATACTACCATACATTTCATAATCTGTATATAATGTACAAATTAAGAACAAACCAAACAACACAAATGTGTCAATAACAATACCGATATTTATAGGTCTGAAGAAATTAGAAGAAGTGATTGATTCAAACCTTGTAAATCACAATAAGTGATAGATTCTGTATCACGATTGTACAAAAATATATCATGTTTAATTATACTTGTTTATATCTGTTTATGTTGAAGTAAATTATGTTTTACTTTTGTAAAACTTCCTCCAAATGTGCATAATTGAAAATTGAATGTTAAGAAAGAAAAAAAAACTTTTAAAAAGATAAAATCTCTTCAAGTATAAGATGATTACTAGAAACTCTCTCGTATTAGTTTTTCTAACAGATTATTTTTAATTTATGCAAAAACTTAAAAAATAAAACTTATAAGATGGTTTTAATTTATGAAAAAAATTATTTAATTTTTTTATTTTTCTTTTCTGAAATTTTATGAAAAAAAAATATCCAAAATGTCCAAAAATATTTTTAATAAATCATTTATTTGTATAAATTAAAGTTTCTTATATTCTCTCAATGAATCAAATTATTATAAAAATATATAAAATTCATCTTGGTTTCAATTTTTATTAACTTACAAAAATATTGACATAAAGTATTTGTAAATTTTATAAATAATTTATTTAAAAAAAAATTATGTTTTATAGCGTGATACGGGAGATTAATAAATTCTTATGAAAACTAAGTTTGATTAGAGTTAACACATTTTAAGAATTAGCACAAATTATGAGTAAGCCTCCAATTTTAGTGGATTGAACTGAGTTGCATTTTAAACCTAATTAGTTTAAAATTTCATAACGCGAATGATGGGTTTCAATATTTTTTTGAATTAAATCCTATTTTATTTTGAGTTTTGATAAATCTCATTGTTTTTAAAATACTTTTGTCTTCAAATTTAAATTGAATTAAATACTTTTTTAGAATTTTATATTAATTTGATTTATCGAGTTTAATAAATGATTTACTAAATACTTTTTATAAGTTAAAATTATGAATTAAAAACAATCTTTTAAAAAAGTTAATTGAAAATAATTTTTAGAAATAAACTTATTAATAATTTTAAATTTTAGAAAAAAATAATAATTTTTTTTAGAATCCTTACGAAAAGTTTTATTGTAATAATTTCTTCTCCAACATATTTTCAGCTAAATAAACGAGGGAATTAACATTCAATTTTCAATTATGCACATTTTGATCAGGTTTTAGAAAGGTATAACACATAAATTCCTTCTAGTTTATTTTAATCTCTTCTTCATAATTTTCACTCCCTCGAATTCAGTTGAAACACAAGTTAAAAATCATGATAATCTTAAAATTTTGTCAAATAAAAGACAAAAGTATTATTTAAATGTGTATGAGAACTTTCTTTTTCTTTTTTTACATATTATAAAATATTGTATCTTCTATCAAATTTTTTTTCCCTATTTCATCCTTTACTCTTTCACATTCTAATTAGTTATGCAATATTTTTTACCTCTTATTTATTCATTTTCACGTTTCTTTTAACTAAGTTGATTTTTTTAATCCTTTTACATCAGTTTTCAAATTATTTTTTTAAATACTCTACATTGGTCTTAACATATACAAAATTATTTATAAATAATAAATTGATAATTAAATTTTAATAATTATAATTCTTTTTAAATATTAAAATGTTATTTTTTCAAGGTAATATATAAAAGATATATCTTTGTTGAGCTAAAAACAATATTAAAAATATATCATCTTTTAATTTAGTATCAACATTTAATGTTAAAAAGAATATATATAATAAGATATTATTTTAATTAATTTTGAGGGATAAAATAAATAATATTTAAGATATTCAACTTTTTCATATTTAATTAAATATAGCTATTTTATAATAAAAGTAATAGGACATTAATATCTTTCTTAAATATAACTTACTCTTAAATCCAAAATTTAGTTGCATACTATTTTTTTTAGTTTTTCTTAAAATAAATATTAGTGACAATTATATTATTGTTTTTGTTTAAATTCATATATTTATCGTACCAACTTGAATTTGAATATGATACAATGCTAAGTTCAACAATAAGAATCCAATAAAAATATTTATGCATGATCGTATCTCCAAAAATAATCACAATTTCAAATTTCAATAAAAAAAAATAGAGATATAAAAGATTAACCTCAATTATATAATAGATGCTTAAATGCAATTTGATCAAGAAGAAACTTCTAGAACCACAAATAGATAGGTCATAATAATGGTGTTGCATCTGCTTACTCTTACTATTTCATATACGTACTATGAAATTCATTTGTTTTTATTAAGAAATTTTCACCCTAAAAAGGAGTACAAACAGGGTATATATATAACCCCGTAAAATAGAAAGGAAATAATCTGTCATAACTAAAACTAATACAAAAGAGGAAAACACAGGATTTGTTATAGAAAAACAATTATGCTAGTATTCTCCTTCAAGTTGGACGGTGGATGTCACAAAGACCCAACTTGGATATAGAATTATCAAAAGTTGTATGATGAAGAAGTTTTGTAAAAGTATCCACAAACTGGTTGGAAGACAAAATTGTAAAACTATCCACAAACTTGTTGAATTTTCTCACGAACTACATGATAATCGATCTCGATATGTTTAGTGCGCTCATGAAAATACAGGATTATGAGTTAAGTAAATGACATATTGATTGTTACAATAGATGGGAATATGACCCAATGAAACTTGAGGATCATGAAAAAGATAATATAATCATTGAATCTCATAAGTGAGACTGACTAATGCTCGATATTATGCTTCAAAGGATGAACGAAAGGCATTTGATTGCTTCTTGGATTTCCATGAAATCAAGGAAGAACCAAGGAAAATACAAAATTTCATGATCGAGCAGCGAGTGTCCAAACAATAGGCTCAGTCTGAATCAGCAAAACAGAAAGATGAATGTTAGTAGAGGTAAAGAAAAATAACAGTTTACCGTAAGTGTCAAGGCGTGTAATGAACATCAAGAGGTTGAGCCATAAATTGACTAAACTGCTGAACAGAAAAAAAAAATGTCAAGGCGCGTAAGTGTGAGATATAACAGTTTACCGACTAATCTGCTATAAGCAACAGTTCGGAATACAGTTGTCCATGATTAGCCTGAAGTTTAGTAGAAAGATCAGAAGGAGTGGTAACAGGTTTGGAACCAAATAAATCACTACCATCAAGCAATTCAAGAGTGTATTTATGTTGATTCATGTGAATGCCGAACTTGAACCATGCAATTTATAATCTAAAAAAATAATGAAGAGCACCAAGATCTTTAATCTTGAATTTATTATCCAAGACACATTTAACAGAATTAATTTCGTTCATATCATCACCAACTAAGACAATGTCATCCACTTAAACTAATAAAGCTATGAAAGAAGTAGAAGTAACATTGACAAACAAAGATTGATTTGTAGTTGAGAGATAAAAGAGTGGTAAAAAGAATATTGTGTCATTGCCTACTGGCTTGCTTTAGTCCATACAACGACTTGTCAAGTTTGCAAACCTGAGAAGAACCCGGTTGAAGCAAACCAGGTGGAGGGACCCTATAGACTTCATCATGAAGCTCTCCATGAAGAAAGACATTGTTGAAAGTCTCACATCGCCTACCTCATGTCATTTGGTATGGTTTAAATACATGTTAGGCTACTCCACATATAGCCAATTGGTTTTATGTTGGAACCTTAACATGGTATCAGAGTCAAAGCCTAAGATCTTTCTGGTTATTGTCATGGGTCAAAAAGTACCCTTTGACTGGTCCGGCAGGCTTCGTTGGAGGGGGTGTGTTGAAAGTCCCACATCGCATACCTCATGTCATTTGGTATGGTTCAAATACATGTTAGGCTACTCCACATATTGCCAATTGGTTTTATGTTGGAACCTTAACAGACATTATTCATATCAAGCTGGTGCAGAAACCACCCTTTAACTACTACTATGACTAGAAGAACACGAACAATGGTGATCTTGACAACCGAGGAGAATGTGTCAAAATAATTCACTCCTTATAATTGAGTGTAGCCCTTGGCCGCTAAGTGGACTTTGTATCCATCAATATTGTCATCTGCATGATATTTAACTTTGTAAACCTATTTACAACCAATAAGACTCTTTTGTTGTGGGAGATATACAATAGACCAGGTATTATTTTGCTGTAAAGCCTGTAACTCGACATTCATAGTCTTTTGCCAACAATATAATTTAAATGCTTTGGAGAAAGTAGTAGATTCAAAAATGTTACAAGAGCAATTACATTTGGAATAATCAAGAACTAAGTATAAGGGATGCAAACAAGTACCCTTAAGAGGATGTGTGGAACTGTTAGAAGCAACCACGGAATGACAACGAAAATCTATTAGAGGGTGGTCTGTGAGATTGAGTGGAGTGTCTAATATGTGGAGAAGGCGGGACAGGAGAACTAAGGTTCTGGTTAGAATTTATAGTAGATGGAACGTCTGTAGCATGAGGGTGATTAATAAGCTCGGGTAAGGAAAATGTATTTGCAAGAGAGGATATATCGAATAATAGAGAAAAAATAGAAGTTGAGAAGGGAGTGGTGGAGGAATGAAAAGGAAACACAGTTTCATAAAGAATGACATTTCTTGAAAGAAAAATTTGATGGGTATGGAGATCATACAAAACATAATCTTTAATATCTTCCTTATATCCCAAGAAAACAGTTTTGCTAGCATGAGGCTGATATTTAGTTCTGTGATTTTGAAGCGTAGTGGCATAAGCAAAACAATAACAAATCTTTAAATGGATCATGCTAGGTGATTTATCTTATAATACTGCATAAGGACATTTAAAATGTAATAACGAAGTAGATAATCTATTAATAATATGAACAACTTCTTGAACAACATGATGTCAAAAGATGTGAGGTAGTTGAGCTTGGTAAAACAATGCTCGAGCTACATTTAAAAGATGTTGATGTTTGCGTTCAACACACCATTTCGTTGAGACGTTTTAATACAAGTTCTTTGATGAAGAATACCTTTGGATGAAAAAAATCAGTTAATCCAGGTTTCATATTTGAGTTTGAGTTTGAATACACACCATTTAAAATTCTACTCCATTGTCACTTCGAAAGCATTTGAGTTTAGTATGAAATTGAATTTCAATCAATGAAATGAAATGTATTAAATATGTGCAGGTTTCATATTTAGATTTAATCCAGGTAAAACGTGAGTAATCATCAATTAAAATGAAAAAATATTTGTAATCGCAATTAGACGGTACAAAATATGGTCCCCATATGTCTCCATGAATAATGTCAACAATTTTATGTGACTGTGTTTCACTACTATAATGAGAAAATTTGCGTTATTTATCAAAATAACAAATGTCACAAGGAGAAGGATTTACATGTAAGGGATAAAAGGATATTCTTGGAAAGTAATAAAAATAGAGTTAGAGACATGGTATAATCTATGATGCCAAAGAGAAGCATCTTTGGGTATGATAATAGTGGTATGAGCAGAAACATGATGATGATTGTGATAAGAGTGAGACAGATTTAATATTTACAATCCTTGGTGCAAGCTAGTCGAACCAATCATCCTCTGAGAGGTTTGCTGCAAAATAACACAAGAATTTTTATTATATTAAAAAAGAAGATGACAATGCAAACTTTGAATCAATTTTTGAATAGAAACCAGATTTACATGAAAATTGACAAAGTAATGAAAATAGGTGAAATAGATTTATGAGTGACAAAACTGTAAAAATAAAAAATGATATGATCAATGACACTTGTATCAAGAAGCCCCTAAAAGATGTTTTACCTGGAAGAACAAAAGGAGTTTTAGGAAGAATGGAAGAAGAATTAACCGTCGGAGTGAAATAACATCTATCTCATCCTCTATAGAAAGGATTCAAGTTAAAAATATCATCATTCTTGGACTAAAAATTTGGAGAAGTAGTAACAGTTAGGGCTTGTGAATCAAAAACAGTTTCAGAAAAACTAAGATCAGAATGTAATTGACGTTCTTCCTGAATAACCATGTTAAAAACTTTGGTAATATCGGGAAGATGATTGATTAACATAATCTGAGATCGTACGAGGCATACTGATCATTGAGGCCTTTCAGAAATCAAATGACATAACCTTGCTGCTTATAACGTCAGACAGAATCAAATGCATCACAAGAATATTTGATAGTACATGTGCAGTTAACAAAGGGACAAAAACTATCGATTTCATCATAAAAAGTAGATAACTCTATGTAAAATTAAGTTACAAAGAGAGTACTTTGGTGTAGTTTGTATAAATCTTTTTGTAAATCTGCAATACGAAAGTGAAAAAGGTTGGTTGATGGTGGTTCAGAGAAGGATTTAAGAACGGTTTCATGCACCGATTGTTGGATCCAAGAAATAACCATTGTGTTGCAACGATCTTAAGGTTCATGAAGAGGACTGGTTGATGGTGGTTCGGAGAGAGTGACATTGACGAATTTCAGTTTATTCTTGGATTTGAGCACAAGTTTCATGGCGCGAACCCAAACGCGATAAGTGGAGACAAGAGTAGGAGTAGGATTTTCATTAGAAGGAAGAAAGAAGAAATTTGAGGGATTCATGTGAAAATTAGTATAGAGTTCGGTTATAAGAATGGAGGAAGAAATCAAGAAATAACATCTGACATCGTCTTACTATTTACATACCTATAATAAAATTTATCTATTTTTATTAAGAATTTTTGTCATCATAAAAAAAAGTACAAGCAAGTATTATATATATATATATATATATATATATATATATATATATAATCTCATAGAAAAAAATAATAAAAGAATTTGTCATAATTAAAAATAATATAAAAGAAAAAAAATAGAATTTATGATAGAAAATCAATTATGCTAACACTTATCATTGTTGAAAATTGTCCAAAAAGTCATCTTGTTGTTGTCATTGCTCAAAATAAAATCCTTATAAAAAAAATGAAATTCTAGAAAAGATATAAAATCAATTTTACGTAAAAAAAATATGAAATCCAATCTCAAAAGTTTACTTCAATTTTAAAATAGTCACTACAATTTAAATTTTAAGTTGAGTAATACTAATGAAAAAAATTACATTAATACTACACAAATTAAAAAAAATTAACGTACATTTTACATGTTATTTCAATATTTTTTTAAATCATTCTTAATTTTTTTATTATGATCATTTATGTCATACTCTTTTGTCTAAAATAATTTAAAAAAATAGAGTTATGAGATAAAGTTTTCTTTTTAACTTATTTGTAAAAATACTTTTTTAAAATTGATATCTAAAACTATTTTTAAAAATTAAAAAACAAAATTAAATTAAACAAACCTTAATATAGAAAACACTCAATCCCAAACTCGGTTAACTCACATTTTTTCTATCAACCTAAAGCATGTTGACGAGTGTGTAACTTTAATTATATCTCTAATTGCGGGCAAAGGTCCGTGTTGCCAAGGTTTCATCTTTATATTCTTTTTTTCCTCTTCATAATGGATGATAAATTTAATTTTGAGGATATTTTGGAATAGATTTTAAACCATTCATCAATTCATTATATGATAATATATTTTATTCTATAACAATCCGATAAATGTTATTTTTAGATTATTTACTCACAATTTATTTTGAATTTCTCATTTCAAAGAAGGTTTCTCGAGCGGAAATTCTTTTAATGTATTCTGAATAATATTTTTTAGAAACTATAAGAATTTTGGAAGGTTATTTTTGTCATTCCACTAGAATAGGAAGGTGCAGCAAGTAATTGTGGGAAAAAAGAAGAAGAAGCAAAAACCCACCGCTGTTTCTTTCTACACCCCCATATGAAATTGATGATGGGCTTGAAATTAAGAGGCCCAAGCCAGAACTAGAGTTCCGTGACGTGAGTTTTAACACACCGTTCCATGTTCCCTATATAAACAGCATCGGGAAGTGAAAGTAACCTGACGAAGTAAAGCGAGGTAGAGTGGTTGCCGTCGTTGAGAATGGCCGGCAAAGGTGGAGCGACTCCGGCGACATACTCGCCGTCTCCGACGACCGATAAACAGAAACCAGCGCTTTTCAAGGAAGATTGGGTTCGGCCCGATGGCCGCGGTTTCCACCAGTGCAGACCCGCGTGTAAGTTCCACTGGCTTTCAAATAGAACCATTCTATCTCTTTTTTCTCAATGCAATTGAAATCTCAATATATGGTTCTCCATTATCTATGATTATACTCTTTTTATTATATGAACGTTAGTTTTTGTCTTCTTGTGCGTAATATTAAGGTTTTCATGTGTATGATGTCTATATTGATTTCTGACGCTGAACTGTTTGAATAAATGCTGTTTACGGATTACGATGGCGCTTTTGGAAGAGTGGGAACATAGTAACATTTTGTTTTCCTCGTTTTTTTTTTTTTTAACTTGACAAACAAATGCTCCACAATGCCATGATTTCATTTGGTAAAGTGAACTTTAGAGAATCAAGGGTGTTCCTTCAGACATTATTCAATTATTGAATATAGAGACAAGGATCGAGTAATAAAATATTTATGTATTTAAGCAGTGAGTTTGCACATGGCAAAGATTACGTTGGGTTTGGTCCTAGTAGAAAAGAGTCTATACCTGATGATTATTAACTAACATCCATATCGACTACTAGGAAGGAACAAATGTATTTGGTCATAATTGGTCTGTGGTTCCAAATAATTTTCTTGGACAATTGCCACCTTGGACCTAATGTCCGAATGCGACCTTTCAGTTTTCAAAGGTCTTCAACCTCTTATCTGATTTCAATAGATGGGCATGCACCACAAGTTCCAGGATGCTTGGCAAAAGCCATCTCCTCCTGCCCCAGGAGTGCTGCCTACTCCTATGCCTGGGAGAGTGGTATTAGTCCTTCGATAGGATCCACCTCTGACGCATGGGGATGTACGTGACCGAAACCAATTTGAGAGAGATTCTAAAGGTTTGAAGATAAGTGATGCTTTGTTCATTGGTGTTGCTCCATTTCCTTTAAAGAGTATAGATGATTGTAGGTTAGGACTAGAACAACCGTTTGCAATTGATCCATTGATGGAGTTGGTTCTATTTCAGACAGTCACCTTGATCCAGGCAGTAGAATAACATCTGTCGTACCTGCTTATGTCCAACCTGATATTGACAATATATGGTATGGAATTATTGTGAAAGGGGACATCCTATTTCTCATTCTGTATGTGTGGCTATTGGAAAAGGATACAGATTGAGATTTTTAATGTTGTAGATTGTGCTGCTAGGACCGGATAGATTGCCAACTCATCTAGATAAGATGGCTAAGTTGAGGGATGTGTAAGCTTTTCTAAGCTCTTATCAGACAATATCTCTAGTCAATGTGGAATTTAGTTTTTCCAAATACACCCTTTCACATCCTACACTTGTTGGTCTTGGTGTATGGATAATATGGTAAATCGGATAATAATGGATCTAGGATATGATACCATGTTACAAGGACTTTGTATGTTAGAAAATGAATTCATTTTCATTCATCAAAAGAGTTTGTTTACACAGTGAGGTACCTCAATGCAACTGAAGTAAGAAAACTCTAACTAATATAAAAACTGATTAACTAATCATCTAACAGAACACTAAATAACTTCTGATAGTTGAAATCAACAGTAAGAATCACTTATTTTCTTTGGTATGTTGATTAATTTCCTGGTTTTTTTACAAGAAACACCAATATTTTGTGACTTGCAGTTTTCAGGACTGGTGCTGTGAATGCAGCATCTGGATCTGCTTATGCTGAGTTTGGAAATACCAAGGTCATTGTATCTGTGTGAGTGGCTCTTTTGTCTCACAAATGTGTCACTTAAGTTAGCTTGATGAGGGTATTTTTTTTTTTTTTTACTTTGTTGTTTGTTATGCTCTCTGCCTAATGTGGATAATTTTCATTGTATTTTTTAATATAGATTTGGGCCAAGAGAGAGCAAGAAGGCGATGATGTACAGTGATATAGGGCGTTTGAATTGCAATGTCAGCTTTACAACGTTTGCAACTCCAGTACGAGGGCAGGTATATGATAGGCTGTGTAACTTTTTCCGTTTCTCCATCTTCATGGCCATTTGAAGTGACCTGTCTAATATATTAAATCTCACAAAGTTAGGGTTCAGACCACAATGAGTACAGTGCGATGCTTCATAAAGCTCTGGAGGGTGGAATAATACTGGAAAGTTTCCCCAAGACAACCGTGGATGTTTTTGCATTGGTGCTGGAATCTAGCGGCAGTAAGTATTATACAATTTCATATTTATTTTCAATCTAATTTGTGCATGTATTGTTTTTTATGGTTGTAAATTTACTGACAAAAATTGTGCTGGACATAAATATACTAAGAAAATAGTAAGGAAAACTAATGTATGTTTGTCTTCTTATCTACCTTGCTGTTATTTAATGGATGCTTTGTGTCTTCTCTTGTATAAATGTGAACAGGTATTTTGCTTCAACATATTTTTGTTTAGTCAATCATTAGGTGTGGTTTAATTGACAAATGTATAAGAATGAATTTACCTGTAATGCATGGATTTGAAGCTCATGGACAGACTTTCTGATCAAGGCCACACCACCAGGTACTTGACTAGGGATTATTCACACGCTATTAGGGGTGGCAACAGCTTGTTGGAGATTAAAAAACAGTAGTTTCTTTAAGTTCATTACTTCAATAGGTTCTTGTGGCAAGAGATGTCAGCTGGTGCTTCTGTTGTGTGAAGCGTTTGTTGCCTATGATGAGAATTGATTCCACGTAGCAAGTAGTATTAATTTAAGTTTTCTTTGATAAAGGTTTCCAAATGTACCAGCAGCAGTCTTGTCAATAGAAGATTGCAGAAAGCCAAAATTCTGCCAACCCATACCATATATAAGAATGGGTAAAATTTAAGTGTGAAAAAAGTCATGCCCCGTAAGACTTTAATATTTGCAGGTTTCAAGTGTAGGGAAAAAGTCCGGTGTCCTAGAAGGCTTGATAATGTGTTAAGACTCCATTTTTTTCATATATGTCAGCAACTCTTATCAGATATGTGACCCATGCTAAAACTGCAAGAGGCCTAATGATTAATGATCCTATTTAAAGTTTGGAGCAGTCAGAAACGCAATATAATTCAAATGTTTTCTCAACATCATTAAGTTTCTAGCAGGTTATAATAATTTTAGTGGACATGTTGCAGGTGATCTCCCAGTTGTCATATCATGTGCTAGTCTTGCTCTGGCTGATGCTGGAATAATGATGTATGATCTTGTTGCCTCAGTTTCTGTGGTATGGACGCACGTAGCTATATTCTCACTAATATGTGCATGTTTTGTAGTGTGGATAATCTGTTTCTCCCATTTTAAACCTTATCTTGAATTTGTTATTATAAATCAACTTCTATTTTCTTATTCTCTTATAATTTCTGACATAGTACCTGCCTCACAGATTTCATTCTATATTAATTTACGGCTTCATGCAGGAGTTTTATCCGCTGTAGCCTAAAAATATGTTTTTAAACATTTTTATTCATTCCAACTACCTTTCTGTGGATACCAAAATCTATGGCATAATTGCATTCTAGCGTGTCTTCACAAAACTCATTATGATGAAATGAGATCGTCATAATGAAAGTTAGTGAAATTTAAGTTGTTCCTTCATGATGTGATCTTGCTCCTGAAGTCTCATTATTATTTTCTAATGATTGCAGTCAAGTTTTAGTAAGAACCTTGTCATTGATCCTGTTTTGGAGGAGGAAAACTGCCAAGATGGTAGTTTAATGATTACTTGCATGCCTTCTCGCTATGAAATCACCCAACTCACTGTTACTGGGGAATGGTCTTCCCCGAAGATTAACGAGGTTTGCCTATAGTTTTTTAAATCTTTTAGGAAAATGCATATTTTGACGTCGTGAATTTATGTCTGGATATAAGTCTTTGTATGATTGTTTCAAAATTGTTATTGTATTAACATCATGAGAATATAGATGAGAGGAACTCTCTGACATTTTAGTTTCCCACATGCAGGGAATGCAGCTGTGCTTGGATGCTTGTGCAAAGCTTGCTAAGATTATGAGGTCATGTTTGAAAGAAGCTGCTTCGGATTCTAAGGAGTAGAATGGCAGCTCTATGTTAGTACATATCACGAGATGTGCTGTTAATTTTTTGTCATATTGAGATATAATTTTGTGTTGGAGGTAGTAGGGAGAGGTGCTGTTCCACATCCTGAAAATTTTGTGCTCATGAGCTTGTCAAAAAAAGTAAAGATTATTGTTATATGATGTCACATAGTTTGACGAGTGAATTCGATCTTCCTCTGAATTAGGAAATTGTCAATTCAACCTTGGGTTGGCCCTCCTATTTTTCATCACCAACTCCCAAAAAAGGAAAGAAAACGAAAACCCAAAATGCAAACAAAACGATTCATTTCATTTTGTATTGTAATTGTTATTTCCATTTTTCCTGTCATTTGAATGGATTTAGTTACAGTTGTGCTCATCTGTCTCAACCACCGCTAGAAAGCTAAAGACAAAATTGGAAGGTAAGGAAGAAAAAATGAATTAAGTTACAGTTGGTTTATTTTTTTTAGTATAGTTCATAATTAAATTTTATTAATATTTAATAATAAAAATATTATTATTATTATTAATAAAATATAGTTGTGTATAGGTTGTAAGTTGAAAACCGGTGGTCAAAATTCAGGCTTTTAAAACATGAAAAAACAATATGTTGTGGTGGTTCGACCTATTTGTGGGTTAAATCAAAATAACTGAGTTCCTGGAAGCTGATTTTTTTATTTTTTTTTTATATAAGGTTAGGTGAGTTTTGTTCAGAGGTTGATTTTTTTTGGTGGAATAAAAGGATTTGGCTAGTGTTTTTTTATCAGGAAAACATGAATCTTTGAAACTTTAATGAATTGTGCTAGGAAGGATGTTTGGTTTCATCAATTTGTTGACGACAAATGGCTTAGTATTATGTAGTTTACAGAATTTATTAAGTTGGACCATAAAAAACCAGGAATCTTGTCGTAAACCTTAATTTAGCCCTAGGAAGTCAGTAGTTACATCATTGAACAGTGCAGTGCTATGTTTTGTGTGGACATGTAAAGTATGAGTCACAAACGTTGTCATGAATGAAAGAAAGAAAAGAGAAACATGAGCTCTCCTTGGGTGCTTCTATATCATAGACAGTCTGTACCAGTTGATTTGATATCATTTGGAAGGTACAACCAATCAATCTTCTTCATTTAAAGCTTACACAAGGCCTGTCAACCCTTTATTTTATGTATCTGCATATAAAACAATTTACTTTTCTTTTGTGCCTTGTAGTCAGTCATATATAATTTACATACCTTTTCCTTTTCCTTTTCCTTCTCCTTCATTTCATACAATGACACAACATATGCCATTTCTGTCAACTTTCATAAATAATTGAATGAAATGGGTTAGCACATCAACACTTCATTTGGGTGAAGGATCCAAAAACAAAATAAAATAAAATATTCTGCATGTACCAAGAAGAATAGATCTGAGATGAATTCCAGATTTCATTTTGAGAAAATTTCAGATGATACCATAAGTACTATTTTTAATACTTGTATTTTAGTTAACTTAATCATTCTCTCCTATCACATCTTTTTTTATTTTATAAACTAATAAAATGTTGATGCTATTATGATGTTAATAATGAACAACCAATAAAACCAATATTGACTCTTATTTTTTATATATAAAAAGAAGAACATGGATTAAAGGCAAATGTGTAAATTAATTGAAGACAATATTTAGATACGATCAATTTCTAACTATAATACATTTATAACCTTTTGACCTTATTTAAAAACTTGTAAATTCAATTTTGAATATATAGTGTAACTATATTATGCAGGCATGTGAAGAATTGATATCAAAAATACCCATTTCCACACTTCTATAAAATTTTATGAGTAATTACCAATATTCAAGTTCAAACTCACTCAAAAATTTCATCATCATTTTATTCTTAATAAACATAATATACTTATTTTTAATCTCAACTTCTAAAATATTTTATCAAAATAATATACATATAAAAATCTTACATCTTTTAAGAATCCAAACTTGTATAATCTATTAGAATAGTTTATAAAATTCACAACAAAATCACGCTAACACTAAACATATATAATACATCATCCATATACCTATTAATGACGAGGTTCTCTCTTGTCCTGTATTTGAGAAACAAATTAAACTCAATTAACTAACATACCATTTCTATATTCGGAATAATAAACAACTTTTATATTAAAAAAACAGCACTTAATATTTTATTGCAATACACACGAAGCAATGATTTAGCTTCTTGTCCATTAGCACTTAAGAAAACCAACATTTCTGTAACTAAACCATATATATTAATCAAACGCGAAAGCAACACAACTAATTAATACTATATAGTATATGTTATGTATGATGCATAATAAGTAGTATTAAATGTGGTTCATGCTTACCAAAATGTTGCATCGTCAAACATGGAAACACACTGTTAAGGTTGAGGATGTAGGAGGTTTGTGTTATTTATTATTATTATTATTATTATGATTTTCAATTCACGTTTAAAAACGAAGAATGTAATGTTATAGTTGTGGGAGAGAAGTATGGGTTCTCAAAAGAAAAAAAGTTATAATATTTAAACAATGTGTGTGACTCTGTCCCTTCCAATGGGGCACTGTGTCTGTGGTTGATGCTACTTCATTGTCATATCTATACCAATGTAATATACTAACAAGGAATTAATATATATGACTTAATTTACTACAACTATTTAACTTCACTATTCATTGTCCATATAAAATCTATGTATCACAACTTTTGTGAGAATAATATTAGAAAGTGCATAAGTTCGTGGTGAAAAACCAATATTTTTCCCTTCAGTATTTTATTCATTTTTAATTTTACTTAATTACTCTCTAACTAAACCCATAAAAACCAATATTTTAGACCATGTATGGAAATAAATCTAAATTCTCATATATTAGAGATAAAATCTAAAAAAATAATTATTATATTATGAATTGATTTTATAAAAAATAAATTATACCTAAACTTTTACAAACCAATTAAACTAACACCAATTAAATTAAATATGTATTATTATTATTATTATTATTAAAATATATGAGTTAAATAGGTTTATTTACTAAGTGGATTACATGGATTGCGTCACTAAAATATTTTTTGTCCATAAATTTATACTAAAATATGAGTAGAAAAAAATATTAAAAATTGAAAAAAATAGATTAATTTACAACTAATCCAACTCGAACTTATTAAACTCATGGATTAAGTAGGAACATTTTTTTTTACACATGTATTAAAATTTTTCAAGTTCAGTGAACTCAGCTCAAACGAATATATAAGGAGTCTTATTGAAATAAAGAAATATAAGTATGTTTATCATTCATACCAGAATAAATGAAATTAAAAAAAAAATTATAATAATGAAAAAAGACCTAATAAATGAGATTTCAGATAATTGTTTACATAATTTTATTCTGTAAAAAAAATTACTCGTTGAAATAATGAGTTATTATTAATATCAACACATCTGAAATCACTTAATATATCTTATTAAAAAATATATAAATAAATGATAATTTTTTATTTTACACCATTAGGTTTAAGTACCTTAGACTATGATCTGATTAAACTTTTGTCAAACAAATTGTTTTGAAAATAAAACTTAATTATTCCATATTTTATATATATATATATATATATATATATATATATATATATATATATATATAAATTAACCATCACTTATGAACTTTATTACAACTATAGTTTGTCAAGTAAAAAAGAAAAAGAAAAAGGCATTGATTTTGGTCTATATAGTAATATAATATGGTGTATAATACGATTACGGAGGAATAGTATAATTTTATAGAATAAGTAATTGTGATAAACTTGATAATATAATTCGAAACTTGATCTCATAATTTAAGTGATACATTCTATACATAAGGCACTAAGTTTTAAATTTACATCTATAAACATAATTTTGAATTTGAAGTTATATTTAACTATTCAATTATTTAAGTCCAAATTTTTGAGGTATGGTATTATTTATTGTCATTTTAACAATGTTAGCTTACAAGATAAATATTGTTAATGTAACGATTGACATTGATATACAAACGGCGTCGTTCAATAAACTTCATAGAGTCATAAAGGGAAAGCGTTGATAATTTCATTTAAAAGATATCTAATTTAAATGCGCAATTTCTTTATAAATAATGATTATTTAAAACATTAATAAGACATTTTTCATGTCAATTTGTCATGACACAATTTTAAATACATGTCATGTTTCAATAATAGTCTAAAAGAGAAATAAAATAAATAATAACTGTAACACAAATAAATATATATTTTTTATACATAACTAAAGAAAGATTTTTATAAATATTAATTAAACTATAAGAGGAAGAAATAAATATTAATGTAACACAAATAAATATATATAAATAGTAAGATATACATTTAAAAACATCTCATTTTAAATATTAGTATAAGAGGGGAAGAAATAAACGGAAACTTAACATAAATAAATAAATAAAAATAATTATTGTTTATAAATATTTATCTAAGAAAGAAGAAAATAAACGATAACTAACATAAATAAAACATAGTTTTTTCAAGCAGAAAAAAGATATACATATTACCTTAAAAAAACTAATTCGATACTTGATTAAGTAAGAATTTAACATATATAAATAGTTTCTTTATAAACAAAACAAGGATACACACTGTTATTGAAATAGAATTGTTTAATATTTTACACAAATAAAAACTTCATTTTATAAATAAAAATATTCTTTTTCTTCTTTTTAACCTTTCAAGAATATAATGTTTCATGTTTGTTTTTTTTTTTTTACAAATAATATTTTCAGGAAACATGATGTTATGGAAATAGTTTTTTACCAAATTTTCCAGAAAACACATTCTTATAGGAAAACAAACAAGAACCTAACTCTCATGAATTGAAATAATAGAAGAAAAAAAAACAGTGAAAAGAATGAAAAAAAAACTCTATTAAAACATTTAATATGAAAATAAATTAAAAATTTAATAAAAATAATGAATTAATTCTATTTTTGTTGAGAAAACCATATAAATATATTAACAATATTTTTTATTAATCAAATAAAATTTCATCATTGAAATGTGCAAAATAAAATAACTTTATGGTAACTCATAAGGTTGAAAAGGGAAACTAGAACACACCGACAACCACTTTGTTCCTCAAACGATGTCGTAAAAGAAATTGCTGTCAAGTGCCCCCACAACGTTTCTCATGTCATTTTCTTGTTTGATTATTAGTTATTTTTAACGTTGAATACCTTATCTTAATTTAATCATTTTTCTACTGATATGAATGTTGTCATTGTGTTTATTTATCTATTTGTTTTGTTCATATTATTAATGAGTTAAAAGTGGCTGAAAAGTGGGATTGAGTGAGAAGAAAATGACACATGTTAAGGTTCCCCAAAAACGTATCTAACGTAGTCAACTTCACACGTTGAAGAAAGCAAGCAGCAACTGTGTTCATCCTTTCTTTAGGACCATCTTTTCCTCTCTGTCTCCAGCAAGATACCTTACTTGGTTGGACTTTTACATGCCTCTCTGGCTCAGCCTCATCCGTGCTCTTTGCTTTTACACGCTTCTCGAACAATACTTTTTCTCCCTTTTCATTTGAGTCTTTATTGCGTGTGTGATTTGAGTGTGAGTTTTTATTTGCATTAAAGTCATTTTCTTTCTATTTTCCTAGGCTCTTCCGTCTTCAACTCTTTTAAATTGACCATTTGGGTTGTGAATACAGTTTTGTCTTTTGTTTTGACTGTACGTGATCACCCATTTTTTAGGGGTGTAATGGAATGTAAGTAACAGCCAATGAGGAGCATAGTACTCTTCCTCTCATATTTTGCAACCAACCCATTTAACGTCGTTTTTCAATCCTCCAAATGCTTTTCTGGTTTGCATATCATCTACTTGTGTTTATGTTAGATGATAATCCTTGTCGGTGGTGAAACAAGGGAGTGGAACCTAGAAGAGATTGTTACTAGAGGTGTAAAGGGAAGAACTGGTTGGTTTTATGTGACATGGATTTGCTTGCAGTTGCAGCATTGTCTATGGTTTGGAATATGTATCACTTTAACTGCTGCTCCTTCCCTGTCTGTCAATTTGAATAGCAGTAAGGTGCATAATAACTTGCACAAAAAGTGCATTTTTTATTCGCACAATCCGTGAGTCTGTATGGTTTATTTATCCAATGTGTTATGCCCCTTCTAAAGTTCCATCTTTTGTCCACTATTGTTTCAGTGATTGATTTGCATATTGTTGGTGTCTTCTTTAACTCCAACTTTTTCATAACAATGCAAGCATTGATAGTTTAAAATTTGGGTCATATTCTGGGTTTTGAATACATGCAATGTAATAAGTACAATTTATTACCCAGTAGTTTTCTCCGTAACTACACTTTATGGTCGAAATTTCATCCTTAGTTAATTAGTTAATTTTACCTGCAAAAGGGCTCAACAACTTTGATTCAACACATACATACATATACATATATATATATATAAAATTTAATCCATTTCTTTTGTTCTCAGCGTCATCATGTTGCTGATTGAGAGAAGTTGACACTTGTGGAAAATCAGTATGGCTTCTGATTGTTCAAGATTTGTAAGGTGAATCTCCTTCCTAGTTTACCTTTCAAGCTCTAAACAAGAGCCAATTGCTGTCTTTTAGCTATCGAATAAAATGATTTTCATAATCTATACTATTAGCCTCTAATGTAAAGGTCCACTTTATAGATTTCAAGATGACCCTGAACTTGTAAAATGGCCAACAACAAACGGTGGCAATGGAATCAGGCGCAATGGAACACAAGAAGCTGGGACAAGGGGTAAAAAGGGTCTGAAGGAGACAAGGAAGTTCTTGAAGACTAGAGTATTGTCAAGAGTATTCTCAGAGGATTATGAGAGAGTTAGAAAAAGAACTTTATTAGATCCCCGGGGACAAACCATTCACCGATGGAATAAAATTTTCTTGGTAGCATGTTTAGTATCTTTGTTTGTGGACCCTCTATTCTTTTATTTGCCACTAGTTCGAGACGAAGTGTGCATTGATATTGGAACAGCACTTGAAGTTTTCCTGACAATGATAAGATCCATGGCAGATGTGTTTTACATGATTCAGATTCTCATGAAGTTTCGAACAGCTTATGTTGCTCCTTCTTCTCGGGTATTTGGGAGGGGAGAACTTGTCATAGACACTTCTAAGATAGCTACTAGGTACCTGAGAAAGGGTTTTTGGCTAGACTTCATCGCTGCATTACCTCTTCCTCAGGTAAGTTACAATAGTTTTCCTTTATCTTGATCAAAGCCAACGTGTTTTGACTTGTTATTTAAAATTGATACTGCTATGTTTGTCACAGGTGTTAATTTGGATTGTGATCCCCAATCTTGGAGGTTCAACCATGGCAAACACAAAAAATGTGCTTCGCTTTATCATCATTTTCCAATATCTACCAAGGTTATTTCTGATTTTTCCACTTTCATCCCAAATTGTAAAAGCTACTGGGGTTGTGACAGAAACAGCATGGGCAGGGGCTGCTTACAACTTGGTGTTGTACATGTTGGCTAGCCATGTGAGTATATGAAACTTGCATTTCCTTTATTATTGCTCTAGCAACTTCATGTTGGCACTCCCACAATATATATATCAGCCTTTTTACTCTTCACATTTTTCACGTGAGTTGAAATTAGGGTAGAAATGAAAAAATTGAGTATCATATAAATAAAAAATATTACAAATTTAATATTTTTAGATTTTGAGTTGAAGGTAATATTATATTTTCTAGTCTCCCATCTGTAAATACCGGCGTAATGTTGCCTCTCTCAGCCGTTCATTGAGAAAAATCTACATACCTGATGCTAATACCTATGTTTAGTGAAGGAAAATCTAGTTTTACATTTAGAATATAAAATTGATGATGTGTGAACCAAATTCTATGTTGCAAAGAGGTGTTGTGAAGACATCAAAACAAATTCAGTAAGCTGAGTTTCTTAACCAAAGGACTTCTCTTTTCTTGATTCAAATAATTTATGCCAAACTTAGCTAAAATGGGGCACATACATATATGCCAGTGAGAAATAATTTACGATTTTGCCTACAATTTGCATTTATGTAAAGTTCTGTTTCAGTGACATCTTAAGCTAGTATGTATCTAACAGTAAATTCTTCATATGCTCTTTAATTAGTAACTTCAAGTGTAAGCATATATGATATATGTCTCTAGCAAAATTTATTTCAGAACAATATTTATGCATTATGATATTAATGATATAAATAAAGAAAATGTACCATACTTCACTGATACTCTTTTTTTTTGGGTTGAAGTTTTTAGGAGCTAGCTGGTACCTTCTATCGATTGAGCGACAAGAAGCGTGCTGGAGGAGTGTCTGCGATATGGAGCAATCTTGTCAATATGGATTCTTTGACTGCAGACGGATTGAAGATTCCTTCAGGGTGTCCTGGTTTATAGCAAGTAATATCACAATTTTATGCTCACCAAAGGCTAACTTCTATCAGTTTGGTATATACGGTGATGCTGTGACATCCCAAGTCACTACCTCATCATTCTTTCACAAGTACTTCTTTTGTCTTTGGTGGGGCCTAAGGAATCTGAGGTAAGTCTTCTTTGGGAGTTCTCCACTACTCCTATGTGTCAGTGGCACCGTAACAAGACTATCACCTTGCTCTCTTAATATTTAACTGTGTGTAAACACTACACAGAAACAAACATTTTAGTTTTTCTATTTCCTGTATCTATACAAGGATTTTTATTTTTTTGCATTTTTTGCATGAAACATGGATTAAATACCAATTAAGGTAATCTCAAACTAATTTAAGTTTTTTTTCTTTTCTGATTCAAAACAAAAGTTGATTATATTCAAGTTTAATGGAAGGATATATGGGTAACTACAAATGCAGAGACCTGTAGCAAATGAAAGTAGGAATTTTTTAGCCTTAATCATTCTATCACTCGCTTCAACATGCTACTTCTTATTTTTTATCCCTTTAGCATTAATAGTTAGGGATTTTCTGTGCAGTTCATTGGGACAAGGTCTTCTTACTAGCACTCTTGTTGGAGAAATAATGTTTGCCATTGTTGTTGCAACCCTTGGACTGGTTCTTTTCGCGTTACTTATTGGTAATATGCAGGTAATTGTGTATAAATTGTCTCTCTTAGCCTAGCAGCTTAATTTGCATGTCAGTTATTAATTTCTCTTCTAATGTCTTGGTAATGACAAGATAATGCCTCAACATAACGACCACAATCTGCTTTGTATTATCCAAACTCAATGTTAAATGCTTGGATGGTGTTTCCAGTTTGTGCTTCATACATTTCGCTCTGCATTCTCATTTGTTTCATTCTTAGAATTCTGTCGACAGAAATCTTTAATTCCCTAATTTCATGAAATAGTTTCAAGATAGCCTTGTCCAACCACCTAGTACTAAAAGAAACAAAATTTCCTTGATGTATATGTATGCTTAATTCTCCATATCATCTTCAAATTACATGCTAGAGATTGAGCCCAAAATCAACCTCAAAACTGATGCACTTTTAGTTAGCTGCTTAGCATGGAAATAGAAGAAAATACTTCGTTGGGTAACAAATACAAGATGAAAAACCACCTTCATTCTAAAATCTTAAAATAGTAGATTCATCTCCTTATATAATATAATGCTCAACTTTCTTAATTTTTTTCAACTCATAATTAAATTCCAACCTACTTAACAAATGAAAAAAATTTGGCAGACATATCTCCAATCAACTACTGTTCGCTTAGAAGAGTGGAGGGTGAGGAGAACTGATACAGAACAATGGATGCATCACAGGCAGCTACCCCCAGAACTTAGACAATCTGTGCGCAAATATAACCAATATAAATGGCTGGCCACACGGGGGGTAGATGAAGAAGCTCTTCTCGAAGGACTTCCAGCTGATCTTCGGAGAGACATCAAGCGCCACCTTTGCCTTGAACTAGTTCGACGAGTAAGCCACTCACTCATCAAATTTTACTTGAACAAACCCTCATTTTGCTCCCTATAATGCATGCATTTTAAATATGAAATGAATCTTGGAATAACCTCTTTCACTTAAAATATATTTTATTGATGTTGAGGATGGTGACGACGACATGTGAAACGTATGAACAGGTGCCGTTGTTCGATCAAATGGACGAGAGAATGCTCGACGCAATATGCGAGAGGCTGAAACCGGCACTGTGCACGGAGAACACGTACCTTGTTCGCGAGGGCGATCCCGTGAACGAAACTCTCTTCATAATCAGAGGGCACCTGGATTCCTACACCACCAACGGAGGCCGCACCGGTTTCTTCAACTCTTGCCGCATTGGGCCCGGCGATTTCTGCGGCGAGGAGCTGCTCACGTGGGCCTTGGGCCCACGGCCCAGCTTCATCCTCCCTTCCTCCACTCGAACCGTCAAGGCCATCTCCGAAGTGGAGGCCTTCGCCCTCATAGCCGAAGACCTCAAGTTCGTGGCCTCACAGTTCAGAAGACTACACAGCAAACAACTCAGACACAAGTTCAGGTTCGAGAAATGATACGTTGTTTGATGCGTTTAATGTCGATATACTAAATGTATTTTTGTTTAGGTTTTACTCGCACCAGTGGAGAACGTGGGCTGCATGCTTCATACAAGCTGCATGGAGACGCTACAAGAAGCGAAAGGAAGCTGCAGAACTTAGAGCTTTGAGCTACTTTCAGTCCATGGGTGAGGGTGAGGGTGAAGCGATGATGACAAGGAAAGGTATTGTGCATCATGCTCATTCTGGAATGGATTCAGATGGAGTTGTCAACTCTTTGCAGAAGCCAGAAGAACCAGATTTTTCTGTTGGTGAGTGATGAGTTTGGATTGTTATATGCCCTATATAGGGTTATTCTTTTATTGGTTATTCATATCAATTAGGATTCAGAATTTCTTGTGAGGAGCTGAGATAATTGTTCATAATATGTATAATATTGTTTATACTTCAAAACCAGAACATTGGGTAAGAGATGAATAAGATTTTTTTGTCAAGTTTTATTTCTCTGTCATTTGATCATGTCTAAGGTCTAGTATTTTCATGTTTCCAAAAATTTAATTCAAGAAAACGGTTCTTTTACATTATAAAAATTTGCTTTTGGAGCACACTTGGAAGAGTCACATTCAAGTTTATGGAACAGTGGAAGGACAGTCGTGTCATTGTGGTCCACCAATATTCCGTTCCATCTCTCTCATCTCATCTTCCCCAACGGTGGAAGCTCTGTCACGCAGCACAATATGAGCCATGACTTTTTGTCTTCATGGGCTCAAAACATTGCTTTGGGTATCATAAAAATCCCCTGTTCTCTTACAACACTCATGCCTTCTTCTGGAACTCTGGGGTATCATAAAAATCTGTTTAGCATTTCAATTGGTTTTGGAAACTCAATGTTCGAAATGTAAAAAACTGACTTAAAAATTTGACTCTAAAAATTAAACTTTGAAAGCCCACTTTTCATGATCTATAATTTAATTATGAAATAATAAGATGAAGATGTAATTATTCGTTTAGTTTGTATAGTTTTACAATTTCATATTTTAGTTGTTAAAACATATCATTTTAATCTTTAATCATATCATTTTTAATCTCTTAATTTATAGTATTTAAGCTAATAAGAACTACGAGAGATTAAAAATTATATATATATATATATATATATATATATATATATATATATATATATATATATATATATATATATATATATATATATATATATAAAGATTCAAAGGAACAATTTTTCAAAAGATAATGTTTATTCTAGTATACAGACTAAAATAATTTAACCTAAAATCAATTCCATGCATGAGAATATTGTTAAAATAAATTTTGACAAGACAAAAAGAAATGTAAATAGAAAAAGAAAGTGCAAAAAGAAACTCCCAAACCAATAAACTGAACCAAACTACATACACTCATAACCCAACCCATCATTAAACACAACAACTTTATTTCTAAACTTGAACCTAAAGAGAGAGAATGTAGCGGTTCGAGTTTTTTTTATTCTAAATTAACAAAAGAAAAGAAATAATCATATGATTTATGTCTAAAAAAATCATTTTAGGATGAAAAAAAAGTGTCTCTAATTATATAATTTTTTAAAAATTTTGTGAGTAATTACTATCATATATATTCGAAAAGAGGAAAAAAATGAGTGAGACTCCAAAACTTCCACATCATACTTTACATTTGATGGATTGAAATGCAAAGAAGAACAAGCACACCAATGCAACAAAGGAACAATTATACTTTAAAAGTCATAAACTTTGACCAATTGTCTTTTGTTTGCATAAGCAAAGGATCTTCCTTTTATATGATTCCCTTGGGATTTTTATGTTTCCTAGAAAATAGGAAGGAACTATGTATGAAAGTGGAAATCATTTACTTTTCTCTGGTATATTCTGTCGTTGGTTTCTCTTTTTGATTTTATTGTTTCTGCATTCTCTTTGACCTACTGAAAAACGAATTCATGATGGTGTAATCCACCAGTAACACCTCACTCTGCATATTTCATAGATTTGGTCCAATCATGAACATTTCGTTTGAAATATTCTTCTGTGATTTGAACACATTGGAAACAAATTTGTTACTGTTGCTGCTACAAACCATGATACTGTTGTACACACTTTTCTCACAATCCTACTTTTATATGCTATTGTTATAGATATGAAAAACGAGCACATTGTGGTTGATCTTTGAGATGAATATATGTGTCTTATGCATTGGTTGAATATAATATATTATCTTCAAGTTTTGTGGTGTTTCAAAAGCAGCTTTTGTTTTGTGAGAGACAGAACATCTTCTACATAAAGTAATTCTGGTGGGGCGGATGTGGATGCCAAATTTGGGAATTATATATGTATCCTTTCAGTTTTTTTTTTTATCAAAAAATTATTCAAATTAAATATGATTCAGTGTTAATTTAATATAAATTTTAATTAAATAAATTGATATTTTGTGATTTTATTTAGACATTTTTTATGGTTTTTTGTTATTATGAAATTGTTAAAAATTATTTATTATAAAATTTTAGTAAATATTTTATTATAAATTACTAAATATTTTATTAAAAAGTACTAAATATTTTATAATAAAAAATAATGAAATAAATTTGAAAAAAAAGTCAATAATAAAAATTAAATTATTTAAGTATACATGTAGTTAAATTTTTTAGATTAATTTGTGTTTATTTATTTATTCATTATTGGACATGCTAGGTAGTTGTATATGTATTTCTCTTAAAACTTATTCAATAAAAAATAATGTATATTACATTTTAAGTTCTTTAAATTCGTGATACGGATGTGTTTTATTCTTAAAAATTAATTTCAAACTACTTTTTAAAATTTCAGGAATTTGAAAAAGAAAAAAAATATTAAACAATTTTAGAATAAACACTTAACAAACTATACAATATGGTGTTTGATAAAATTATTCATTTATCATTACAATTGAACGAACTCTTAAATTTTTATTTAAGAATAGTCTATTTTGGTTCTTACAGATTGGTTTATTTTCTAAAACTTTAACATAATTGAACAAACTTTATTTTATTTTCTACTAACTTGAAGACATTAAAAACATATTTACAACGACATTGGGGTGAAAAACAACAAAAGATGAAAAATTTCCCCTTTGGAAAAGGTGGGTGAGACGTATGAATGATTGAAAGATGTAGACATGAAAAAGAAGAACAAGTAAAGAGATGAAAAGTGATTCCCTTAAGTCCCAATGATAATCAGTTTCAGGGGCCACTTGTCGAGTTAATATGGCTTCCATTAACTACCTAATTAATCACACACCATTAATGTCATTGATTATGGGTTCACTTGTGTGGTTTTTTACCTCTCAAAAAGCTTATAATCAACCTGGAAAACACTGTCACACAAATTATTTTTAGTGACAATTATATTCTGATAATAAATTAACACTAACACTTAATTATAAACCATAGTCATACATAAGTCCTTAAATATCTTGGATCATCAAACACAAAGGAGGAGAAAAACATTCTCTTCTGCTGAGATCATATAAAAGCATGGTTAAATTGAAGCCACGTTTTCTATGAGCTTTCACATCATTTTCAGTTTGGGGCATATATAATCTCGAGGGTCGAAATCACGTTCTTCAAGCTTTTGACACATAAAATGCAAAGCCATGAATCATGAGGAATTCAGTTGACAAAAAGGATATGGTGTCATAATTAGAAGTTATGGGTGCCATGTTTGTGTCACTGGAATGGAATGGAACACCATCATTGGACCCAGCAACAACTTAACAAAAACACTTGTTCAAATTATTGTTACTTTCAATCTCCTAACTCAGAGTTTCACTGCTACCACATTACTGTTAAGTGCTTCTTTCCCCAATACACGCGTCATGCTCAGTTTAATTTTTTATCATGCATGCATCGCGAGGACGGTGGTGATCATTGATTTGTCACATTTCATCAAACACTTGGTGAATGCATTGAATAGTATGTTTTCAGAGGAAAATTTGTGGGTTAGTTTACCAGTCATTAAATGCATTCCTCATGCAAGGTTATGATTAGTATAGGGGATTTTAATGAAATCAATAATTAAGTGTAGTACAAACAAAAGGGGTTTAATTAAGTGTAGTATAAGTCAATAATTTATCATCCTATTGTTAAAATCCACCTCACAAACATACAAATGCATTTGCTTTTTAGTTGTAAATAAGAAACCCTAAGTGCCAATCACTTCATCCAACGACGAAGATAAGCTTTCAAACTTTGAACAAGAATATAAAGCATTTCTCAGGGAATTTATTACATCACTTTCAGTAAATTATAGCCACACATAATAGCTTAATTTTTTTTAGATACTTTTAGGAACTAACATATAAAAATTCTCACGTATAAAACATAAATATCCTAACTCTAAAACATCAAAATATTAAAGTATTTTTCACTTATCAGTTCAACTTTAAATTCCTGTTTCTACTATAAAATTTTAACTCATACTTAAATTCTTGGTAATTTTCAAGTATATAAACTAAAGCCTCAAATTTTATTTAATTAAGAAATGAAGAGATTTATATATGGAATATTTGATGAAGTGATGGGTGAGAAATAATTGGATGATTATTGGAATTATTGAGTGGAAAATGGAAGAGAATCCATTTGGATGGTGTTGATTGGAGAAACAATGAGCGGAATTGAGGGGGAATGTTGGTCTAAATTTGGAGGGAATATGCAGAGACAATAAAGCAAAAAGAGGTTTTAAGAGAGAAGAAGAAGAAGCAAAGAATTACGTATTCAACTTCCCTTCTCCCACCTCGTTCTTTATTTTGACGTTGAAATTCCAGAAAGTGACTTCCCAAACCCATTGCCATGGCCAAGAAAATTATGTCACGCACTTTCCTTAAAGGACAAAGGAGAAGTGGGTGTTCTAAATTAAATTCTATTTACCAAGAATATGTAAAATAAAATTAATTAATATTTCATAAATTCTCCTCTGCAGAATTAGAGAATTACATTAGTATGACTTTTTACGTTCAACAAAAACTCACCTTTCACAACTCTTAATTAAAAATTGGATAAGACTGGAAAATCATAATTTTAATTCCAAGATAAGACCGAATCCCTTAATAATTTTTTTATTTCCGAATTCTCTGTCCCTTAATTAATTTGTGGCTTTTAATATAATTAATCAATTACAAATAGGTTTTTCAAGAATTTCAGGAAATATGTATTAAAAATTATATATTTTATAAAGCCCCTTATTCTAATTTCAGGTTTTATAATTTATTCTAAATATATTTTGGTTTGGGTTTAGAAAACTTTAGCCTAGTTTCAATTTTATTTTTCTGAGGCAATCAGCGTTATACACTTTCAAAATATAAGTTTGATAGATTTAAAACTTTTGTATTTCATAAATATAATGAGACAATTATTAAACAAAATTTCTAATTTTTAAAATTTAGAAAAGAAAATTTATTTTAAATAAAATTTATCTGAAAAAGGAGATCATCTAGAGAGAGAGAGAAAAAAAATTGTTTTTTAATAAATTTTGAAAATTTTAAATTTATCCATGTTGGTTAAAGGGCTTCTTGGCTTATATTTAATTTTTTTTATGTTTAATTGAGTGGAGTTAGATGAAAGTGTAATATTTCTTATTAAATATATAATTAATATTTTTTGTTTAATGATAATATTTTGGAGGAAATTAAGAAGAGATGTGGAGTACAACTATTATTTTGAAAAATTAAGTTATTAGTTTTTCTTTTTTATATATATAACTTAAATTTGTTATTTTTATTTTGAATGAAAATTAATTTTATATTTAAATTTCTCAACATTCTTTTAATTGATATCTTTTAAAAATAAAAAATATCTTATACATAATTTATAAATATTACCTAAACTATTAAAGACCCTATCTAATTATATATTATAATTTTCAACTTTGCATGAAAGAACTATTTTTAACCGTGGTTAAAAAGTGAAGCAATCATATAAACACTCAATTTTACATTATTTCACAGTACAATAGAGAAGATTACAACAGTTTTATAGAAGAGTGACAAGAACTGGTCCCTCTCAAAAAATTATTTTTGGGGTTTAGGGTTTTTGAATAATAAATGGGTAATATACTCATCATGTACTTTTGTGTCAAGTGGTGTCCAATTTTATAAACACTAGAGAATTAATATGCAGACACTCTCAAAACTAAGGACCATTTCTATATGCAACCATAGCTTTGGTTATGCAATAAATATTGTTTTTTCTCACTCATTAATATTAATGATAAGATATATTAAAATAATTATCTTTTTTTTTTAAGTATATATACATAATTTTAATACTGGCAAAATAAATAAACGGGTAATAATATATCATTAATGAAAGTTATATACTTGACAACTTATTATTTTCATTTAGTAAATTAAAAAATGTATTATTATTTGCAACAATATAAAAAATATACAGATTCTTAAATAATACATCTTTCATTTTTAACAACGTATTAAAAAGCAAGGAAAATAAATAAGTTTATAAAACAATCATGAAATCAGTAGATAAAGATCATAATTTTATAACTCATATTTTATTCATGCTGGGAAGATAATATCCTACATCATGAAATTTAAACTCTTATATTCTGAAAAATACTCTATGGTACATAATTGGTATACCATAAAACTTTTTTTATTGAACCGGACCGGTCTATGATTCAAGCTTTAAATATTTAATTGGATACAATGAAATTTTATAAAACAATATTTGATACTATAATAAATTAATTAATAATAATAATAAATTATTAATTAAAAATATAAAATATATTAATGAATGTAACATGAATAATAGTTAAAATAAGATAAAAATAAATTAAAATAATTATTTAAAGTTCACATATTAATATAAGATAAAAAATTTAAAATATATTATATTTTTTATAAAAAATAATATTAAAAATTTTATATTTAATTTTTCTTTTATGATATCTAATCTTACTTGTTCTGTGTATTTTTTTATTTTATATTAATTTAATTAAAATATAATTATTTAGAAGTAATAAACTGATTTTTAGTTAGATGATCAGTATTATTTTCAAAATAATATTTTTACTATTATTTTTATTTTAGCCTAATCATGTTTCAATTTTATATTTAAATTTAAATTTTAAAATACTGATATTTAATTTAAAATATTTTTTTCTTTCTCACATTATATATAAGATTATTATTTATTCTATATTTTGCATTCTTTTTTTTATCTAATTTTCACTTTTTTGTCATTTTCAATCTCATCAACCAATTAATCAGTTTATTTTATTATGTTATTCTTTTTCTCTTATCTTTTGCTTTTTAATATTTTCAATCAAATTAATTTTTCTAATCTTTTCAACTATTTGATAAAATAAAGTTAATTTTTTTTATATATTTCTAAATATTCTATGTCAATCTTAATATTAATTAATATTATTTTATTTCTATTTTATCTTTATTATATTTTATTATGTCTTTTAGTTTTATTATTCTTATATGTTATATATCAAATTTTATTTTAATAAAATAATTATATTTTAAAGAATTAAAAAAAATTGATAATTAAAATTTTTATTTCTTTATATTAATTAAATAAAAAATAACTTATTAAATATTTTTTTGTAAATCATATATTTTATATTTATTAATATTTTAAAATGTCAATTTAAAAAATAATAAACATGTAATCAAATGTTTAATATAGTGTTATATATAATAATCATATTATTATTATTATAACAAGTATTTTATATTTGTATAAAGAAAAAAATTAAATATTTTTATATGTATATTTTAATATAAATATAATAAATTAAACTATATACTTAATTATTTATAATAATTAAAAATTTTAAAATTATAAATATTATTTATTTATAAAAAAACATGAAAACCATTAAAATTAATTTATGACAAATATAATTTTTTTAAAATAATACAAAACATATCCATGTAAAAAAGGAGATTAAAAACTTAATTTTTGACCTCAACTAGAATAAAGAACTAAAACGAAAACAATTAAGAAAGTTAGACACGAAATCGAGAAGGCAAAATTTCTCCTCATTTAACCCTACTCTCATACCTATTTAGAATCTAGGTAAAATTATAACGCTTTTGAACTATCTAACAAAAACATATCCCATAATTTTTTTACTCTTTATTTCATTAACTAAGTAAAAAAACATACATATAAAATATCCATTGTGATATACTCTTCCTAAAGGGAAAATTTCCATAGAATCCTCTGGATGAAGTGATATACTTATAGGCATGATTATGATTTTTCAAATTTGTTCAAACACATCAACTTTTACTTTTACTTTAGAAATGGCTTCATATGCTAATTTAAAAAAAAAAAAAATTGATTATGATTTTCCTTCCATCTCCATCGTGACACATTTCTTTCCACACATCTCCTTTCACTTCCTCTAGAAAATTATTCACAAAATTTGTCTCGTGTTCAAACCAACTTCAACAGCATTGAAATTTCTATTTCCAACAATCCACATTCCACCCTCCTATATTTTCAATATAGTAATCATTTGTTACTATATTTAGTTAAATGTCTTCCTGACCTAAACCTCTTGTTACTCTTCACTTTCCAAATGAATATCTTTTGTAAATGAATGATCTTGTTACCAATTTGTTCAGGTTTCTTGTCATATGACAAAAAAAATATAAAGAAAATTCAATAAATATTTATTTGCTAACGCTCCTTTTCTATAAAAGACAACAACTTTTTAATAATGTTCTCTCACATCCTTTCCTTATTTGAGTTTGTATGCATTGCAATCTCCAAATACTCAAATAATAATTCATCGTTTGATGGTTAATTAAAGAGATTTGGATACATTTTCCATATATTTCCATCAATTCTAATGGTTCTAAAATAACCTGGAAATATTTTATAACTTATATCATTCTCGGCAACCCAGTTACACTCTCAATAACCACAATAAAACAATAATTTAAATTCATCAGTTGAACCCTCTTTAACCATCATAAACAATTTGTTCATTTATCATAGAACGTGGAACATCAAATATATTAGTAGGTAGATAAAATCATATTTGGATTTTTTTTTTTTAATTAAAAGGTCAACAGAACATTTAGAACAAAGAGTGGTCATACTAGAACCCTAAAAAGACAGAAAATTTATTGGATGCTAATAGAAATCAAGAAAGAGATAAAATTCCAACACACTTTCTTATGTTCACACAGTATTCTTAATTCTTTACTCGTTATTAAAACATTTCTAAAAAGAGTTTTTAACCAAAATTATTTAAAAATAAAATTAAATATTTTATTATAAATTTTACAGTTAAATTATTTAAAACTTGATAAAAGTTATTTATCTAATTTTTTTTAATTTTAAATAATTTTTTTATTTTTAAACATCTAAAACATAAGACTCGTAATAAAATGTTTATTTTTATTCTTAAATTATTATCTTGGCAACTCCTTTAAAGATTCTCCTTCCTAACTAATTCCACTGTTCATTTCCTTTGCACCCAAATAATTCGCATCAAAGGCTTTCTTAAAAATTGACCAGTCCTTTGATTAACAACAAAATAGACCCTATTTTCTACCAACATGCTCCACACGCGATTCCATTGTGCATGAATTGGTCTGATTCTTATAAGCTCTCAATTTGATGAAAGAGATGCGTGCCTTATCCGAAAAGGCAACCTTTGGACTAACATTTTATTCTTGTGAACAAAGACCGAATCAGAATTTTACTTCAATTATTTTTCTTCATGAACTTGACTTGAACTTATTTCACTGCCAAACATATTTACCAGCTTTATATTAATTACTCCTGCGGTGGTGGTGGTGAAGGAAAAATGATGATGAATATGTTTCGGATGAAAAAAAATGAGAATTATTTAAAATTGATTCAGAGTAGATGAATAATCAAACATGCAGACAGAGAATGAAAAAGGAAATATGTAGGTTCTGAAACTGTGAGTGGATGATCTGAGTAGGAATTCCACCATTAGTTGTGCTACTAATTATGGATCGTCTGAGCAACACAAACAAACAGGGCAAAAGTGTCAACACTCCTCCCCTCCACCAAAGAAAATAGAGTTGATGAAATATACTTATGAATCATGGTTTGACCAATGATTTGTCTCTACCAACAATCTTGAACCTCATTCACTTATTTAATAAACAACTGATTTCAATGGTTTCCCACAGCAAAGGATAAAGATATGGATGATGGCAATTGTTTACCAACATAACGCCAAACATCTTATCTTAGAAGTGATGGGAGGAATAAGCACAACCCCCTCATAGCTGGTTGCTAATTGATTAACATGGTCAAAGGATTTGACTGGTTGTCACAAAATGAGTGAGGCAGAAAGGGGTGATTTCAAACCCTGACCTCTATCTAGTTTTTGAGACCAATATGCCAATTTGGTCATGGGGTGATACACATGCGTCAAGTTTTTATTGGCACGAAAGAATGGTGATGGTCCTGATCCTTCCCATTAGGACTGTGTGACCACAACAACCCCATATTTTTCTCCACAAATAATGGCTCCAAGAGGATACCACGTGCTTGTTCCTATCTATACCCTCTCAATAGATCAAAACAACATTGGTGTCAGTGAAGTACATATTCACTGTTATTTCCTCTCTATTCATCAAGCTCTCAATTCATCAACTTCTATTATTGCACGGATGAATTGACGAAACTGAAACCATCCAAACTTGCATATTTTAATTAATCCATCACCAAAAGCTAGTGGATTGACCAAAGCAAATAAGCTTTGAGCATGTACAAATAAATGTACATGTTGTTGCTCCACTGTAATTTCCAAGCCCTGTTGGATGTGATGTTTCCTTTTGGAAAGAATTATTAAAATTCTTACCAATTGGGGCGCTTCACTCTTCAATTCACAGTAACAAACAACGAAAAATAGATATTTTAAAGTTTCTGATTGTTGTGCCATCCATTCACAATATATAATATAAATAGTTGATACCCACATATGCGTATACTTGTATAGTTTTATCAAACTAAATCCAAGCATAGAAGAAGCATTAGATAGACAAAGGAAGTCTAGAAAATAGGGACAGCAAGGCTTTGTCTACAAACATCAGGAACAAAAGGGGGTAACTTATTTTATGTCCAATCTGAATCTGAGAGATGAAAATTAATGGATGTTTCCTAGGCATGCATCAAGTTTGTCTAGTAAGAGGAGGTGGTTGAGGGCACATAAACCACAAAGTTGAAGATGGCTAACATGTGATTGGGAACTCAAATGTAAACCCTGTCTCGGTGTAACGGTATAAGAATACAATTATTTTTATAGCTTACACGTTACAATCTACGGCACCACATGATGTACACATGTATTGGCAAATAGCACCACCACACACACATGTTCTCTCAAGTGTGTTTGTGTGTGTTAAGAGTTAGATGTCTTATCTCTGGGGCTTTTACAGAGAGTCAAGGAGCTAGATAATGGGAGTTGGTGAGTGGACACGTTAGTTGGATACCAAAATGAAGAGAATGTGATAAAAAAGTAGTTGATTATAAGTCAACCAGGATGAGGATACCTATGGCTTAGCTAAAACGCTAGAATTGGTCGTGTCAAAGCTAGAAGTGTGGAGGGGGAAAGGGTATCACGGGCCATTCATAAACAGCAAATGTCAATGTGAGTGGATGCAACTAGATTAAGGATTAACTCTTGTTTTATCTGTGAACTGGTTGAATTTTTCATAAAATTACTAAAATATCTGCTAAACAATTCGTTTTAGAAAGGTTTCCTTATGCTAAAGGATTTAGATGTTGCGGTTTAAGAATTGAAAACACCTCATGATATCCATCCACAAAATTGGAGATTACTCATTGAAATGCTGTGTCTTAACAAATATCCAGCCGCTGCACTGGATATACATCAAATTGAAGATAATGAATTTGATAGCAGAAAAATATGTGCTGCCTCAAAAATATCTTTTAAAGCTCGATTAACTTTTGCCTCTATTAACATGGGAAGTTATATAGATGTTCACAACAAAAACATATGTAAAGAAAGAAGCTTTACTAGTTTTTGTGGCCATGGTCTTGGTCAACACTGAACAAGAGAAAATGTTTCACCTTGAAAATGGAATAGTTATGCATTTCTGATTTATAAACACTCTTAAAAGTGTTAATGTATGATAATACATTTGGTCACTGTTGATACTTCTCTCTCATCTTTTCCTCTTGCCTGTCCAGGTGTCTTCACGCCAAATTATCTATACCATACATTTTCCCTTCCTATAAAAGGGTCCAATATGCTCCATTGTACTAAACTTTTCCACTAGCTCTGATTTCCCACGTGGATTTTACGAATAGAAACAACCAAGATACTACTACTTCCACGTATTTCATTTTCCTACTTATACTTCTGCTATATATATATATATATATATTAATCTTGGTAAGTCTTAAATGATGTTATAAAATACGCGTCACAATGATACAGAAAAACTGACTAAGAAAAGAGCATACATCAACACTCAAGAAACATCAAACCAACCCTTTCAAACTGTATTTTAGAACATCAAAACAGAGAGTTCAGCTTCACCTTCCACTATTGTGTTCCCATTCCAATACTCAATTTGGTGAAACAAAAACACACAATGATCTTGACATAGGACCACGGATTGTGTTTCTTTTTTTCTTTTCTTTTTTTCCTTTTTGCATATATTTTTTCTGGTACAGGGGACCATAGTAAAGTAGAAAACAAACACACGTTTGTGGATCAAGTTTTCCCTACGTACAACTTGGGAGGAGTCATCATCATCGTCGTCGTCATGATATGATACTGGTTCCACAATAGAATGCACCCTCGCGTGTGCCTCTGCTACCTTATATAAAGCCACGCACCAACACTTACATCAATTAACCGTTCATCCATCCAAATTCTCAACTCAAGCCTTGGGGTGATGATAGAGAAGACACAGTGTGAGAAAAAGGGAAACATGGAGGGTGAAGAAACTGAGATGAAACAACAATCCAGGTTCAAGAGGATTTGTGTGTTCTGTGGAAGCAGCCCTGGGAACAAGAGTAGCTATAAGGATGCTGCTATTGAGCTTGGGAAAGAGTTGGTAACGTCTCACTCTCATGTTTCTTCTGCTAACACATGTTTCTGCTAGTGTTAAACTCTGCTTCCTAATGCCAACCTTGCTTTGTACATGGAAATTGAACTTGGCACCTGTTTTTGGTTCATCCTTTCATTTTTGGTGGTCTTGTTTTTGCTTAAATGTTCAATTAAACATTTATTTGTTGTTTCTTCATCTGCTTCTTGATACCCCAAATGATTTCCTTCATTCACATTTCAACCACGTAAACTCCTCAAGGAAAGTGAGGGAAAAATAATTCTGTGTTTTTTTGCAGAAAAGAGAGAGCAATAATTCAATTAAGTGTATATGATCTTTTCATGAGTATTTTGTAGTATGGTCCATACAAAGCATTTAAGCATATATACCTTTCATAGTTTCATAGAGTTGTGGTTGTTGGTGGGAGAGTTTAATGAAAGAGTACCATTATTGAATTATTTACTTACTTCACTTATTTGGAATCTTGAGAAGGTGTCAAGAAATATTGATCTGGTTTATGGAGGAGGCAGCATTGGTTTGATGGGGTTGGTTTCTCAAGCTGTTTATGATGGGGGTCGCCATGTAATTGGGTGAGCAGAATCTTATTTGGTTGTGATTTATCAATGTTGGGGGTGGTGTTATGTTGGATAGGATATGTTGTTAATTTCAATTATTTCATGTCATGATATTGTCTGCAGAGTTATTCCCAAGACACTCATGCCAAGAGAGGTAATGTTAAGAGGTTTTGGAGGCACTTCATCAATCATGATTGCAAATAAAAAGAAAATGACCAAACATCTACCCAGTGAGAGGGACACACAGAACGAGAGACAGAGAGAATTATCTACATACACTTTACCTTTCCATCACAATATGCTTTTCTTGTTCCAATGCTACCTATCCTCTTTAGACAAAGTGTTAGTGCTGTCTATAAAATAAAATGATTTTCAGTAACAGCTTTTTAACATGATTTTTTAATAAATGATAGATAATTTGACAGTGTAAAAAACTTTTACATGATCAGAAACATCATAAATAATCAATGTTTATGATGTCAGTGTACTAAAATTAAACTTTTATAACAAAGTTCTGAATTTCTCTCCTTTTTGTAGAACAAGTTATACAATATTAATGTGAGTTAGATCTCTTTAGCTTTAGTGAAGTAGCACCTTACTTTTGCACTTTGTCTTTTGTGGTGATTCTTGTAGGTTTTAGGGTGGGAGTAATGCTTGCTTTTCACGTTTTTGTTCTCACATTTGAGTATTTTTCTGTAAACTTATCTATCAATACACCTGGCAACCTGGGGTCATTCCTTCTGAGCCATTTTGTCCCTCTCTCTCCGAGTTCCATGTACCCTCCTTAGATTCTTGTGGCAACCCTCATTTGATCTCCATTTTCTTATCATTGATCAGTAACTTTTTTTATCTTTTTTCGTTTGGTCTATTGTTTGGTTTATCTTCCAAGGGAAAATGTCAAGCTATACGATTCCCACTTGAGCCCACTTCTGCAGTACTCATCATTACCCCTCTTCCATTCCTGTCCATGCATTCACTCACACACACAAAAAAAACTTCTTTATGGTTTCAGTGATAATTTGGATCCATTTGGGGTTGTGGCTTTTTGCAGATTACTGGAGAGACAGTGGGGGAAGTGATGGCAGTAGCAGACATGCATCAAAGAAAAGCAGAGATGGCTCGCCACTCTGATGCCTTTATTGCCTTACCCGGTTAGCACAACATACCATGCTTCCACCAATATTCCCCTCTTAAACTCGCATTTCACAAACATCAATCCAAGATTATACACTCTCTAACTTCATCACATGAACAATAAAAAACTACCTCATTTCAATGAGTATGATTTATCAGAAAAAAACCAGCAACCACCCTGTATCTTTTATTTACTTATTATTCTAATTTTTCTGAGAATATACCCATAGTAACATGAACATGTAACTATACTACATATTTATGATTAATTATAGTTTCAAAAGGAAAAAGTAAGCGATACACGTTGTACATTATTATTATTATTATTATTCTTTTTATGAATGAAATGTTTTTTCAATACACGTTACTTTCTTGATGATGTTACATGTCAATGACTATGTACATATGACATGTCAACTGCAAATCATTATGTGATAGAATGTCAGGACTTTAAAATTCATCCATAGATGATGTATAGACATGTTTGGGACAAAATCCACATGATCTATTGTTCAACTTGTGTGATGTAGATGCACTACTTTATTTGTCCACTACATCAATAAAGTTGTGGATGGGATCTAAGTTTAAGAACATGTAATTCTTTGTCCATTCTTCATTAATTCAGTATAGAATAATTCATCAACATTTTTTTTTTGTTTAAATTATGTGTTTTATATATTAGAAGGTAGACTAAAAAAAGAATTTATTAAGAATAATGTTTAATATATTGATAATAATTTTTTCTTAAAATTATGATTATTTATTATGCATGTCTTGAATTGAAAGATTAAAAAGCTAAAATTTTAAAAGAAACAGTTGACAGAATTATTCCAAAGAGTATTCACAGGCCCAATAAAAACAAAACCAAGGGCCCAGATTGTTTCTTTTCCTTTATGATTCAATGAAAGGACTGTAAAAGGGGCCCATTAAGTAGATCTTTATTTGGGTCCAAGTGTTTGTATCCTTAAACAATTACAACCACAACAATGACCAAGAAAACAATTAATTATAATAAAACAATCGCAGCAGAAAAAAATTAAATAAAAAATATATTCAAGAAGAGAAATTATAAAGACTATCATCTTCTATCTGTTTATATAAACATTTAAAAAAAAAAAAAAACCACATTTTTAATAACCCATTAAAAGAATTTTGAGAAACTGATACAAAAACTGAGTAATGATGATGTTGTCTTCTTTGTGTGTCAAGGTGGCTACGGTACACTTGAGGAGCTTCTTGAGGTGATAACTTGGGCACAGCTTGGCATCCATGATAAACCAGTGAGGACCCTTTTCAATCTTCAAAGATTTAGAAAGAGATAAACTTCTATTAAGTTCTAGAATTGTTATTTTTGTTAATGAATAATTTCTAAACCAAGTTGGTGATGGTTTTGGAAGGTGGGGTTGCTGAATGTAGATGGATACTACAATTCCTTGTTGTCTTTCATAGACAAAGCCGTGGAGGAAGGCTTCATTAACCACAAAGCTCGCCACATAATTGTATCAGCCCCATCATCAAAAGAGCTTGTCAAAAAGCTTGAGGTATATATATATATATATATGACTGATATAATCAACAAACTTACTTTATATGATGGTTTGTGAACACTGAATAAGATAAACCAACTTTTGAGTGCTAGTTTTGGGATAATGTGTGGACTATGTTTGTGTATGATTCATTCATTACAACTGAAATGATTTTTTGTTTGACTGTTACAGGAGTATTTCCCACAACATGAAAGAGTTGCCTCTAAGCTAAGCTGGGAAACTGAGCAGATAGATTACTCCTCAAGTTGTGACATGTCTAGGTGATTAGAGGATTATGGAAGATTAATCAGGTAGAGACACTTGTTAGTTCAATGGTTCAAGAGAGTACTATTATTATGGCCAGAATTCTTTCATGCTTTTTCAATTATCTGATGGTGTAAACTACAGAACTGACTTCAATCTAGCTCTGAAGCCTAACTACTCTGCTAAATGTGAATTATGGTTTTTCAAATCACAGAAATTCTCAGATTTTTGTTCTCTTTCTTCTCCTTTTACCTTTCCATTGTGCACCTTTCTTGCATTAAAGCTGAACCAAAAACTTGTCTCCTTATGGGGACAGTCTGAACAAGTTTGACTTTTTAATATGGAAAGCATTCACTCCAAAAGTTGGTGTACACGTGAGTTTGTAAGTAATTCTAAGTAAATTTTATATATTCTTATTTTTAGTTAATTCATACACTAATTTTATATATTCCATTTTTTTTTTGCGAACTTAGTTAAGAAATCAGTGGTATAATTTTTTTATTAGAAAAATGATACATGAGAAATTATTTGTAAAATATATTAATAATATTGTTTAATAAAAAAACTTTCATTTTTTATTTATTAACTAACATTTTAAAATAAGTATTTGACATTGCTTTGTAATTATGTGTTTATTTCATAAAAATTACATTTTATAAACTATCTTTAATCATACTTATTAGAAATGGTTTCAAAATTTAAACAGAAAAACATTTTTTTAAATGATAACATTAATCATGATTGAAAATAAGAAAATATTAAAAATGAAGGTTTTTCTTCAAGATCATTCGTTGCCCTATACATTGTACTTGTGAAATGCATGGCAAAATTGACATTTATTAATAGTGAAGGTTTTATTTTATTCTTTAGATACAGACAAATATGATTTTAAATATTTCGTGAAAAAAAAATCATGAAAATCAATTATTTAAATCAAATCATATATAATATATCTGTGCGCCAAATTTTAAAACTTAAAATTGAAATTACTATGTTTAAATAAGTGAGAAGAATATAAATGTTTATAGTGTGTTTAATTAAATTTTGAAATTTAAATTAACATTCATTAATTCAAATCTATCTTTAAGAAATTAATTTCTTTAATTTTATATAATGTATTAATATTTTTTATTATATACTATATATTCTCTTTTTAATAATTTTTTATAATATATATATATATATATATATATATAATTTCTTTTTTTTTTATATTAATGTTCTAAGTCCTAAAGTTTCAGCAAGGCCAACTATTAATTACGTGGTTTCCACTACAGTAGTTCATTCTTACACAAAGACCAAAGGCCATTGTAATAATACCAAACTCAATAGGAATAGGAATATTATATACACCAAAGTTGACTTTCTTTTAACTTTTAAGAAGTCCTCACGTGTATATTTTTAATGGAATGAAAATTATTATAAAATTTTATGCTTACACGGTAAAAATGTGGTTTGTGATTTTTATTTGATTTTATAATGTAGTTATACAAAATTCAAATGATAATAAGAGAAGAGGAAGAAAAATAATAATGATGATTTAATAAATATTTTAGTACATGTTTTCCTTTTATACTTAATGTTAATTTAATAAATAGTCCTAATATTGTAAAATAAAAGGTTAAAAATAATAATATTGAATTGCTTGAATATATTTTTTAAAACAAAATACATTAACACATTCTCACAGATAAAATCAGGGAAGGAAAAAATAATATTAAAGAACAAATTAAAATAATTTACATATTTAAATAATAATAAAAATAAAGAGAACTATTTTAGATGATGAGGTAGAGATTATAAAAATAATTATAAATTATGATCATTATCTAAAGAATAGTTATCATAAATTCTTTTAACAATAAATCTAAAACAAATATAATAAAAATATATAATTTAATTAAAATATATTATAATTTTTATTGACTATCATTCAATTATTATTGGAAAAAAAACGTGACATTTTGCTAATATTTTTGTTTTCCACATATATCTCTTAATTGTGGTATTACTAAATTCATCACCTTTGTTTCTATGTTTTACTCTTCATTTAAGCTTTTACATATGAGATATAAATTTATCGAAGACTAATTAAATTGTTGTATTAAACAAAAGCCACCATTAGTTTTCACTAAGTATATCATTATTAGATTATAGTAAATGAACAGATGATTAAAAAATTGTCTACACTAATTATTTAATCAAATTGACTAATAAATTAATAACTAATGTCAATTAGGCACTTCCTAGTTTTAAAAATCATTTAAATTTATCTTTGCCTATTCTATATATAGTAAATATTTAACTTTTTTTTTTTCTACGCCCTCAACTTATAACACCTACCCTCATTTGTCAGATTCAATTAATGTCAACCCATTCATTCTTTTCTCTCCGTCTCAATGGCAACTCACCAGAAAATGAGGAAATGAAAATGAAAACTGAAAAAATGACTAAGTAATTTATTAGATAGAAATAAAAATATTGTGTTCCCATTAATACCAAAACCTTTTTTATAGCCTAAGCTTCCAAGATCCATTTGAATTCTCTCTTGCACAAGCCAACCGTGTCAGGGCCATTGCCATGAGTTTCTTGCGAAGAATCCGCCTAAGTTCGGCCATCAACCAATAACAAAAGTTTGCTGCAAATTTCATTCACGTATCTTCTTTAAGGGGTCAAGCATACCCTATATCATAGAATATATAATATCATATACACATATATTATGTAACATTTAATGAGTTCTAACCAATTTATTTAGGCCTCACTCTTTGACAGCAAATAAATCTTTTATTTTGGTGTATCATATATATGTGTCAAGCTTTAGGTCTCTTACTTGTTTTGCTCAAGAAGCTAAGGCTTTGTTTCCTCACTTTCTTCACGTTTGTCTTTGTTGTCAAGATAGTGTGCAATGTACGTATTACTTCCATCCCATGTTCTTTCTCGTGTTTGTTTGTGCCTTTAACATTATATATTATGTTTGTTCCTGCTATGTAACGTATCTTACGTAGAGGTTATTTTCGGTTTTGACTAAAGACCCTTAAATCATGTGATATTCATGGAGTTAAGACAATGAAAATGTTTTGCTTGGGAGAGAAAAGAAACACAAAACGGAGCACGAAAATGAGTTATATTAGAGGGTATGCAGTGCCAAAAACAAAAGGTTACCCTTTTTAACGGCATCAAATTTGGCTTTCATTGCTTTCTTTAGAAAAGTGTGCATGAAGTAGTGTTTAGTGAATGAAGGTAAGGCTTATGCTAACATTTCTTGCTCTCACGAGTAAGCCCCATGTGACCTGTGATGCAATTTTCATGGCAACTTCTAAACTATCTTTCATCTTTTCTACTAATATATAATATAAAGCACATCAGCCATTGCTCTTCAAGCTTCAATAACATCTCCACATCTCCAACTTTCACAAACCACCCATTGGTTTTCTCTTCTCTTTCAATTTCAATCACAAAAACAGTTACATTTAGAAATATTAGTAGTTTGTTTGGATCAGTTTCATCCAACTCAACTCTAGACTTCGTCTCAATCTGTCCCTCGTCTTGTTTTTGTGTTTATGCATTGGAAGGTGCATGACTTCACTTCATTAACAGATCTTTGAACACATCCTTTTGGTTAGACTCGTTGAAGTTTCTCTCGCAAAATTGTGATTCCAACATGACGGTGTGTAGGTACTAACTTTGTCTGTGTTCTTTTACAGGTTAGAAGATATTGAATCATCTAAAATGGGTATTGGTCGAAATTCATCCTCCAGAAGTGGAGATTACTTGGAAGGGATGCTTAATGACTATGTTGGAGGAAGGAACAAACTGAAGACTCAGAAAAGTGGCTCCACAAAATTTGTTGCAGCACTCACTTGCCTCCAGTTTTTCTTTGCAGTTTATGCAACATTCCTATTATATTACATGGGGCCTTCCATTGATTTAAGAACCAAGCCAGAGTTCACATGGGCTACAAAAATTGCCCAACAATGGAAGCAACTTATGATCACACCCCACGTTGTTGGCCACTACCAAGAAGCTGCTTCCTCTCTCATCAGGGAGGATGTTCTTCCCACAACTACATCACAAGTGTGTGAAAATGAGAAGATAGACTTCCAGCAAAAGAAGTCCAATGACGTCCAAATGATCAAGTTAAAGAGAGAGCTCTATAACGAGGTGTTGAACTTCCAAAGCAAAACCATTGGCACAGAGACTCTCCAAGAGCTAATGGCAATGAAATCCAAGTGGGACTTGAAGGGTCCAAACAGACCAAAAATCACTGTGTTGCTAAATCACTTCAAGAGAAAGACACTTTGCGCTCAGCTTGATTCTTTGCTCCAACAGACCCTCCCATTCCATCATGCTTGGGTTCTTTCATTTGGGAGCCCCAATGAGGCCTCGTTGAGGAGGATCGTGGACACCTATAATGACTCGAGAATCAGTTTCATGAGCTCAAGTTATGATTTCAAGTACTATGGAAGGTTCCAAATGGCTCTTCAGACTGAAGCTGATCTTGTGTATGTTATTGATGATGACATGATTCCTGGAAGGAAGATGTTACAGATTTTGGCGCATGTGGCTGGGACAGAAAAATATAAGAATTCTGTTTTGGGGAGTATTGGAAGGATTTTGCCTTTTAGACAGAAGGATTTTACATTTCCAAGTTACAGAAAATTTCGGTCTAAGGAGGCAGGGTTGTATTTACCTGATCCCGCTTATGATATCACAATTGATAAAATTGTGCAGGTGGATTTTCTATCTAGTTCGTGGTTTCTTTCTGCTGATCTTGTCAAGACACTATTCATTGAGACACCTTTTACCTTTTCAACCGGTGAAGATCTGCACCTCAGGTTTGTCAAAATTCTACACTTTTTACTTCAAGTTGACCACTTTTTTAACCATTTTACGAAGTTTTTTTTTTTTCTGGGAGCCAAGAGAATATGACTTTATTTAGTGCTAATAGATCTAACTGGCTGCGAAATTTAGTTGAAAGTTGACCATATAAGTCAAACAGTCATGATTTGACTAAGTCAAAGAGGATGTAGTAATGCTCAACTACTTGCTGGCATTAGGTTCAGAAGCACAAATAAGTAGTACAAGCTGCAATAAACGTCACAATAGGAAATATACTGTTCGTCGACGTCAAAGTAATGTGTAGAAATAATGTTTCTTTCTTTTACAGCTAAAACAATTATGTACTTTTGACACAACTTTTACCAACTTAGTAAAGAATGAAAATGTTTTCTCATGGCGATACTGGCACATAGGAAACTGTCTAGGTAGAAAATTACTGTTTGTAAATTCAGTCTTAATGTATAAAGGAACTTGTTTTTATTTTATTCTATCACGGATAGTCTTCTTCCTTTTTTTTCTCATTTGTCCATAGAAGAAAATATTTTGCCACTTTTTTTTTAATTAGCATTTCCCTAGACAACTCTTATATTTCTATATGATTATGCATGCTGAGAATTCTTTACTGTTTCAGCTATCAGCTTCAAAAGTACAAAAATGCTGGCTCCTTTGTTCTTCCAGTAGACCCTAGGGACAAGGACACTTGGGGAGATAGCGAACACAGGCTTGCATATGTGTCTGAAACCACAGTGATTTTCAAGGACATAGTTCAAGTCAGAGATGATCAATGGTGGAAAGCACTTTCCACAGGTTATGTGACACAGTGGGCTGCAATGTACCCTCAAAAAGTTGATGCACTCTTCTATGCTCACTCAATTGCTGAAGTGAAAGAGCTTGCACCACTTCTTGAAAAATTCAGGTCAACAGTTGGCAAGAAGGCCTACATTGTTGTCTCTGGAGGCAATTTCTGCCCTTGTGAAGATGCTGCAACAACTCTCAAATGGCCTACATTGGTCTGCAAAGAACGTCGGTTCAAGATTTTTGATTTGGCCATTGGATCCCTTTCTGGGGTGTCAGACTCAGAGGCACCAGTGATACATGCAGTGTACACCAGCATGAAGGGTTTGATCAAAATTCACAACCCCAGTGTAGTGATCACTGTTGCTGACATTGATCCTCACGTTAGAAAAGCTCTTAAGATGGCATCAGAAACCAACTCAAATGCTACCACATTGGTTCTTTTACCCAGGGCATCAGTGTCTCAAGTTCTCTGGATGGCTGATCTGCGTTCAACAGCATTACCAAGTAAGACGATTGAATATAGAATTACTCAGCTCTTGTCAAGTGTGCATATTCTTAATTCTATTTTATGAACAATGGTACTGTGAATGAACGTGGCTATGTTCAATAAAAAAAAAAAAAATCAGTATGGTACACTATCATGCATATGGGATAAGTTCTCTGCTTAATAATAATTGGTTAGCAAATACAATTTGAATAATACATCCACTTTTACATTGCTATTTAATCACAAACAGACGATGTAGGTATGATAACTTTTAAAGTAGTTACTATAAAAATGCGATACTAAAGATGATTTTTATTGGTTGATTATGTAAACTTTTTACAAATAAATACTTATTAAACTCAATTTTGTCCTGCAGACTGGAACCGGATGAGGATTTCTGTGAACATTATCACCCAGAATAGAGCCAATTCACTAACAAGGCTTCTCAAATCTCTAAGCAATGCCTACTATCTTGGAGATGAAATTCCCATTACCTTCAACATGGATAGCAAGGTAGATGAGGAAACTGTAAGACTGGTAGGTTCATTTGAGTGGCCTCATGGGCCCAAAACCCTGAGAAGGAGAATCATCCAAGGTGGTCTCATCCGTGCTGTGAGTGAAAGTTGGTATCCCTCTTCTGATGATGACTTTGGTCTCCTACTAGAAGATGACATTGAAGTTTCCCCTTACTACTACCTGTGGATCAAATATGCACTCATGGCTTACCACTATGACCCTCAAGTCTCTCTCCCTGAGCTCTCCTCCATCTCCCTCTACACTCCAAAGCTTGTTGAAGTTGTCAAAGAGAGACCCAAATGGAATGCCACAGAATTCTTCAAACGCATCCACCCCAACACACCTTACCTTCACCAACTACCATGCAGCTGGGGGGCAGTGTTCTTCCCCAAGCATTGGAGAGAGTTCTATGTGTACATGAACATGAGGTTCACTCAGGATGCCAAATCCAACCCAGTTCAAATTCCAAAGTCTAGAACAAATGGATGGCAAGCTTCATGGAAGAAGTTCCTCATAGACATGATGTACCTCAGAGGGTATGTTAGTCTCTACCCAAATTTCCCACAACAAGCAAGCTTTTCAACCAACCATATGGAGCCAGGGGCACACATCAGTGCAAAAGACAATGTGGTTAAGCATGACAAACAGGACTTTGAGGTGCCACTATTGAAAGAAGACTTCAGAAACTTGTTGCCAGCAATGAAGATGCCTCCAGCATCAAAGCTTCCATCTCTAAACCTCTTCAATCAACCCGTTTCTCTAAAGGGTCTCAAAGCAGCAGGAGCTAAGTTGGGACAGGATGTGCTAAGATGTGACAATGCCACTGAGGTTGTTGTTGTTGATAAAGACACTGGTCTACCTTACACCTGCTCCAAATTCTGAAAAACTTCATTCATTGTTCTCATCACTCAATAATTCTTTGTTGTTTTCTTTTTTTGTCTGATGCTTAAGTTAAGAACGATTTGTCCTATGCTATTAAATTAAGTGGGAAATAGAGTCAGTGATTTTGCTGTTGAGGGAATAAGAATGAGGTAACTCATGTTTCCCGCAGAGACAATGTGATCTTTCCCAGAGATACGTCCCAGAGATACAATTGTAATTAATTGTTTATATTCATGAATTCCTATGTTAAGATTTTATGCAGAAGTTTGCGGAAAGCCACTGGCGAAATAAAAGTATATTATGGCGTTAGTAGTTTTCTTGGGCCGCACACAGAAAATGTGGTACTGTTAAGGGTAGTAGATGGAAATTTAAGTCTATTAGCATATTGATTTAATTTTAGTTTTTAGTTTTTAAAAATAATTTAACTATTAATTTTAAAGAATTGTTTTAAAAAATTCTTTCATAACTTCAAATTTAAAATTATTTTTAAAAAATAAGTCATCATCAATTATGAGAAATAGTAAAGAAGCTTAATAATTTTATAAAGATAAAAATCTACAATTCAAGGTAGCTTTTAGCAAACACGCCTATAATATCAATAATTAATGAAAATCGATGAAACAAAACACAAATTTTATCTGTGCTTTAGTCTTCAAAAGTTAAAATAAATAAAGTTTTCAAAAATTATTTATAAAATCATTTTTTAGTTTTATTTTTTAAAAAAGTAAACAAATAAATCTTAATATTTTAGGTTATTGTTTTATTTTTATAAAATTAGGATTTTTTTTATCATATTTAAGATAATTTAATTTAACTCAACAAATCGAGTTACTAATTATATATTCAATCCAATCTAATTAAAATTATTAAATAATAATAAATTAAATTTTTTATTATTTTATTAAATAAATAGATATTTTAAACATTAAATTATAAAAATGTTTAAATATTAAATCATATAATTTGTTTAAAAAAGATATTCTAAATATTTAATAAAAATAATTTAAATTTTAAAAATATATATAAGATAAATCCAATAAGTTAGGTTGAATCAAATAAAAATATATATAAATTAGTTCAATTTAATTTATAATTTTTTATATAATGATAAATTTGATCAAATTTAATTTGATAAGATTCAATAAAATAAAATATTTGCATAGATATGCATAATTGGGCTTAAGACTATTGCGATTAGGAATAAAAAAAGTGTAAGATTCTAACACGCATATCTTATCCACCCTGGTGTTTCAAGTTAGATAAGTCATAAGAAGTATGGGTGAAGAAGACCCACTCACACTGTCATGTTGAAAAAGTTCAATCAATAAACAGAGAAATTGTCCACACTTCACAATCTCCATTCTCCATTATGCAACTCATTTGATTTGATATGTGTTGCTGTTTCTAAAGCTTTTGTAATTAATTTATTTTTTATAATTTTTAAAAAAATATTTAGCCACACATTACTATAAGAGAAATTAAAATATTTATCATAATAAACATATAAAAGTTTTATCTATATAAATCATAAACCAAATCAATTATTACCAACTTAACCAACCCATCAAGATACCAGCATAAATATAGTGTTTTTTTTTACTTAATTTAATTCTTACCATACATTAAAGAATTAAATATCAAATATTAATATGTTTATTGTGATTATAGCCTTATACTTTTATTTAAAATTCCTTCTCAAGCCAGATATTTTCTTGCAAATTTATAAAAGATAAAGAATGTTTTGACTGTTATTAAATGCTATTAATAAAATAATAATAATAATAATAATAATAATAATAATAGTACAGTAATAAGTTTCCTTGAAAATCTACGACAGATAAACAACTCGTTGACCGTTGACTTCTAAAAGTTGGTTTTACCATTTTACCCCCAGTCTGTGGTGATGCAACAGCAATGGTAGTGGTTGAATGGGAAACATGTTCCTACAGTTTTTACCACATTGTGCGCCATAGAAAAAAGGTTTCCCTCTTGGTTCTTTCACTTTAAGTAGTTGTAATACAATTAGTAATGAGACTTGATTCTTGCATTTTAATTTAAACTAAACGCCGCGAGCCTCCAGTTTCTTTCCCATTGATTTTACCGGGAAAGTTTCTGTTTGGCTTGCCAGAAAATCTTAGAGTTTCTCTTAGACGCACAAAAGGGCGCTTTGAGGCGAGCGAGTGGGTCCTTATCGGAGTCCGAACACGCACAAACACTTCTGTGAATTTATGAGCACGAGATCCCGTAATTCGATACAGGTAGGTCCATTACCTAACATTTCCCATTCATCCATGTCACACTTTCTCTCTCTCTCTTCGCCTCGTTAGGGTTTTCCTTCTTTCTCCCATGAGTAGTGTAGGGATTTCGTGTATGGATCCTACTCTCAAGCTCTGCGCCTTCTTCCTCATTCTTCTCGGATTAGGTAACAATCATTCCTCCTTTTTGGGTTTTTTTTTTTATTGGTTTTGCGTTTCTGTGTTTGTGGATTAACTTGTGTTTGATTTTGATTATTTTGGTATCAGTGAATAGTTCTTTAGCCGAAAATGACTTCGGACAGTGCGAAAGAGTTGTTAAGAGATGGACGCGTTCTTCGCTGGATGAGGAAATGACAAAAGAGGATAAGCATACGCTGAGGGATTTGCTGTTTTTCTTGCATGTTCCTAGAACGGGAGGGAGAACTTATTTTCACTGGTAATTTGTTTCCATATGTGAATTTAACTCGTAGCATTTTCTATTAAATTCAATTCGTTAACCTGTTTTCGTTGTTCTGTTGTTTCTGTAGTTTTTTGAAAAAGTTGTATCCCAGCTATCTCGAGTGTCCTCGCTCTTATGATAAGTTGCGCTTTGATCCAAGGTACTGCCTGAGTTAATTATTTTACTAATTGTTCTTCTTCAATTATTATGCGTGCATTTGAATTTCTTTTTTCCTACATATTTTAAAATGCTACAATGAGTGATTTGGGTGTTGGTGGAGTAAAGTTGGTGGCATTTTTAGTGAGTAGTAGCCCCATCTGGCATAGTTGTGGGCTTGTGGGTTTTGATGCTGGTGCTTTTTGACAATAAAGGTCATTAAAGCTTTTTAGAAGTGCTTTGGATGCATTTTTTTAAGCTGCTGTGAGTCTGTGACTGTTAAGAAGTCTATAATATTTTAATACCTAAAATGGCCTTTTAAAACTTATTAAGCTCTTTGACATTTTCTCTTGCCAAGTTTAGGACCTTGATGCTTATAATTATAACCAATGTCGCTGTAAATCTAGACATTTCCAGCTCCTTTTCTGATGTTTTTTTAGACACTAGTATGTGTACAATTCACAGCAGTCTTTGATATTTTTATTCAACAAAATTATGTCAGATCATCACAGCTGTTTTTTCTTCGTATCTAAAGCATAGCAGTTTCTATAAGGTCACAACATTCTCACCAATAGTCTTAGTCCATTGTTGAAAACCCATATTTCGGATTAAAACAAATACAGTTTAAAATCCAACATAAATTGCTTATTTTTGTGTTCTATTGTTTTTGTGAATTTGCAGTAAACCAAAATGCAGGCTGTTAGTTACACACGATGACTATAGCATAACATCCAAACTTCCAAGGGAGAGAACTTCTGTTGTTACCATACTTAGGGATCCAGTTGATCGTGTCTTCAGTACATATGAATTTTCAATCGAGGTTGCAGCTAGATTTTTGGTGCATCCAAACTTGACATCTGCAACAAATATGGCTTTACGCCTAAGCTCTAAGACTAAAGGAGTAAGCACACTGGATATCTGGCCGTGGAAGTATCTGGTTCCATGGATGAGGAAAGACCTATTTGCTAGGGTATGTTTATTTTATTTTATTGTCTTTTTTGTTTTTTTCCATGCTTCTAAATTTATGTAATGTTATGAGTCTATTTGCTGCTGATTCACTATCACTTGTGTTAAAGGTCATGGAGCCTGATCTTGTTTGAAAAGTAATATTGAACATGATTTTACTTCCTATAGTATGGTTAAATGTGTTTAAATATGAAATTGTAGCCATTCATTAAGTTATGGATGTAAATGATTTCTTTGGTTCATGATATCTTCTGTTGGCTATTTCATGTTTTCAAATACTGGGTTATACTAATCGTTCATTACTTTTACTTGTTCTTCTGTACTTCCATGCAATATTTTCATTATTGATGTAGACCTTAATTGACAGAGAGATGCTAGGTATAGTGGGGGACAGAATATCATTCAGAACAATGATTCTTATGACATGGAAGATTTTGCAATGCCATTACAAGAATACATCAATGATCCTGTGGCTGTGGATGTTGTACATAATGGAGCCACATTCCAGGTACTTCGATAGCTGTTTCTTTAGCAATGTTGACATTCTTATGCTTCATCATTTTCTGGAAATACTGTGAATATCATTCTGTTTTCTGAGATCAGGATTTAACTAGAGTATCTTTCCTGGAATCTCTTTCTGTTCTAATAATGATGCAAAAATAAAAAATAGATACATGTAATTTTTTTAGTCACAAGACTGCGTACCCATTTAATTGTTGTATGATCCACTCTTACCTTATGCCTTAACAAACACCAAAACCTTATCTTTCATTTAAATAGAACTTGGCTAACAAGATGGGATGTGCAGTGCTTAATTTTAGTTGTATATACTGCAAATTTAAACCTCCAAGTGCAATTAAATCTCAAATCATGTATGCATAGAGTTGCTTGATAATGACTTCTGTGTTGTATTTAGTTAAGTTTGGTGTACTGCTCAATTATCAGGTTGCAGGTTTGACAAACAATTCTTATATAGCAGAAGCACATGAAGTGCGCCATTGTGTACAGAAATACAAGACTCTTGGTAAATATGTGCTACAAGTTGCAAAGGTGCTAAATAAGCTTTATAAGTGAGATACCTGCATCATGTAGTTGTTTGCTTCCTTTCCCATACTGATCCTTTCTTCAACACTATTATGGCACATGCTTGTACATATTGCAGAAGAGACTGGATGACATGTTATACGTTGGTCTTACCGAGGAGCACAGAGAATCCGCAACAATGTTTGCAAATGTAGTTGGTACTCAAGTGATATCACAACTTAATGCACCAAACTCTAGCCTGGAAACATCTGATAATACAGGCAAGTATGGTTAAACACCTTGTTTCCGTCAAACTGTTCTCAAGTTACAAAAGAAAAGGTGTTTAAAATGGTGCAGAATTTTGAGAATGACTGGTAGCACTTATATTCTTTTTTTATTTGATGATCATATTCTTGCTCGCACCAAAACATGTAATATTTTCAGATGTGTATTAAATATTACATTTTGAAATAACCTTTGTTTGGTATTTTGCTGACATGTATTGTCTTGGATTTAGATTGTGATGTATTTTCATTGATATATGGCATTGATCTGGTATTTGTACTGCAGAAAGGATCTCGGATTCTGATCCTGATAGCAGTGACCATGAGGTAAGAAGCATCCCTTTTGGTGGAGGAGCTTTGTTATTGAAATTTGAATATGGAAAGCATTGTCACAACTTTTCTCACTGCAAAACAGAATAGCACTTTGAACAGGGGAGAAAGTGGGGTTAATTCAAGTGAAGGGGGAGAAGCAACAGAATCTAATGTAAGTTTGTTTTCTTAGCAAGTGTGGCAGTTTTATTGGATTACTAAATATTATCTGTTTCTCATATTTAACAGCATGTTGATCCATTATTTATTTTAGATGACTGTTGGAGAACTAATGGATGCTTATGAACTCTGTATTGCCAATTTACGAAAGGCCCAGTCACGCCGACGTATCTCTTCTTTGAAGAGGATTTCTCCAGTGAACTTTACAAAGGAGGTAAGCTTAGCAGTTCTAATGACCACATAATATCATTCTATCATGTGTGCATCAATATCTATTTCTTGCATGGACAATTGGTGCCTGTATTTCAGGCTATTTAGACTTGGACTTTGGTTTTAAATGTGTGTACAGTTTTAGATACTTGTATTGTGCTCTCTTTCATAATGCAAACTTTTGTATCTCTAAAATCATTTCACTGGATTTCAAATCAGCAATGATGTTTTAACATTGTCATATCTATGCATTATATCTGGAAATATCATGATTATCTAGATCAGAGTTTCATTACAAGGGTAGTCCATATCCCTGCTAAGAATATAATTAATCTTGGGTTCAGACTCTGGTCATTTTTTGTGAATTTCGTGATAATAAGATTTATTAGGTGAAATGCATATATCGTACATATTATTTTATTGGTAGCTGTGATTCAGAATATCTTGTATACAATGAAACATCATGTATATATATTAAAAATTTATGATATTAATACATTGACAAATGTGTTAAACATTTATTACATCTGATTTTAGGTGTTGGATTGGAGAGTTCTACAGCCTCCTGTTAGCTTTTACTATTTTGTTATCCCTTTCTAATAATTTATTTTACAGGCACGTCTTCAGGTTCCTGAAGAGGTTCGCCGTGAGATACGATCTCTTAATGACCTCGACTTGCAGCTCTACGAATATGCGAGATCCATTTTCAATAAACAGCATAAAACCTCATTGCTGATTAATGAGGTATGATTGCTGGTTTAATATATTTTCTCTTTTCACATAACCATACCCAGGGAATTAATGGTTTTGGAGAAGTTTGGGAGTCTTAATTTTTCACTGCTGGAAATAAAATAAATAAATAAAAGATTGTCCCAACAGTAATTTCTCTTATGCATGTTATTTCTTTAAATTGAATCTCAAGACAAGTTTAAAACAGATTGGTGTTAATGGTTCATCCTTAGATTTAAATTTTAATGAAAACCATCCACAAATTTTAAAACGTGATATCTTTCATTATGAAGCGTATGTGTGAAGTATTTGTGTGTATCCATGAAATGAAGTTTATTTATGTATGAATAAAATCCATAAAATGAATAAGTATTACTCCGTAATGTTAGCTTCACGACAACATTTGATAAATTCTTAGATCTATCTTCACGTGGAAGGGAGCAACTGCCGGAAGACATTTGGTGACTTGCACCAAAATCGTGTCTTGAGTTTGATCGATTTTACTATGTTGAATTGCAGGATAGTTGGGACAACGTGAACAGTGCCTATGGCCTCTGGAGGGTCGTTACACTAGCAATTTCTTTTGTCATTTTCATATTCTTACTAATTGTAAATGCGAGAAGAAGAACGTGGAAAGTTAAGAAGTGAAAGTAATTAAATCATAATTTGTGGGATCAGAGTCGAAAAGATTTTAGACAAAATTTGCATATCAGCCTCGGCTTGAACGATCGATATTCTCGTACCCGTTCGTATGGCTTATACTGGATTGTATAAGTTTTGTCCGTGATGAGAACCTTAGTTCTTGAGTTCTGTTAGGCTTTTTGTCACAATTCTGCCTTTAGATTATAGGTTATCTCTGCTACTATAAACCGTGATTACCATGCAATTAATTAAAAAAAAAAAAAGGTATTCTAACTACCAAGGTTTTGTGTCAACCAATACAATGCGACGAGTTTCGGATTTAAATGAAGGTTAAATCACTGATGTTGTATGTAGCGATTGGCTCAATAATTTATCAAAAAAATTTATAAATATATGTCCAAAAATATATATCATTGTACGTACATCTCAACATCGTTTCCGAAGTTGTAAGCATATGTAGTGTCGAATTTATCGAACTTGCTAATGTCAACCGCCCTGCGTGGTCCTCCGCGTAATGCAAGCAATAATGAATCATGAAGAAAGAATAGAAGAAATTTCAATATATTCATTGAGTTGTGATTTTGCTCGTAGGTGTCATTTACCATCATTTGGGGGCGGTGGGAAGACGAGGGTTTTGAATCTGCATAAATAAATACATCTCTCTAAGAAAATTAATCAAATCATCGTTAATTTCTACATAATCATATATTTATTTAAGCTTTTAAAAAAAGTTTGTCATGAAAATTTTCTGTTTCTTCTTTATCACGTATGAAAAATATACCTGCACGCATTTTTTCATTTTTTGATTTGTATCATTTAATTAAAAGTAGGTGTATTTACATAATAATTTGAGTATTATATAATCCCCTTTATATATCTTCCTATAGTCAGACGTTTTCTCATGCTTCTACTCTTTCCACACTCTCCTTTCCTATCTCGTTAATATTTATATTCTTCATAAATTGGAAAACTTTACTCTCCTAACTTGCATCTTCCTCAGATATATTCTCTTCTATTTCTAATATCATTTGAACAATTTAATCAACTAAATATACATAAGAACTAATTTTAATTATATGTTTTATCTCAAAAATTAAATATGCTATATCTTTTTGGTTTTTATCTGAATCGTTTTAACATTTTTTTTTAAATTCAAGATTTTTTATATAAAAATTATCCATAATTAAAAATAACAATATAACTTATTTATAATAAATATAACATATGTTATAAATTTTAATAACATGATTTAAACATTTAAAAACATTTATTTATAATAAATTTTAATTATATAGAATAAACATTTATTATATATAATACACAAACTAAAATATCCGCACCAATATAAATTTTGTTAGTTAGGATAAAATAGAGAGGTGAGACATGTCACGTGGGAACTAAAAGAAACACAAGAGAGGTACAGAGATAAGGGCTTTTCCTTGGTAGTGCCACCGCCGTAAAAAATAAAAATAAAAATAAAAAGAAGAAGAAGGAAGAAAGAAAGAAAGAAAAAGAAAAAGAAAAAGAAGAAAAGGCGACCCTGATAGATTCGAAGGAATCTACTCAATCTGTTGTGTTCAGTTTGAGTTGAGTTGCGCCAATTTCACCTGTCCTCTCCCTGTGACCGTGAGTCCCTTCTCTTCCTTCTATTCTCAATTGCCTTTTTCTTTTTTCTTTCACTTTTTCCCACACTCTCTGCACCACCACACCATTCCTCTTCATTTTCTGCTCCATTTCATTATGCGCATTCATTTCCATTTCTCTTACAATATTCTTAACCACGTACTATGTTTTGAGCACATCACCCTTACCTGCTATCGTAATGTTTGTTCCACATGTCTTGGGTTTAACGACTGTGGCTGGAATCTTTTTGTTTCTTATTTTTCCTTTGTACATGTAATAGTAATAATGAAAATAATCTCATTATGCTTGTCGAAAATAATAATAACAATAATCTCATTATGACAATGGTCTTTGTTAGACTTAAATTTCTATCTTTTTTATAATTTGTCAGCCAATAGTGATGGATGGTTGGTTTTTTAGTGTTTCTTTTGGAGGTGTTGCAAGTATGAAGGACTGGTTGTTTTTTGACAAGAATTTCAATGGTTTCTCGGACGATATTCTTGATGTCATGGACATCGAGTGTTTGAACTTCCCCCTTGATGATGTGGAAACTGATGATGGTGTGGAACAAGATTGGGATGCTCAGTTCAAACTCCTTGAAGAGCCTTCGCTAGGAATTTTTCCAGTACAATCGTCTCAGCTCTTTGCTCATGCTCAAAATGAGAATGTGAAGCTCGACACGAGTTTCTCTGCTTCTGTGAGTTTCCTGCCCTCACTTACGCTCCGTGAATCGATGCCTTTGACATGTTTCCCTTTGCCTGATGTAGAGGGAAACTCGGAGTTTTTACTTCAGTTAAGCTAAATTATAGTATCTGATCAATATATTATCTGCATAGTTTGGCTATGTGAAACTGAGATATGAGTATGCCAACTTTGAAGCATACATTTCGTTAATTTGGGTGCTCCCCCTCCCAACACCAACGGTTTGGTTAATAATTTGGCGATTTTGTTTGATAGGTACTTTCATTTTTTTAATGGAAATTTAGTATACTATTTTGATGACTAGGAAATTTATTATTGAATTTTTATCAGGACTGTGGATTACTGCAGTGATGTTGTTCGGGAACTTTGTCAGATTGAAAAAAAGAAACATTGGCAATTCAAGCCAAAAAATAAGCAAGTGATGTTGAGTGAGTGGGATGGGTGATTATCTTAATGATTTAACATCCTTTTACTCCATTGTGTGCTCTTTCCCTTCAGAGATGGATGCATTATCAAACTATGTGGGTAGTTGGAAAGATTTGTTGAATGACTAAATTCCAATTTTCTTGGAATTTTTGGGTTTGTACCAACTTAACTCTACACAATCGATATATAAGGTGAGGTTTATACTCTATTTAACCCTATCACTTGTCCAATGTAAGAGTAAACTCCACCCTTGAAGTTGCAATTTTGGCAACCCCCAAAGATGTCACAACTTACGAGGGATTAAGATGACTTTCCGACACAACCCCCACACATTTAAGAATTCCAGCCATTGTGGCAAATGCAAGTGGACCAACAATGAATTTAGGATAGACTTCGATAGTATCTTAGGATTTAGATTTAGGTTTAACTTAACCTCACCCAACCGACTTATGAGGTGAGGTTTGCATCCTTATATTCTTTATTCTAGTTATATCACTTGTTTATGTGAGATTAAACAAATTCCAAAGATTGGGGTTAAAATTTAGAAAGACCAACGCTGCAACTTTGGCGAGCTAAGAGTTACTGCTATTAAGACAACTTTCTAACAATTTTAGAAGAATTTTTTTGGTAAAATTGTATGCCGAAGATTCATGTTCCACACATTTACATGATAAACAGGCTAAGAAACCCCAATATTCCAAAAGTGGCAGTATCAATGACATACCCAAATTTACTGATGTGTGTATGATTCTCCTAGTTGCATATCCAAGGAGTATGCTCTTTTTAAAAAAAAAAAAAAATTATTTGACTGGCATATTTGGGATATGGTTTTGATACTTTCAATAGGACTAATATTACATGTCTCTGTCTTTCCTTTGTATCCTTAAAAGTTAATAGAAAATAGTAGGAACTTATATGGAAGTAAGACTTTTGGTGACATTTTGACATGGGATGGGAAAAATATGCAACTTGTTTACGGGGGAAACTATATATTCTGATATGGGCAATGGAAAGCTTTTTAGGTTTGATCACATTCATTAATATTGAGATTTATTAATGAGAAATTGTCAATGTTTCTTTACAAATATTGAAATTTTGCATTTATGCATAAGTTTTTGTTTCTTTTAAATCTTGTTAATATTTCTAAGCTATGTTATCTCTTGAATTAAGAATTTCTTGAATCCCTTCATGTTTGTTGTATTGTATTGTACTTCATATTGGCATATCCAGTGTCCAACCCATAATAATTAAAATAGTACGTTTCAGTTTCATTCTGCTGACTATCAATTTGTATCACAAGTTATCTCACATGACTTTGAATATATTAGGTAGATGAATGAATCACTGTATTTTCGTATAATTGATATGAATTACATGATTGATTTGTTATTTTTCTGTTTTTACTTTTTCTTCCACCTATTCTCATGAAAGAAATTGAAAAGTCGTTTATGTTTAATTGTTAAATAAAAGGAATCAATGGAACATGCTTGAACTTATCCTATTTGATTATTGCACTACTTTATTTGTCACTCACTTATTCACTGCATATTCCTTTTTTTTCGTTCTTCTTTTATAGATGCTTCACAAACTCATATTTAAGTATAACTTACAATTTTGTTTGATTACACTTCTGAATTTGTTGTTTTTTCTGTTTCTAGTTTAAAATTATTACATTGAACACTATATATAATTAATATGGTATATTTGAAGTTACATTTTGTTGTCTTTGAATCTTACTATTTGATACAAATTATGATTCACGATTCAAAAATTAGCTCGATGATTCATGTTTGAATCTCAATTTAATATAATAACCTATATCCAAGCTTCATAAGAAGCAGTATTATTGGGTTACTCTGCTACTGTAATTGCATGACATATTTTAGCCAGGGAGTTGGTTCCATCCTCCTTAGGTTTTTTTCTCCAGGACAGTGACAAGAAGAGTAAAGCTAACTTGGTGGTGGTTCTCTACTTGAAGTGTCCTGTTTGTGCTTCTTCTTGTTTTCCTTTTCTTCTTTTTTTTGTGTATTTTGGTTTCAAACTTGAATCATAGAAAGAGGAAACTTTTTTTGAGTTAAAGGTATGCTTAAAATGTTAATTGCTTTCTTATTGAAAAACATGAACTTGTCTTATATGCATAATTTGCAGCTTTTAGTTTTTACGTAAGATAGTTACACCAGGAAAAATTGAAAATCTTATGTTTCAAAATTATAATGGTACTCGTGCCTCTTAACTTCATGGTTATTGCTCTCAAAAAGTGACAACAGTTCTATGCAATGCTTGTAAGTTAGAAGTGTTTGGGTTATTTTGATTGATGAGTATATGGCATTCATAGATATAATAATGTAAAATTTGCTTTCTCCAATCCGTTGGAAGCAGATGGATTGATGTGTCTGTCATATGTGTGCTTGAATTTTTGTATATGAACACTATAATGCATAATCCTTATCTTGGCCAAAGCCTTTCCTATCTACCTGGATTTAAATTTAGGAAACCTCATTCATTGGAAAGGTTGCTGAGAACTAACTGCGTTATGGAGGAAGACTCGTGTTTTTATGCATTTTCTGGAAGCTACCCAGACTTACTTTCTTATCCAACTACTGAGAAGTGACGCAGAACATATATGTTTAGATAAATTCCAAACACAAACCGAGATAAAACAGATTTCATCCCAGATTATGTAAAATAATGTGACATGGAAAGGATTAAGTTGTATGAAATAGTTTGTTTAGCCACAAACAATAGGCGAGCCTTTGCAAATCAGAAACTGTAACTGTGTAAGACAATTGCTTTTACAGACAGGTTCATTTCTGGTTCATATAGTATTGAATTTGTGCAATGGCATCTGATAATTGAGTAGCACACATGTTTTTGAGCTTTAGCATTTCTTTCCGGTGAATAGCTGTGGCATACACTTGTAAATTTTGGAAGAAATTACATGTTATGTTGTTCTTCTCTCCTTGCAAAAAACATAAAGTAATGCTGAAAATTTATCCTATTTTTGTCTACATACGCATATTAACCGATCTGATTGTTTATATATTTTTTATGGGTTGGATGTATTTTCCCAAAAAACAGTTACCGAAGACTGCAGGACCTACACATAACAAAACTATTCCTATCCAGAAAATCTCTTTAAATGGGAAAGATTTGCTGCAATTCCAAACCAACAGCCCAGTTTCTGTTTTTGAAAGAAGCGGTAGTTCTCCCTCGGTTGAGAACTCAAACTTTGAGTTACCTGTCATCCCAACAAAGCGTCCCAGAAGCAAACGCAGGCCTCTGTCAAACATCAGCCTGCTATACTCTATTCCTTTCATCTTAACATCACCAGCTTTTCAAGAATGTCGAAGGACAGCTGTCTTCAAATCAGATATAGAAACAAAACCAAGCATGGTAAAAAAGCAGAGGAAAAAGGATATTCCCCTGCTAGCTAACAAAATTGAGATGAAGAGATCCTCATCAGAGGAATCAGTTGCACTGAGAAAATGCTTGCATTGTGAGGTGACAGAGACACCGCAATGGAGAGAGGGACCAATGGGTCCTAAGACCCTATGCAACGCTTGTGGAGTTCGGTACCGTTCTGGCAGGCTCTTTGCTGAATACCGGCCTGCAGCTAGCCCCACTTTTGTATCATCATTGCACTCTAACTCTCACAAGAAGGTCTTAGAAATTAGGAACAGAGCCACCCAGGTGACAGTCAGATAAACCTTCATGGAAATTCTTTAGGATAGTATTGTGTTGGCTTTCGTTGAGTGGCAGTCCTAAGCAGGATTCTCCTTCATTGTTGTTCTCCTCTTTTTATGGCCTAATCTTAATCTTAAAATGCTTAGCAAATTAGCATCATTTGTTTCATGTAAATTGATTGGAAGTAGTCCACTGCATGCTAGGCATGCAAGGAAACAAGTTGTTGAAAATTCTGAGAATTAAATAAAAGGCAAAACGTAGATGTGGTTCCTTATGTGTTTCTGGTGCTGTTTGTTTTTTAGGGGATGAAAAAAAATTTAGTAGCTTTACATAAGTTGTTTCTTAAAGGCCATTTAGAGGATAATTGATTTTGGAAATTCGTGTTATCCGCTGCATGATTTTTCTCTTTACTTATACTCCATTTTTTTTTTATTGCTCAACTAAGTTTTTATTTATTTATTTCACTGTTTTATTTTGTAATATTTATTTTATTTAATTATGTTTTTAGTCTTTAAAATTTAGGATAATTTTGGGTGGTCTCTAAATTTAAAAAGATATTTTTTTAATCTCTCGAAATCGGAGAAGAAAATTATTTATTTTTTAAACTGTAAATTTGAATGACTAAAATAAATATTTTAAAATCATTTTTAATTTTTCAAACATAATATTTTATTAAAAAATAGATACTAATTTTGTAATTTAATAACTAATAATATTAATATTTTCATTTTTTGTATTTTATCTCTATCATGTCCATGTATTGAAAAAACATTCATAGTCGGACAAAATTTACATTGCAACCCAACTTTCTGTGTCTTTTGTTTTGTTATTCATGTTAACAAAAGTTCTTGGGACTCATGGAAAATAAAGAAATTGTTGACGAATAAAAAGCTTTTGTCAACTATTTTAACTTTAAATATATATATATATATATATATATATATATATATATATATATATATAGTTATTATAACACCAACATAAAGAACAGATAAATTTATTATTTTCAACTAATTTAACTAATTTTTTTAAGGGTGTGAACTAATTAGAAAGGCCTTGCAAATAGCAATGGGTAGAGAGTAACTTTATAATTCAAATGCGCTTTAATTATCTCGGATCTGCTTTTGGTAAATCCAAAACTGTGGGCTATTAAGAGGTAGCCCATAAGGGGTTTCTACCATGTATGTAATTTCATCAAAATTCTTTATTTCTTTATTTCTGTTTAACTGTGATTTTCAAAATTCAAGATAATTTAAAATGTTTTATTAATATCTTTATTTCACTAAATCTATATATATAATCTTATAAATATTTTATTAAAATTAAAAAAATATATTATATTTCATAATATTAAAAATAATTAAATGACATTTAAAAAGGTAAAAAGAGTATAATTTGTTTATTCGATGAAACATTAAGATTTAATAATAATAATAATAATAATAATAATAATAATAATAATAATAATAATAATGTAAAAGAATTTTACACCATCAATGTACTATTTATTCTCCTATTCTTATTATTATAGTATAAGATTGTTGGCAAACTGTGATTGGTAAATGCTGATGGGCAAGCATTAAAGGAAAGGTTTAAACATTTGGAATTTATTTAAATCTTTCAACTTTGTTGCTTTTTCTTTTATGCCATGCTGGTGCTTCATTTATAAATGTTCCATTTTGAGGAAATAACCGTGAATTGCAATGTTCCTATGTACTCTTAATTAAGGAGCTGCTTCTGCTGTGTTGCCCAAGCTAGCTAGTATACTCTATCTCTACACTCTAAAGCACCACATATACATGCCCTAACCTATCATTTTACAGCATTGCCATGAGATGAAAGCACATGCATTCCAAATCATAATCTACGTTAATAGCCTTCCATCCTCCATGTCCATGGTCCATTCCACAACTTTCTATTTTTAGACAGCAACATTCTCCCTATTCTTTTCTCCATAACACTTATTATGCCTATATACCCTACTCCATTCATGCCTGCCAAAGTGAAATTATACATTTTGTTTATCACTTACTTTTGGTACCAAATTCAATTCCAACCATAAATTCTGTTCAACTTGCATCTCTGTAGTTTGTTACTTCACTTCCTTCCTCATCATATAAATCATTAATGTGGTACCAAGATTACTGCGTTTCCTTTTCTTTGGATGGTGAAGAGGGAATCACAAAACTATATAACAATGGATCAAATGGATGGTGCATGCATAGCTATTATATATGTTTTCATTTTGTATTAGAAAAAGTAAATACCATTTTGTGCTTTTTGTCAAGTTTCCATCATTTAACGACAAGTGGTTTCAATTTCAACTAAACTTTGATATATTATGCTGTCCCCAAGACATAGTTGTTCACTGTCACGTTTACTTTCTGAAAATTAATTAGCATGGCTGAGCCAAGTGGAGAGAAAACTTGTTGCTTTGTTCATGTGAGAGGTGAAAAGAAAAAAGAAAGAAAAAGAAAAATCAAATTTTATTTGGTTTGTGTATAAAGTATCCCGTGACTCCAGACCTAACACGAGAGGTCCATTTTCAAAGAAAAATCATGCAAACACGTTATATAAACAAATGAAGATAATATGATAATAATAACAGTAATAATAATAATAATAATGTTTTTGCACCTTCCACATCTATTATACACACCAAACATTTTTCTGCAAATGAAAGATGAAGGAAGGAACAAAGAGACATGAAGATGAAGTTGAAAGATTAAATAAGACACGCTCAAGTCTAGTCTATTGCACCATCAACGACACATACCAAGTACCTACTTATCTAGCTACCTAATACAGCGATCGATGCATGTACTGTCATATCAATGCCACACACATTCATTCAGTATTTAACACTAACAATGACACACTAATTGGTGGGGTTCACCCCTTTCTTTCAATATCATGCCCCTCCTTCTCCACTTCATCTCCTCACTCTCCTTTTCACAACACCCCCACTAGTCCAACCCCCGCCGTTTACTTCTGTTCCAACAATTAGAATAGTAAAATATCGTTTTATAATTAATTTCAGTTATATATATGTGCAGAAAAATTTAGTATTTTTGGAGAAAATAGAACTGCATGCAACTATTTTACAGAACTGGTTCAGTTTGAACAGAAATTGTTTTCTGAAACAGATTGATTCCCACGATTCCATTAAATTGGGGTGTTGAAATAGGAGGATCTGGTTGAGTGTAAAAAAGGGTAATGGAGGATAGTGGGAGTAGGGTGTGGAGTGAGACACTGGTGTATGTGTGAGTCCAACCCGTGACAAAGAGAACACAACGACAGAGATTCCTTGCATGCACCTAAGAGAGAGAAAGAAAGAAAAAAAGGGTGTTTGTGTGTGTCACTATCCTAATCCTAACCCTAATCCACCTCATCCATCCATGTATGTCCAATCCAACAACATGCAGTGGGGCCCTCACCTTACGTATGGCATCGATGGGAACGAGGAAGAAGAGGGCATGAACATGACCCCATCTTTGTTTGACACACCTACCATGGCATAATAGCATATATAGCATAGGATATAGATTGGGGTTACTTGTCTCTAGCTGTCACGTTTGTACCATTCTTCATCACTCTTTCACCCTTTTTCCCTATCGCCATTGCCAACACATCTCATTAATAAACCAAACTGTTACGCATACGTTAAACGCAACACAACAACGTTTTTCTAATAAGGCCAAACACCTCTAATTACTTGGTCTCATTGCAACTAATCTAGTTTCCACTTCAAAAGGTAAATATTGACTTTCATCAACCTTTTGTATCAGACATAAAAAATAATAATATCTTGCATTAAAAAAGAAAGAAAAGAGAATAGATGAGGTGAAAGAAAGTTCTGTTTATGAAGAATCGTTGTTGTCAGAGGGAGTGTGAGGGTCGTATTTGGTTGTTTTGAGTTTTGAAAAGGGTAAGCATGGTGGTGGCCGGTTGTTCTCTGCACAGTGTGACAGAGAAGCACAAATGGCGAAGCTTTCAGTTCATTTGTCAATTTCTTGGGACCCAATTACTCAGTTGGCAACATTTATTGCCCAATTTCCCTCACCCAAAGTCACTTTATTCTCAATCCCTCTTTTTTATTTTTTTAGATGCTCTTTTTATTTCCTCAAAATATCATACTTGCTCAATTTTCAAAAGGGTATATAGGGATGGGACTCTAATCTCCCTACGTGGAATGCTTGAGTTGGATATTTATTGCACTATTCAAAAACCAATATTATATACATACTTCTCATAATATAATAATATTAATAGAGATATCATGTGTAGTTCATATTTTAAAAAAATAAAATAAAATTGGTTCAAAAGTTTATTTTTAAATGATTTTTCATATTTTCACAATGGTAAAACCAATTTATGTTGTATTGTTATGTTTTTTTTGTCTCATCATAATTACGGTTTTAATTTATAAAAAATAAATTACACAAAATATTATTTATTTTTGTTTTCAAAAAGAAACGCAACCCGTCTCAAAGAATGGGTTGATAGAATTATAAAATTGTTCTGATAATTTAAAAATATTGAAGAAAACCACTTCCTAATGAAATATTAAGACCTAAAAATAACACCATATTTATTTTAAAATTAAACATTAATTTGAGATTCTATAATATTGTTTACCCAATTCAAAAAAAAAATCCACAGGCTTTTTTTTTTAGTTGCAAGTCAAACCCATTTGTCAGTGATAGAAAATAGCTTTAGCAACAGACGAAAAAGAACGTGAGAGAAAAATACGAGATACAATCAGAGTATAAAATAACATTTTTTTCAAGTATACTTTCCTCTGATATTTTGATTTTTGTTTTTATTTTATTTTTTTTTATTTAAAATGATGAGTCTATTCTGCAGCAACTTGCAGGGACCATAATATAAATATAAAGTAGCAAAACAAAAGACAAGCCAGCCAGCACTTCCCAACTCATAGAGAAACAAAATAAAATAATGTAACTATTATTTATAGCTGTAATAATAGTGATCATTCAATTTTTCAAAATGCGTAATATAATTTCCATGTTTTTCAATAAGTAACTTATAAATAAAATAGTTTTCTAAGTATATTTGGTAAAGTAATAATTTTAAGAGGTTTGAATCCATAAGAAAAGAAACCTCACTATAAAAAATATAAATATTTTTCATAATTTAAGTATGTGTATATTTTTCTACGTTGACTTAAAAGGAAATTAAAGAGATGGGATAAAGTTATGTAATTTCAAAAATCAACATCATCTTATGAGGAATTATTTTATTACTCTGAATAACCGAATCTTAATTAAATTGATATAAAATTGAGAAAATAAAAACAAATATCTGATCGAACAGATTTTGATAAAAAAAAATATATAATTTTTAAAAAACATAATATCTTATTAAATGGGTTAAACTTACGATTTGAAAAACATGTAGGAATTGTTTTGTCACATTGATGGTTGTCTCCATGATTTGATATTTGGCTCTTAATTGTGTGGGTAGAGGAAGTAGATTTCTTAATTTCGAACCACATGTTTTGGGTGGATTCATCAACAATTTTCGGTTTTGTTCATATTTCTTCCCTTACTCAGAAACATGGATTAAACCCTTTTTTCAAAGACATGCATGTATTCATCATAAATGGATTCTAATCCAAAGCAACCCCATTCATTCATGTCCCTACGACTTTTGCTCCCTCTTCTCCCCTTACTTCCCTTTCAAGTTTTACAAGCATTTTGAAATTAAATTTAACACTAATTTTTTAATGCAAACTCATTTGTGTCAATTATATTTTAATTTCAATTTATCGTATCATATTGTCAAAGTTTCATCACATCATAATCAATCCAATTATCACGTCACTTTGGCCTTTCAAAATTTGCTTCAAATCCATTTTCACATGTTGAAAAGGGTTATCCAACTCACTTCCCACGTATAATCCTAACTCCACGTATCTTTTCCATTATATGCTTGCTTTTATTAAATAAATTATCCATTGGTTTGAAAATAAATGGGAAAGAAATAAGGTAAGAATTTTCAAAAAATATCATACAAAAATTGAGAAACATGGGTTCTTAATGTCAAAATTGCATAGCCAAAATAACATAAGCCATTTTTTCCATTTTATAAAACTAATTAAATGATCTAAGTTGTATTAATATTTAACTTAAATTTTAGTTTAATATATTTTTTATTAATTAAATCAATTTAATTATAAAATAAATTAGTATTATATATATATATATATATATATATATAAATATTTACGCATATTATATTAGGGAAACTTATGCAGTTTGACTAACATTTAACTTATTTTACATTTTTTCACTTGGTCTGGTTGATTTACATTATTTTTTTATTTAGAAGTCAATTTGAGGGGAGTAAAAAAAATAATAATGAAATATTTATTATTATTATTATTATTTTAAAAAATTAAAACATTTATTATACATCGACTATATAATGAAATATTAATACTTAAGGTTAAGAGTTATTTACAATAATTGTTATAAATAAGAAAATATTTTAATAAAATTTGATATAAGTTACTTAAAATTAAATAAAAATTTATTTATTTAATTTTAAATAGTTTTCCAATGATATTTATAATAAACAAACAAAATTTATCAGGTGGATAAATTAATTATGTTCCTCTTTTACTATAATCTTGGTAACTTTTCCATAAATTAAATTATAAATATAATTTATCTAAACATAAATATAATCTCATCTAGTTTATATATAGAGTTCAATTATCCTCTTTTACATAAAAATTTTATAAATACAACTCAATAATTAAGGTGATTTGGATAATTAATAAATTAAAATATCTCTTGATAAATATTTAATTCAATGCTTACACTAATCATTCTCATATAAGAATATTTTTATGATATTCATTTTATAGTAATTTTTCTCAAAAACATAATCACAAACATTATATTTTAATATCCATACATCTATATGATATAGTCAAATGTAAGTTAAGGAATTTTAAATAAAATTACTCAAAAAATTTGATATCATTCATCACTAATTTTTGTTTTAACCAAGTATCATTATTTGAGTTGAGTGAAATCCCTTTTAAATTCCTCGTTCCTTTTTTCTTTCTTTTTGTTTGAGTAGAATTTCATTTGAGCAGTCAATTTTTTACTTGAGTAAAAATACAACAAAGTCAACCCCTTTCTCAATAAAAGTCTCTTTTTTGGACAAGAAAATGTTTTCGAGATCTGTTCCTTCAAGCAAAAATATTTTTAAGCAAAAATTATTATGTAGTGAGCAAATTATAGAAAAAAAAAATGGAAACATTCATCCAGGCATATAACTCATTTCAAAACATTTCTAATATACCAAGAACTTAGATTAACAAAGTTCTTTTTTTTAAAACCAAAGTTACATGAATCACAATTCTAAGTCATGCATGCAAGGAGAGAGAAAACAAGAAAAAAAAACTGAATTTATTATTTAAAATTTTAATAGATACTTTACAATAGAGACTATCCATCTTGAAAAAGATAAACGAAAAATTTAAGATCTTATAAAAAAAAAAATAGAGGTTCATTGTTTTTGGAAGATAATAACTTTTTAAAATTAAAATTAAATAATTAAATTGTTTTATTTATAATATTTTTAATTTAACTGAAAAATATTTATTTTCATTAAATTAAACCACTCTTTCTTAAATTATAAAAACTTAATCTTTATAAAAAATAAAAGGTTTACATTCTCCTACAAAATTTAATATTTCAACTATTGAAAATCAAACATTCTACAAATTTATGTCTAAAAGAAAACAATATAAATATTTTTCTTCTCCTAATAATAAAATATTTGTATTTCTTTTTTATCACATAAATGGTGAACTTAGGTGGTTAGTAATCTCCAACAAAAAAAAACACAAGATAAACTTTTCTTGTACTCTCTTTTCATGATATAAAAAAAAGTTTTGGAAAGCCCAAACTAGCACAAAGATGCAGTCTTATTAATCTTTTATATTTTTACATTTTGTTTACCATTTGATTACATGAAACATGTATATCATGGTAATTAACACCAATTTTTAATATGTTGTGGAACTAGTTTTTTAATTGAGATTGCTTCTTTATATGAAATAAATTACAATAATTAATACACAACTAACTAATTATCTATCAGTATGCATAATTTTAATTGTGTTTTTGTAACTTTCTTGTAGCTCTCTTTTGCTATTTTCTTACTAATATCCACTCTCTCTTTTTTTTTTTCTAATTGAAAATAAAATAAATAAAAACTCAACAATTAAAAAAATGCATCTCCCATTTGAATAACAAAAATGAAAAATAAGGTAACAATAGGCGACAATTTTCATAGATTTATTCCATATTTTCTTTTTAAGTCTAGTGACTCATATCACTGCTTGTATTCTTTAAAACATGGCAAATATATGTAAAAGTTTGCATTAATATTAATTTTTTAAACTAAATTTACAAGAACAACCCAAATCTTATTCTTCTAAAACTGATTTGCTAAATACAATGTCAATCTAAAATCATATATTTTAGAATAATATATCACCAAATTTATATTACTTTCCAAACTAAGTTTGGAATACTACAAACTAAAAACCAAGCATAGTGTTAATTTTATCTGACTATGATTATCAAGGAGAATATATATTAACGAATGATAACCATAATTTATCTTTTATATAATTTAAGAAAAATGTCTGCATCAAAAATATCAAATAAAACTACAATAAAATGAAGAAAGATAAATATAATTTATATTTTATACAATTTAAGAAAATATCAAATAAAATTATATTAAAATGAATAATTTTTTTATTTCTTTTTTGGTCGCAATCAAAAACAGGTTAAGAGTGTGTTTTGTGTATACGAGAAAAAGACAAAGAGAAGTAAAACCCCTTCCTTCCATTGTATTTTCAAATAATCCAAACCAAAACATTTAAAAGAAACAAGAAACAAAACCAGCTTGTGTTTGTACTTTGGGTAACGAATCTCATTACCATTCTCTTAAAAGTAGTGAATAATTAGAATTTGTATTCTATTAATATTTTTTTACAACTTCCATTATCATGAACAACTCGTTTTAAATGTCTTATTATTCGTTCTAACACTTCAAATTTAGTAATAAAGTTTGTTGTGTTTTAATAAACTAAAATATAATTTCCTCAAGTTTTGACGAAAATTTGTTCAAATTTTGTTACGAGAATTATATTTAATAATACAAAAAAAAAAAAAAAGAAAAAAAAGTGCATCGACAATTCTCCCACAAAATATTTTTTACAATAGTACGTATTCGTTTTTTAATTACTCAAATAAGTATACTTGTACGTTTTATTTACCTAGAAAGCACAGTTCTTTTGTAAGTTGATAATTCGATTTTCCGAAATACGAAACCTAAACGTAATTGTATTTGATAATTTTTTCAAACAATTTAGAATTCGATTTTTCGACAACCGAATTCCGAACAGTTTTCTTTTTACTTTGTTAAGAAAAAAACTAACTATATATATATATATATATATATATATATATATATAATATGTTATAATATTTTATTTAACATTTATAGTTTTAAATTAGGTATTTAAAAAGATTTGTATATTTCTAAAATTAATAATATATTTAGATTTATTGTTGAAAATAGTAAAATAATATTTTTAAAATATATTATTAAATATTATAGTTAAATTTATTTGTATGATTAAACTTTTTTTAATTTTTTGATTTATTTGATATTATAATTTTTTTAGAAATTAATAATAAATTAGGAGGATAATAAAAATCTTAAAAATTATATGTATATAAGAAGAAATAATATTTTGATGTAAAATTACACATACATATATATATATATATATATATATATATTCTAAAATATACTATAATATAAAATATATATTTCAAAATATAACTTATTTTCATTTATATATATATTATAGAAATTAAAATAAATTCTATTTTAGAATATATATATATATATATATTAAATATAAATTATTTTAAAGTTGATAATTATTATTCTAATTTATGTAAAATATATATATAATTAATTAATTTATAAGAGCGGTTAACATTTATTATAATTTATTCTAATTAATTATTCATATATGTGTCACTTTTAAGAGCGGTTAAGAATATAAGCTGTTCTTAAAAGTGAACATATAGTAGCGATTCCATGCTTAAAACTGAAGATATAATAGCGGTTTCAAGTTAACCGCTCTTAAAAATGAAGATATAAGCGGTTCCACGTTAACCGCTCTTAAAAGTGAACATATAATAGCGGTTCCACGTTAACCGTTATCTAAACTATATTTTTAATATCAGTTAAATCTAGAACCGCTATCTAAAGTCAATTATTTGAAAATATAATCGATTATTGGACAATTTAATCGAACATAACGAGTAATTAAAAAAGTAATTGATTTAGAATTCGATTTATTCGTAATTGAATCGTAAGTAGATTTTTTTTTATTTTGATAAGAAAGAAAAAACTAATTAAATGTTATTATATCTTCAGTTTTAAGAACGAGTTAACATGAAACCGCTATTATATCTTCAGTTTTAAGAGCAGTTAATATGGAACCGCTATTATATGTTCACTTTTAAAAGCGGTTACATTCTTAACTGCTCTTAAAAGTGACACATATATGAATAATTAATTAGAATAAATTATAATAAATGTTAACCGCTCTTATAAATTATATATATATATATATATATATATATATATTTTGCATAAATTAGAATAATAATTATCAACTTGAAAATAATTTATATTTAATATATATATATATATATATATATATATATATATATATTCCAAAATAGAATTTATTTTAATTTCTATAATATATATATATAAATGAAAATAAGTTATATTTTGGAATATATATTTTATATTATAGTATATTTTAGAATATATATATATATATATATATATATATATATATATATATATAATTTTACATCAAAATATTATTTCTTTTTATATACATATAATTTTTAAGATTTTTATTATCCTCCTAATTTATTATTAATTTCTAAAAAAATTATAATATCAAATAAATCAAAAAATTAAAAAAGTTTAATCATACAAATAAATTTAACTATAATATTTAATAATATATTTTAAAAATATTATTTTACTACTTTCAACAATAAATCTAAATATATTATTAATGTTAGAAATATACAACTCTTTTTAAATACTTAATTTAAAACTATAAATGTTAAATAAAATATTATAACATTATATATATATATATATATATATATATATATATATATATATATTAGTTAGTTTCTTTTCTTAACAAAATAAAAAGAAAATTATTCAGAATTCGGTTGTTAGAAAATCGAATTTTAAATTGTTTGAAAAAATTATCAACTACAATTACGTCTAAGTTTCGTATTCTAAAAATCGAATTCTCAACTTTAAAAAAAAATATGTATAATATACTATTTGAGTAATTAAAAAACGAACAACAAGTGCTAGTGTTGAAAAAATTTCATTCTCCCTCACAAAAAATGCATCATATTAGATTCAGGGAAATGTAAGTAGAGTCATAAGCTCAGTAACACCCTTATCCTCACTGCAGGCAAACTTTATTATGGTTTCCCAGCTCCCCAAATCAAATTCTACCTTCCTCTTTTCCATCTCTTCCAGAACAAAGCAGGCAGCATCAATATTCCCAGATTTCAACAGACCAACAACCAGACAATTAAATGTTTCCGAACGTGGACAATGTCTACTTGTTAGCATGGCATTCAAAACACTAAGACCCATCTCAAAATCCCCTATCCGGCACAAACCATCAACCATCATCCTGTATGTAGCTGCATTGGGCTCACATCCCCCAATCTGCATCTCAAGTAAAACTTTGTAAGCTTCCACTGCCTTACCTTCCTTGCAAAGATAATTTATCAATATGTTGAAAGTTACAACATCTGGCTTAAGCCGCCTTTTCTTCATCTCATGGAGCAAAGACTTGATCTCTCCAACCTTTCCTCTCTTCCCAAGATCATTCATCAAAACACCAAAATTCACGGGCTGGGGTTTACACCCACGATACGCCATATCAAACATCAGCTTCTTAGCTTCATCATACTTTTCCACAGAGCACAAACCCTCCATCAACAAAGCATAAGTTACTTCATTTGCGCGTCTATCTTTCTGGCCCATGTCCTCAAGCAAGGCCATTGCTTTATCCAAATCACCTTTCCTACACAAAAACCCGATAAGACTATTGTAAGTGACTACACTCGGTTGCACCCTCTTCTGAAGCATTTCATCAAACACCTCACACGCTTTCCCCCACTCGCCCTTTGCCAACCACCCCTTGATCATTATATTGAAAGTTACGGTGTTTGGGCGAAAACCCATTTCATGGGATAGACCAAAAATATCATTGGCCTCATCGAACCTATTATTGTCCACTAGAACATTGAGAAGAGCGTTGAAGGACTGTATCGTGCGGACACAGTTAAACTGGGGCATTCTGTTGAAGAGTTCAACCGACTTTTGGGGACCGTAATATTGAAAGAGAGCAATGAAGACCCTTTCTCTGCATTGCATATCGGTGTCTCTCATGTGAGCGAGAATGGTTTCGACGGCTTCGAACATTCTAGAACGGGCTAGTTTGTATAGCAATGCAGCATAGGAAGGGTAATAGTGGCGGAAACCCTGTTCTTTGTAACGGTGAAAGAGAGACAAGGCTTCTTCCGGGTCCTCCACTGTTTTGACTTCCGTGACGAAAGGAATGCGCCTGCGAAACTTCGGAGTTGGTCTTTCATGGAGTCGAGGTTTGTTAGAGTGGAATAAGGATCGATTATTAGCATAATGGAGAAATGGATTTGGATTCGTTTTGGCTCTCCCACAGATCATTCAAGAAGGAGAAGAGTGACTGTGAAGAAAGAGAGATTCAAAAGAAAGGAATACAAATGTTTGCTCCTGGTTTTAATAACTTCAATTTTATTTTGATTGCAGGAAGAGTGAAAAGGGTTTTTCACTTCTCAATGGGGGTTGCTACAAGTTGCTCACCTCATATAATATATATAAATGTTTAAATGAAATTAATTAAGTTGATTTAAATTTCTAGTTTAACTTAATTTAATCAATTTCTAATAATTAAAATAAAATAATCATAGATATTTCTAGTTTAACATAATTTAATCAATTTCTAATAATTAAAATAAAATAATCATAGATAACTTCCAATAAATCCTACAAATAATATAATTTTAAAAAACAAATAAAATTCTTATTAATTTATTTACTTAAATATTTATTATTTATATTTTTTTCTTTTTATTCGTTCATTATTTTTTTATCTTATATTTTTTTCTCTTCTCTTATTTATTTTTTAAAATAAAAATAATTTATTAAAAATTAATATTAAAGAAATATTAACTAGTTATTTTAAAATATAAAATTATTAATTTAAAATTATTTTATTATAATAAATTAATTATAAATATATCTTTTATTTAATATTTTAATTTAATTATAATTAAATTAAATTATGATGACTAGTAATTTAAAAATATTTTTTAATAAAAAAGTTATTCTAATAAATATTTATTTTTTAATAATTATAATATAATAATATTTGTAATACTTTAAATTTACTATATAATATTTTAAAAAATATATATATCAAATTATATTTACTCTTAATATTTTATTATATTATATTAAATAATATAATGTATTAAATTATAATTTTTAATCATATAAAAATATATCAAAAATTAATATTCTTACTTTCTAATTAAATATTTATTTTAAAATAATATATTTATTAAATCGGTCAAACGATAAATCGGTTTAGAAAACTAATGATTATAAATAACAAACTTTTAAATAAATTGGAACAAAATTAAAAAATTAACATAAATTAAAAAAAATAGCATAAAATTGGTGAAATTGAAAAAAATAATTAGATTTTTTATCGGTTTTAGTAAAAAAAATTTTAATATATTTTCTTATAAAAATATATTATATTTTAGTTTTTTCCTATTTGATTTTAGTTATATCAATCATTATTTTTTTATTTTTTTATCTTATTTTAAAAATTATTCATGTTATAGTGTAATTTTTATTATAAATAACATTAATTATAAATATAAATTTTATTATAAATAACATTAATTATGAATATAATTTTAATTATTTAAAAAAATATTATTATTATTAATAAACTTATTATATATTTATTATATTATAAAAATATTATTTTATAAAAATTTGCTGAACCTTAATTAAATATTTAAACTTAAAATTAGAATGTGAAAACAGCTGGTATAATCTAATTTGGTCAGGTTTTACTTATCAAATAAAAAAATTTAATAATCTAATATAATCTATAATTTTAGATAGGTCATAACTAAACCAATGTATTAATAGGTTGATTTTGTTTTAATTAAAAAATAAACAAATTATTAACATATTTATATAAAAATAATTAATTAAACAGATATTTAAATAAAGTAAAAAATATATTTTAAAATTTTAATTATATTAATGAAATTATTTTTTATTTTAAATATAATAATTTAATATATAATTTATAAAAGAAGAGATTTATTCAATCCTAAATTAAAAATTTAAAAATGATTCTTTATTTTTATTATTAAATTTATTTAATGATTTATTAATCTAAATTAATAATTCATCTTTATTATTAGATCAAAATAAGGAGATATGAGATACTTGTGATTATATTTTTTTAAAACGAACCTCTTGCAGTTAATTTATGTTATATATATATATATATATATATATATATATATATATATATATATATAAATAACATAAATTAATTATAAGAATTATATAAAATAATAATAATAATTTGTAATAAAAAATATTTAAAAAAATTATTGTTATTATTTTATAAAATTGATTAATTATAAATATACGATTTAATCTAAGTACATATAGATTAAACTATACTATATATATATATATATATATATATATATATATATATATATATATATGTATATATAATTCATTGGTTATGGATTATTTAACTTATATATTTTTTTAAACATCTTATATCAAATTATTATATTTGATTACTAATTCAATAGTATATTTTATGGATCCAATTTTAAATCCAGCATGAAATCAGTTCAATCATAAAAAGAGAATTATCACTTAACAATATCTCATTAAAATTAACATAATTCTCTCGGATTATTCCAAGTTTAAAAAACGGTATATCAATTGAATAAGGAGACTCTTGAAAAGTCTTAAATAAATATTTGAGTAATATTGATGTTTTATTAGGAATTATGCCATTCAAATGTAAAAAAAAAAATATTTTATTCTCTCGAATGAAAAATATGTAAAATGAAAATAGTCACTTGTATTAAATTATATATCGTTAAAGAGACCAACTTGCTCTATCTTCGTCAAATTATTTTTAACTTCTAAAAAATAGTATGGTAATAAGTTTTTTATATAAAATTTTTATGATTTTTTTAAAATATCTTTAATTATATAAATAATTTTAAATTTTTTATTTATTAATTAATATTTTTATTAGATAAATTAAAAAATATTATATTTTTTCTTACAATAACTAATTATAATCAATAATTTTAATTTAATTAATTTAATTTTATAATTTAAATTATAATATTATAATATATTTATATATTTTAATAACATAATATATTATTTTTAATTATAATCTTTTTTATTTTAATTTTAATATATACATAAATATTTTTTATAACGAATTAGCATGTTTCAGTCTTAATTTTGACGAGTTGACTAGATGAATCAAAACATACTAATGAACTAAAATTACTCCCCATTCCACTATATTTTAAATGAGTTGATCCAAACTTAACCCATTTTATCATCTACTTAGATTATTTGATTATTATAAAATTAATTCTAACTCACATATAAAAAAATATGTACTTTTACTTCAAATAAAATCCACTTTTAACTAATTTGTCCCCATTGTACAAAATTTGACCATCTAATTAACCGAAAATTAATTCGATATACTTTATTTTATTCCAAAATTAATTATAATCACATAACCTCTTAAACCAATTCAGTATATTCTAAATTCATCTAATTTGTACCATTCAACGTTTTCACTCATTAACTTCCTAACTCAAATTTAACACAATATGCATTTAATGTAAATTCTTAAATTTAATGTAAGTTCTCAAATTATATACCAAATCATTCAAATCATCTATCATGTGTACTTAAAACTATTTTTGTAATAGAATAATTTTGTTTTCCAAATATTGCACTTATAAATAGATTCTAACATCTTGAGTAATTTTATTTTTCAAATATTACAACTTTTTATTAGAATCTAACACAAAAAGCTCTAACATATTCATAGAAAACTTAATCAACAAACCAAATTCTATACTAAGATTTTAGACTAATAAATTCTAGGCTAACAACTTTATATCCCAAACCCACATGCAAGTACCACAATCTACACGTCCAAGTCAACAAATAAATTTGTAAAAAATTACAAAGATCAAGATTATGAACAAACAATTATATTCTATTATCTACCATTTTCAAGTTCAGATCTTGAAAAAAAGAGTAGTTTAAAAATTTTAAAAAATAAAGTTTTAAAAAGCTAATAATTTTTATTAAATAAAAAATTAAATAATTAAAACTTTTTAATTCATCTGATAACATTTGTACTCTCTCCATTTAATTAAATTACATTCTCTTACACTTTTAAAACTTATTTCTTACAACTTTTACATGCTTTTCCGCATTATCTTAATCTTCTTTGACTTTAATTGGAAATAATCTAAATCAATAAATAAAATTTTAAAAATATAAATAAAACATTATTAAAATGAAAAGTTCTAAATATAACGATATTTTTTATAATAGTTTTATTAAGAAAAATTGTCCGAATGTGTGTAAAAAGTAGCAAGGAAATATGTACTACTAACCTTATCTTAAAATTAAAAATAATTTTGAAAAGAAAAAGAATTGTTTCCATTTAATTAAATGTGAATCCATGGCACCGAGTACAGTGGTAACTTCAAACTTTACCAACCCCTTACTTTCTTTATAACCTCATAAACTCATAATAATTGCCATAACACAAAATAATTATTAAATTTGCTTTCACATTCCCATTCTTATTTATTTCAAAACAATTAAGAAACATTAATTTTGGCTGGCCAGAAAGTCGGTTTGGTCGTTTGTTTCGTTCATAATAGGTTCCGAAGGGTGTCTGGGTCTGTCTGTTGTAGTGAGAGAAACAAAAAAAAGAATCAAAGAGAGAGAAATAGGAACAATATAGAAGAAGACTGAGATCTGAACCAACGAAACCAAACCAGACCCTCGTGTTTCTACTCTATGTGATGAAGCTCGTTACTAATTCTGCTCTGAATATCTGTATTTCAACTTAAACCTTCTCTTTCAAGAGATCATTCTTCTGTTTCTGGATTTCGATGAAGGAAGGTGAGAAGGTATTGGATCCACAGCTATGGCACGCGTGTGCAGGTGGCATGGTTCAGATGCCGCAAGTGAACTCCAAAGTCTTCTACTTCCCACAGGGTCACGCTGAACACGCTCATACCAACATTGATCTCAGGGTTCCGCCACTTATTCTCTGCAACGTTGAAGCCGTGAAGTTCATGGCGGACCCAGAAACCGACGAGGTCTTCGCCAAACTGAGTCTGGTTCCTCTCAGAAACTCGGACCTTGGTCCGGACTCGGAGGGGGGTGCTGACGCGGCGGAGGCTTCGGAGAAACCTGCGTCGTTCGCGAAGACTCTGACGCAGTCTGACGCCAACAATGGTGGCGGTTTTTCGGTGCCACGGTACTGCGCGGAGACCATTTTTCCGCGGCTGGACTACTCGGCGGAGCCACCGGTGCAGACGGTGGTGGCGAAGGACGTGCACGGGGAGACGTGGAGGTTCCGGCACATATACCGAGGGACGCCACGTCGGCACTTGCTGACGACAGGTTGGAGCAGTTTCGTGAACCAGAAGAAACTGGTGGCTGGGGATTCTGTGGTGTTTCTGAGGTCTGAGAATGGAGACTTGTGTGTTGGGATTCGGAGGGCAAAGAAGGGAATTGGGTGTGAGGTGTGGAACTCCGCTTCTGGTTCAGGGTGTGGAAGTGGAGGTGGAAGTGGGAATTGTGGGATTGGCCCTTATGGGCCTTTCTCTTTTTTCTTGAGAGAGGAGAATAAGAGTTTGAGGAACGGTGGTGGTGGGAATTTGAGTGGAAGGGCTAAAGTGAGGCCTGAGGCTGTTGTTGAAGCTGTGACACTCGCTGCTGCTAATAAACCTTTTGAGGTTGTTTATTATCCAAGAGCCAGTACTCCCGAGTTTTGCATTAAGGCTTCTGCTGTGAGGGCTGCTATGAGGATCCAGTGGTGTTCTGGGATGAGGTTCAAGATGGCCTTTGAGACTGAGGATGCTTCCAGGATTAGTTGGTTCATGGGAACCATTGCTTCTGTTCAGGTTCTTGACCCCATCCGCTGGCCTAATTCCCCATGGAGGCTTCTTCAGGTACTCTCTCTCTCTTTCCCTTTGGTCTCCACATGTTTGCTTTTACTCTCAGGAACCGATTCTGGATCCAGAGTTTATTTGATTTTGAGTTGAAACAATTTTAGATTGCGTTTGCGTTGCTCTTTTTTTTTTTTTTTTTTTTTTATTGAGTTTTACTATTATCTTTTTTCTTTTCGGAATAAACAATCCAAACATCAATCTTGTCACTTCAAAGTTAATTTTAACATAAATCAATTTCATTCACAAATAATTTTGCAAGTAATCGCCAAAATACTTAGTGAACACTCTTTCGTCTGTTTGTTTTGGTAATTTGGGGCAAATTCTTGTGAGGTATAAAATTCACAAGCAGTTGTAAACCCATGAATACTACGATTACGAGGAGGATTGAAATACCAAATGTTGATTGAAGAATTTTAATTTTACGTACTTTAGAATCTCCATTGCGCTCATATGATGGATGAGTTTTGTTGAAATTGATCGATCTTGTTGCTATTGTTATCTCTACAGGTAACATGGGATGAGCCAGATTTACTGCAAAATGTGAAGCGTGTTAGCCCGTGGTTGGTTGAATTGGTATCAAACTTGCCAGTCATCAATTTCACACCCTTCTCTCCACCAAGAAAGAAGCTGCGGTTTCCGCAGCACCCAGAATTCCCCCTTGATGTTCAATTTCCAATACCAACGTTTTCAGGCAACCAGCTCGGGCCTAACAACCCCTTGTGTGGTTTTTCGGATAACGCTCCTGCAGGCATACAGGGAGCCAGGCATGCTCAAATTGGAACATCACTATCAGATCTCCACCTTCATAAGAAACTGCAGTTGGGGTTGCTTCCATCTAATATTCAGCAACTTGGAGTGTATAGTGGGATTTCTAATGGTACCACTACCAACCATGATAAGAGCAAAGAAAGCTTATCACACTTGCTGACCGTGGGGAAATCTAGCAAGAATTTGGAGAAATCTGATGATGTTAAGAAACATCAGTTTTTGCTTTTTGGTCAACCAATACTCACCGAACAACAAATTTCTAGAGATGTGTTGTCTCTTGGGAAAAAATCACCGGATGATGTTAAGGAAAAAGAGAAGTACGTTTTGGATAATTCCCAATCTGCACTCTCACAGCAGTTTTCACCAGGGAAACCTTCTGCTGCTGAGTTCTCTTGGCAACTTAGCTTGGATACTGGTCATTGTAAAGTTTTCTTGGAGTCAGATGATGTAGGAAGGACCCTAGACCTATCACGGCTTGGTTCTTATGAAGAGCTGTATAGGAGACTTTCCAACATGTTTGGGGTTGAAAGATCTGAGATTCTGAATCACGTGTTCTACTATGATGCAGCAGGTGCTGTTAAGCAAACTGGAGAAGAACCCTTCAGGTATCATTTTTGTTTTCGTGTTTTTCTTCTTGGCGTCAATTGAATCATTTTATATTTTCCACTAAGGTACCTAAATCTGGTATCTCTTCCGTCACTTGTATACCATTCAGATGCATAGTTTCTTAGCCCTATATTTATTTGGGTTGTGTCTCTTGTGATCTTATTGCAGTGAATTCATGAAGACAGCGAAAAGATTGACAATTCTGACGGATTCAGGCAGTAAAAATGTTAAAAGGTGAGAAAGAGAAGGAGCTTTGTCGTGTTACACATTTATCTTCATCTTTGTGATAGCTACGTGTAGATATTTCTTCTTGGATATGGATCATAGCTCAGGTGACCAAACAGAAAAGGAAAACTCGAAAACTTTTGCTTAGAGTCACCATATATCGCTTCTTCATTATCCTATTGTTACGAGATCTTCATATTTTACTTCAGAATTGTCCCAAAAGTTTTATGTGTGTTTTAAGTTTAACCTTTCCTCCAAATCTGGTGTGCAGGGCCTATATTACAGGAACTCGGAATGTTGAACACGGACTTGATGCATCAAATAAAACAGGCCCTCTGAGCATATTTGCTTAAAAAATGCTGTAGCATGGATCTGTTAAGATCTGAGTAGTGTTGTGTTGGAGGATGATTTTAACTCACTCTATTTTGCAAAAGACTGAACATGTACTGAATCTTTTATCAAGGTTACTACTGCAATGTGTACCTAAACACAAATATTTTATCAAGGTTGGCATTGATGGTTTTTTTAAGTGTACAAACAATGATGGTCTTATGATGGTCAACTATTATTGTAATAATCAAAACCAAGATTTGGAACCCATTTGCCAACTTGCTTTTTTCCATTGTGCTCTCACATGCTGCTTCCTACTGTCTCCACGTCACCAGTTCTCAAAAAATTGAACATAGATATAATAATAATAGTATGTTTGATGTGTGGACACACATATTACTGCGTCACCAATTCTTGATAATGTCTGCCAATATTTATTGATCTCAGGGCAATGTAGCTGTCATTAGTATTTAACCATGATTGATCATGACTCGTCTTGTAGTAGTCTTTTTCCTCTATTTGCTTCCCCAGTGCCATTGAATAGTTATCATACACCTCATAATCACTCGTTCACAAATCAGAAGGAAAACTGATAATAACTTCAGCTTATTTGTAGAAGAATAATTTATTTCTGTCAAATTTTTTTCAAAAGCCTAAAAAATGACAGTAAATGGGAAATATTATTTTGACAAACAACCACTTTCTAAATCTTATTGTAATATTATTGTGGTTGTTAAATGAGAATACAGGTTTTCAAAATATCAGCACCATTTTTGAATATAATAATAATATTTATTTTTTTATTAATTTATTCAGTTCTATATTAGATGCTTCGAATGTCAATTGATCACTATTCTAAAAACAATTTGTTTATTATATTTGCTTCTCTTCATGTTCTCTTTAATATGATCGTATGGTATAGGGACATATTATAAGAAAACAATGGTTCTCATCACCATCTTAAGACACAGAGAAAATTAAAGTGGTTATTTTAAATTTGAGTTTAGATTCATACATTGGGTTTTTCTAACTAGTCTTCTTAAATCATATATGAATTATTATTCAATTTAGTGTCCTACTGAAATCATATGAGATTCCTAATTTTTCTATCTATTACATCTTTTGAAAAAAAAAATTGTAAGACTTTTTACTCAAAACATCAATCAATATATAAATACCACGTCATATATTTTGAAAAAAAAATTAAATCCATATTTTTTTGACGAGAATAAATACAATTAAATCTTGAATTATATAATATATGTGATAAATTGTCGTAAGAAATAAATTAATAGAGAGGGAGTATTAAATATAAAATAATTTTAAAATTAAATTATTAAGTGAAATTTAAAATATGATATAAGAAAATATATCATGGTGATTAAATCAAAATATAAAAAATACAGAGAATCTCATAGAAATATATATATATATATATATATATATATATATATATATATATATATATTACTCAAAATATTATCCTAAAATGAAAATATATTATATACTTTAATATGAATCAAGCAAATAATACAATAAAAGAGTAAATAATATCAAAACATTCTAAATGAAGATGAAAATATCTAAGTACACTAAGATTTGTTCAAGGTATATAGAAGATCATGTCTACATAAAAATGATAAACATGCAATATATTTGAAAAGTATTTAAACTACATAATTGAAGAATGTTAAGACATACAAACCTTATAAAAAAAATATAAAAATAATGTCAAGAATATCAAATTATTGAATAGATATTTCAAGAAAATAATAAAAGTTAGTATTTCAATAATCGTATTTTGAAAACTATAAAAGGAAGATTTCAATGACAGGAGAAAACATACAAAGAACTAAAATACAACCCTATTAACTTCTTGGTTTTTTTTTCTTTATGCATGTTTTCTTTTAGAAATTTAAAGAGAGAAAATTGTTATATTGAGTTATGAATGTTCTTGATGTACTTATTTATAACTAGAAGTGACTTAATATAATTGATATAATATTAGTAATTATAATGAAATTATTTAAATAACTTTAAAAAAGACTCGACACAATTATTGGTTGTAATGAATCAGCATATGTGGAATATTTTTATCTGCTGAATTCATTTATATAGATACGTTATTCATTGCTTATTTTTCAAAAGAATATTTTTTAAACTATTGCAAAAATTACTATTAAAAATATTTTTAAGAGATTTATTCAAACTCATTTTTTAAAGTTAATTTGTGTTTTTAATTGGTATCAAAGCTAACATTTAAGATTATTTCTTTATAAAACTTGAGAAGATCCTATACCACTCCATGGAAATGAAAGATATGATGTAAACAAATCACTTCTCTTTAAACGTGGGAAATGTAATCATTAGAAGTAGTGAATAATAACATTTTTTTAATTTTGTCACATAGTAACGTGGGACGTGTTCGAAAATAGAAATTATATTCATCAATGAGTCTAGAAATCCTTTATCAATAAAACTTTGGAATAAAAATAAAAATAAATATATTTTCTAAATATAAAGGGATAAAAACAGTCTTATGTGTATACTATTTAAAGAAGAATACAAAAAGTTAATAAATACAAAGGAGCAAAGAAAATATGGGACATTCTTATATTAAGAATTTTGCGTAGACAATTATCTTCATAAGTAGCAACGTCTAAAATGTTTAAGAATTTGGATAGCCTATCATTAAAAGAGTTGATTGATATACTAAAGATTCATGAGCAAAAATTACTACAAAACGTAGTTGTAAAAAAGGAGAAGTCACTAGTTCTTAAAGTCAAATTACAACATATTCTTACCAAAGGATGTTGGATGACTACTTAATCAAATAAGAATCTTATAAATATGAAGATAATAATTGAATTCATCACAATAAGCCTTCACAACATCTTGAAAAAGAAAAGAGATTCATAAACAAAAATTGTGCATGTTTTTTAGAGGAATCTAAAATTAAAACATAGGTTATTTATTACAGGAAATCAGGTCACATGAAATTAAAATATTCAAACTAGGAGATGTTTATACTTAAGATGATAAAAGAAGAAAGTCTTCATATTTGAAAAGATTTGAATTCATTGGATTTAGACGAGGAGAAAACGAATGAGAAATGAAATTATAAACTTTTATCTAAAGACTCCTAAAAGAATTTAAAAAATGCTTTGAATAAGATTTAAATTTTAAAAACTAAATTGAAAAATTCAATGAGTTGACTAATAATTAGTTGAATTCAAAAAATAAATATTTAAAAAATAATCTTAGCAGTGATAAACTATTTTTGAATAAATAAAATAATTTGATTGAAAATAAAGAGATTTGAGCAAAAGCTCTCTTATGATAATTCTAAAGCAATAGACAACATAATGCATGAGAAGATGTTTAGGGCGGTACTTGCGGGATCACTGTAAAGTTCCATGTTGTGTTCAATTTCAAGTTTTCCTCCAATCATGCATACAATGCCTCTCAAGTCTTCATTTCCTTAGGTTATATTAATGCAAAAATTATATTTAATAATAACTTATTATGATGAGTATAATTCATTCATTATAGTAAATGTGCAATGATAAATTTATAATTATAATAATACTTATTATTTTGATTTAATTTTTAACCACATAATAATATATTGGTTCAAATTTCAAATACTTATGTCTGATTCAATTTTTACTTGAGATAGTAAATACTGCTATGCTAATTAAAATTTAATTTGACATAATAAATATTTTGTATGTTAAGTGAATTTTAATTCTTTTCAAGCTTATTTTTATTTCTTATTTAGCTTTCTTTTTGTGATGTCTTTATTGTTTACGTTTCATAAGCATAAGTCATGTTGATTGTCTATCTTCGTTTCCATTTTGGATTTCTTTATCTCAATAAGCTTCATTCTTCATTTTTTTTTCCATACTTGATTTTTGTTTAATAATTATTTTTTATATTTAAAATTGTGTGTATTTAGGTGTTTGTAAAGATATGAGTAGAAGGTATTAACGGATGTAACTATTAAATAAGCTAATGCGACAGAACAAACAAATGTAATAATAAAATTATTTTCATCTGGATAGTCTTGAGGGACCAAACTCTCGAGTAATCAGTGACGAGGGATGATCTATGACAAGAGTTAATATGATAGAATATCATTATCTTTTTCATAAAACTTATTAATACTATAAAAGTCATCATAGATAAAAAAAACAAACCTATACAAGATTATGAAGTTGTGATAATAACATGAAATTAACTTTATATATCAAATCAATTTCTTAAATAATATATTTAAAACAAACTTTAACAATGAGAAATAAATTTATTTGATATAATACATGTATTTTGTTTTTTTTTTCCTCATTTATTTTTCTATTTTTCTCCTTCTTCCTTTGCTTTTTGTTATTCTTTTTTCTCTATCCTCTTACTTGTTTTTTTTTTCCTTCCATCACTCATCTTAATCTTATAATTAAAAATATTAAATTAAAATTTTATAAAATGAAATTTTTATTATTTTTAAAAATTAAAATTAAAATTAAAAAATTTCAAAATTATTATAATTTAATATATTATATTTAAAAAAATATTATATCATAAATTTGAGATATTATAAATTGTTATGCTATAATTATTAAGAAAAAAATTAAATATTTATTTTAAAATAATTTTTTAATAAATACTTTTTTTAATTATCTAATATGATTAATATTTGTAATTCAACCTAATTATAATTAGATTAAATTATTAAATAAAAATATATTTAATTCATAAATATTTGATATTTTTTAATTAGAAAAATAATTAATTTATTATGATAAAATAATTTAAAATTAATTATTTATATTATCGTAAATAAAATTATTTACTGTTATAATAAATAAAAATTATTTATTATCATCATAAATTTAAATAATTGATTAATATTTTTTAAGTTTTCATTTTGATTTAAAAAAATTTATATATTTTTTTTACGAAAGACTTGATATGTATGTTTTTAATAGTTTAGCATAATAAATTTTTAATATCTAAAAATTTATAA